GTGGAAGTATGGGTGCTTTGTTTTGTAATTTGTACATATATAATGTGCTTGGGGATGGCATTTACCACCTCATCAGATGGACATATTTGGCCATTGTATACCACTTGCTCTCCACTTTCAACATGGAGCCCATTACATGATACACATGTACTTCTGGCCGGACTCTGTGCCGAAAGAGAAGAACAAACAGTATACACTACTTCCCGTGTTGCCTTTGAAGCAATGGGGAAAGCTGAGCAGCGACACTTCCCCCATAGGATGGGGTCCTAGGTAAGTTGTGTGATGCAGGGCATGGAGCAACAGGTTCTCCACACCACTGCCAGGAGTAGTGTGGAGTCATTAATTTAGTTGTACAATGGCCGTAGAGCTAATCAGGAGCAGGATTCAAAACGATCTTGACAGATTAGAGAGATGGGCCAAAACTAACAAAATGAAGTTCAACAGGGACAAATGCAAGATACTCCACTTAGGCAGAAAAAACAAACTGCAAAAATACAGAATGGGGGACACTGGCTCGAGAGCAGTACATGTGAAAAAGATCTTGGAGTCCTCGTGGACAACAAGTTAAACATGAGCCAACAATGTAATGTGGCGGCAAAAAAAGCCAATGGGATTTTGGCCTGCATCAATAGGAGCATAGTGTCTAGATCTAGGGAAGTAATGCTACCCCTCTATTCTGCTTTGGTTAGACCACACCTGGAATATTGTGTCCAATTCTGGGCACCATAATTCAAGAGAGATATTGACAAGCTGGAATGTGTCCAGAGGAGGGCGACTAAAATGATCAAGGGTCTGGAGAACAAGCCCTATGAGGAGCGGCTTGAGGAGCTGGGCATGTTTAGCCTGAAGAAGAGAAGGCTGAGAGGAGATATGATAGCCATGTATAAATATGTGAGAGGAAGCCACAGGGAGGAGGGAGCAAGCTTGTTGTTCTGCTTCCCTGGAGACTAGGATTCAGAACAATGGCTTCAAACTACAAGAGAGGAGATTCCATCTGAACATGAGGAAGAACTTCCTGACTGTGAGAGCCGTGCAGCAGTGGAACTCTCTGCCCCAGGAGTGTGGTGGAGGCTCCTTCTTTGGAAGCTTTTAAACAGAGGCTGGATGGCCATCTGTCAGGGGTGCTTTGAATGCAATTTTCCTGCTTCTTGGCAGGAGGTTGGACTGGATGGCCCATGAGGTCTCTATGAACTCTTTGATTCTATGATTCTATGATTCTAATCTATTTTAGTCTATTAACTTCCTCAGTTTCTGGGCCCTTCAAACATACTTTGAGCATAATAAACAGGTATAGGGAAAGGTGGTTTTACTGTTCACTATCTATGGTAATTGAGTGAAAGAGAACCTTGAACTTCATATTCACAAATACAGTGATGTCCCAAACTGATTACTCTAGGCCAGTGTTTCTCAACTTGGGGGTCGGGACCCCTGGGGGGGTCGCGAGGGGGTGTCAGAGGGGTCGCCAAAGACCATCAGAAAACACAGTATTTTCTGATGGTCATGGGGATTCCATGTGGGAAGTCTGAGCCAATTCTATCGTTGGTGGAGTTCAGAATGTTCTTTGATTTTAATGAACTATAAATCCCAGCAACTACAACTCCCAAAAGTCAAGGTCTATTTCCCCCAGGCTCCACCAGTGTTCACATCTGCACATATTGAGTATTTGTGTCAAGTTTGGTCCAGATCCACCATTGCGTGAGTCCACAGTGCTCTCTTAATATAGGTGAACTACAACTCCCAAACTCAAAGTCAATACCCACCAACAGAGGCGGCCCTAGGTAATTTTCAATGGTAAGCCATCAGTATTTTGGCACACCACCACCAATCACTGATATATATTTTCTGTTCGTCGTGGGAGTTCTGTGTGCCATATTTGGTTCAATTCCATCATTGGTGGAGTTCAGAATGCTCTTTGATTGTAGGTGAACTATACATCCCAGTAACTACAACTCACATATGTCAAGGTCTGTTTTCCCCTCAAGAGCGCCCCTGGGCAAAATCAACTATACTGCAAATGCTTACTTTGCGTAATGGTTGAGCCACCCCTGCCCACCAAACCCTTCCAGTGTTTTCCGTTGGTCATGGGAGTTCTGTGTGGCAAATTAGGTTCAAATCCATCGCTGGTGGAGTTCAGAATGCTCTTTGATTATAGGTGAACTATAAATCCCAGCAACTACAACTCCCAAATTACAAAATCAATCCTCCCCCAACCCCACTAGCATTTACATGTGGGTGCATTGGGTATTTGTGCCCAGTTTGGTCCAGTGAATGAAAATACATCTTGCATATCTGATATTTACATTATGATTTATAACAGTAGTAAAATGACTGTTATGAAGTAGCAACAAAAACAATGTTATGGTTGGGGGTCACCACAACATGAGGGACTGTATTAAGGGGTCACAGCATTAGGAAGGTTGAGAACCACTGCTCTAGGCCAACGTTCGTTTTATCATTGTCTTATTACTAGGCTTGGTTGATTTTAAAAAATGGTTCAAAACCAGTTTCGGATGTAGGGGGGCACTGTTGGTTTGATTCTACAGTCACTTCCTTTTAAAAAAAAAATCAAAACTTTCCAAAACTTTTGAAACTTTGGAATCACTTTGTTAATGGCAGACACGCATGCACAGTAGGAAAAAAAACAGCACTGGCACTGGGGAAACTTCAGGGAATTCGCCCTCCCTCATTTTTAGACCAATCGTGATGAAACTTGCTACAGTGGTAGAACACATGGACCACTGTTAGCTCACCAAATTTCATCACTTCTGATTTATCCATAGATTTTTGGAAATTTTTAAAGATTTTATAAAAAGTTTTTATAGACTGACCCAGCTTCCCACTGGGAAGTGAATAAGTAAGTATAACTTCCGAATTGCTATTTGCTACAGGGCAGTTGTGGCTCGGAGAGAGCACCACCCCCAGAACCAGGAAGTCGTGAGTTCGATCCCTGCCAGGGAAAAATGGCAAAAGGGGGCCTGGTCTTCACAAACTACAAGAATGGCTGTGCTTAGCCACCTTATCCCTCTTTGCATCACCGGGGAAGGGAAACCATGAGATTTTAAAACTCTTTAGGCTTTACCAAAGTTGCTTAATGGTTGTGAAAATTAAAATAACCTTGGGTGACATCCAAACATTATGGATTTTTTTTTAAAAAAAAAAGTTAAGCGGTTCAAATTTGGATTTGCCCCTCCCACCTTTCCTGCATGGTTCAAAACTGCTTCGGAAGCCCAAAGTTGGAAGTTTTTTTTACGACTTTTAGGCTCTTCCGAACCGAACCTATCCAACACTACTTATTACATCTCCTCAGACATCTATATATTCTGTAATGATCTCTATCTACCCTCCACCCTGGCCAGAGGGATAGGAGTGATGTCCTTGCACCAGAATAACTGCACTGTATGTAGAAGCTGTTTACATTCTTTCAAGATACTGTACATTCAAACAGCTTAGACCCAAACCACTTAAGAGCTTTTTAAAGGTCTGTTTACTAATATAGTCATTAGCATCACATCAAGCGAATGGAATATCATTGTTAACATATTGCATTGATACAACATACAACATATGTACGTCACATACTATGTTATCACACCAGGGCTTTAATGCAGGCATCCCCACATTTCTGCTGCCTACAAAATTCTGGGAAATGTAGTTGAGGGCAGGGCCTTTTGAATTCTCAGCTAGAGAGGTCCTTGCTTCCCCAAACTAGATTTCCCAGAATTCTGCAGATGGCAGAAATGCAGGGCTGCCCACTTTAAAGCCCTGGTGTGATAACATCGTCAGACACAATTCCAACCAGAAGCAATCTTACAATGAATCCCTTTAAGACTTAAGAGCTGATTTTTCCAATGGGTATATTCCAGATGGTTTTGATCATAGACTATGTTACCTAATGCTGTTGGGAGTTGAAATCTAAAACCACTTTGAGGAGAATCAGAGTCTGTCATATGGAATCAGTGTGTGGATATGGCCTGTTGGCAAGGTTCCAAAAAAGTTTTTTGTCAAAATTTTATTTTTGTTTAAATTACCGTATGTTCCGGGGTACTAAACAACTTTTTAGGCATGTAAAACCTTATAAAATTTTGGGGGTCGTCTATTACGCCGGGTATAAAATTAAAATAATAATAAAAATACAAAAATTCCTCCGCCGCCTCCTCCTCCTCCACTGCCTTGGCTCATGGCACCTCCCAGGGAGGCTCCCCATCCTTCCTCTCTTCCTAGTTGCCTTCCTCGCTCAGGCCCAGGCCTCCCTTGTTGGTGCCCGGGCCCCTGGGCTGCTTCTCGCGCTGCTCAGGCCGCTTTCCTTCTTCCTGGCCTGGCCTCGTGAGAAGAACCTCTTCTTCCATGAGACAACGTTGTCTCGCTAGAGAAGAGGTTCTTCTCGCGAGGCCTGGCTAGGAAGAAGGAGAGCGGCCTGAGCAGAAGGGCCTTCTGCGCTGGTCAGACTGCTCTCCTTCTTCTTAGCCAGGCCTCGCAAGAAGCGCCTCTTCATCCACCAGAAGAGTTGCTTCTCACGAGGCTTGGCGCGGCTGGGAGGCAGAGACGCCATGGCGGCGGAGTGGGGGCAGGAAGGAGAGCGGTCTGAGCAACGGAGTCATCTTAAACGGCGGGTATATCCCCAACTCTCTATTTTGTATGTTAAAGTTGGGGGGTCGTCTTATAACCCCAGTCGTGTAGTACCCCGGAATACACGGTAGTTTGGTGGATTTAAGCTAGGGTTGTTGTTATTGCATTATTGTTTTCATGAAAAATTAAATCCTGCTTATGTTGATGCTGTGAAACATTATTTTCTATATCAAGAAAGCTTGATCAACTAGGTTTTGATACTTAAATTGTTTTTTATTCATTTGGTTTTAAGTTTGTATCAACTTAATTTAAGCCAGCTAACTCTGCCTGTAGGATGTCAATGACCATCTGTTCTATATAAAGAAGTGCAACATGTCGTTTTCTTTTCTTTCTCCATTACGGTTTCTATTTCCTCATTCTTTTTTTTTATCTAGTCACTATCTTGTGGCCTTCCCAGCAGTTATTCATCATCCCAGTCATGACAAGTTCTGTGTACTGTTAAGCTCCCTCTCAGAGACAGTCCATCTGTCAGTAATAATTGAAACCAAGATCAAGAATCACACCCTATTGGACAAAGATGTGGAAAAGCCAGGGATCTACGAGTGCTCTGAATTCCAGGTAAATCTGCAAAGAGACCAAGTTTAGCATGTTATGGGCATAGCTTCTTTAAGGTTTATTGATGTTAGAATCATCTACAATACCTAGAATTGTTGATCCCATGGTTTTCCACCACTGTATAGAGTATTTGAATTTCTCTACTTCTGCTTTCTCTTTTCTTATGGCAGCTGTAAGATCCAAGGATGCAAGTGGATCTGTAGAGGCTGTATACAGAACCACTGATCTGCTTGCAGTAACATCTAAACCAATGTCCCCTAGTCTAATGGGCTTGATATGGGACCTACATTCTATGGAGAGAACCTATTACCCTATTTTCAGGGATTGCCTCTCCCCGACCATATAAAGCTTCACCCCATTCCACAGAATGCAGATTTTATTTTCAAGATATGAGTAACTAGGTTGAATGAGCATCGTTTTTATGTTGTTATTTCACCTTCTTTCTCTTCCATCTCCTTTTCTGTTCAGGTCCCAGCCTTTCTTCCAGAGGAAGAGTCAAAAGCTTTCTCTGTAAGTCTCACAACTTTCAACTTTTCCATGCTCTGAGAGATATTATACAGTAGCATCTTCATAACCACAAGGGATACGTTCTTGATCAGTCTGCAGATATCTAAAACTGATGAAACATCATTAAATTACCTGACTTCCTGTCCCAGCATATCGGGAAGCTGTACTGGAGAACCTAGAATACCTTTCTAGGAAGTAATTACGTTCTCCAGTGTAATTACGGTAATTTCTAGAGGGAGTGTACCATTGAATTGTGCTGAAGAACCTAGCAAATTATTAAAGATACCATTTCCCCCCAAGGCATGGAAAAGTGACACCATGGACATGGGTTCCCCAGTTATGGTGGGGACATACTGTACTGGAAAAGCAATAATCAAGTAGGGGTAGATGGGGAATGATACAAAGTTGAGATTAATTTCACAATTCAGCAGCAGATCAGTTGCATAACTTCAGCGCTTTCCAGTAGCTTCTTCCTGCACAGTATTTTCAGTCAACTGCTCCCACAAACTGCAGTCACTCTGGAACTCTTTACAGACACTTGAGCACATGCCCGGCCATTGTCAGTTTTACTATTGTTTTCCCCTTCAATCTAGATGACACTACAAACTTACCACAGCACACGGTTATATCTTGTCTTAGCAGACAGGTTCCTTTAATAAATTACACAGAGCCTTCGGCAAACAGCATCACAGCACAAGGAGAGAGAGAATACACTGTACATGACTTCCTTATATACAATTCTATACAATTACACATAGCAATCTCTGATTGGTTCCCAACTCATTAACTTAACTCAGACCCAGGATTGCATCATTCACAATCACCTGGACTAGGCCAGAACACATTCCCCAAATGAAGTTCTATATACAGTTAATGCATGACTCAGCATTTCCAATAGAAGCCTATTAGCAGTGCATGACTCAGCTATATTACATTGCAATACATCGTAAAACCTGACATACAAATAAAAATGACATCACCATTTCATTCACTTGTACGTATCTTGCTTGTGATGTGCATTCTGGCACTAGATGGGGCTGGATCTGTCTTCCTCACAGCACTCCCCATTTTCCCTCCAAGTGGTTACAGCCATGAGAGCCCCTTTCTCTACAACACTTACCATTTTATTGTGTTTTTTAAAAAACTATAGAACTATTGTGACACCCATTTTGTTTTTCATAAATAAAAGAAACATTAGCACTGTTTTACTATTGCTGTGAGCTGCTATAATGGTATCACTGTGTTATTTCTTGCAACCTCATCACACGCAGTCTGGGCTCAATTTCCATGCTCTTCGGAAACATAGTCCCACGGAGGCCATCACATGATGTAAAATCACTTCCGGTGGGACTCCATGAGACTTCATTTCCAAAGCGCATGGACTCCAAATGGAAAAAAATGGGAGAAAATGGAGAAAGACAGGGAATGGATGTGGGATGGCTGGCCATTAGGCATGTGCAATCCATGATTCTAAATGGTTCTAAAGTACTTACAAAACTAAAGTTCTGGTTGTGAAAACTAGGGGGCGCTGGTGCTTTGCTTCTACAGTGTTGCTAAAGTTCTGGTATGAAAATTTCAGAACTTTAACAAAACTTTCAAAATTTCATTATTATTTCATTTTTGGTTATTTTTATGACAGAACCTATTAGGAACTGCCATTTATGATGAAATTTTGAAAGTTGTGTTAGAGTTCTGAAAGTTTCACCACCAGAACTTTAGCAACACTGTAGAAGCAAAGCACCAATGCCCCCTAGTTTGCACATGGCCATGTCAGAAGATGGACCTCGGTAGTAGAGAACAAAGTAAGGTGGATGCCTCCTCTTTCCCCCGTTCTCCCCCAGCTCATGGGATGAGGTCCTTGATAAGATTTTCTGCAACACACACACTTGCTCTATTGTTACAGTGGGGAGTGTGTGTGGAGGGTTGTCTCCTGTCAAGAAAAAAACACAGCAATGCTACCACAGCGGTTTCTACTCTGTCTGGCAGGGGAGGGGATCATAAAGAAGAAGCTAGGCCCTGTTGGCTTTCCTGTCTAGTTATGTTCTTTGGGTAAATATAATGCAATATAATACTATTTATTTATTTATTTACTGTATTTATATACTGCCTTTCTCATCCCGAAGGCGACTCAAGGCAGTTTACATTCGGCACAATTCGATGCCTCCCAACATATAAATTACAATTAAAAATAGTATATAAAATATAGGTTCACAAAAAGTCAATAAAACCAAACATGGTTAACTTCTCCTTACTAAAATCACTATACTTTACAAGTGAATATAAACTGGGATAGCCACATGATGGAAGTGCAACTATAATGATACCTTCTCCTTCGTAGGTGCACACAAAGGTTAATAATAAAAAAAGATTCCACTGGTTCCTTCACTGTCAATCACATTAGTTACTTCACACTCATTGATCCTACTAATAATATGATATTATAATTATATATTTATATTACATGTGATATTACTAATAATATTACAACATAATGGTATAGTACAATATAGTAATATTTAATACTGATATTGTACTAATGCTAATAATATAATATATTGTATGTATATATACCTTGTAAGCCACTCTGAGTCCCCTTCGGGGTGAGAAGGGCAGCATATAAATGTTGTAAATAAATAAAATAAATAAGCAGGCAGTAGGCTGCAAAAGTAGAAGAGGTTTATGTCAAAAGTTCTCATCATGAGGCACTGCCCTAGTGCAAAATGAAACACTACAATAGATTCATATGTGGCTTTCGAATTCAAAATGTATAGAGATGTGTAAGAACCTTATCTCATGGAGGTGGAAACTGGCATAATAGCTAGTGATGACCCCTTTCACACAATGTCATGCTAAACTCACCTGTAATAAAGATGTCAGGAGCAAAAGCCAGCAATAGACCTGGATTGTGCGAAAGTCCCAGGATTTACTTTGTTTGATGAGTCCATGTGCTTCTGTGATGGTGTCCACTCTTCTCCCCCCACTAGATTTTTTAAAAAAAATCTAGCATTTTGCAAAGTGCCTTTAAAAAAATAAATTTTTTTAAAAAAACAAATGAAGAAGTATCAGAGCAGGATGGAGATATGCTACCCAACAGGGGCGGCTCGTCCATTACGCAAAGTAAGTGGTCGCAGAACACTTTTTTTTGCCAGGGGCGCAGAGGCGCCTCTGTAAATGCCCCTCGACCGCCACTTGAGGAGCACACCCTCAGCTCACAACAGCCCTAGCAATCCAGGGGGAGCCTTGGCTTTCTTGCCTCGCTGCCGGGCGATCCTCTTCCTAAAGGGGCCGGGCCCTTGAGCCTCGCCTAGCCCCTCTCGTTCCTGCTCCACCTGGCCACCGGATGCACAAGCAGAGCCGGCGTTCAATCGTTCTCTGAATTCGATCCCTTCCCCATGACCGGCTCCCTTTCCCGATCCCCCGGCGCTCCACCCGCCTCCTCTCCTCTCCCCAATCCGCGGGTGGGCCAAGGGGCGGAGCCGCCACACCTGGCCCGCTTTGGGTCCGGAGGCGTGTCTGAAGACCCCAGCGTGCGCACCAAAAGTCGCCTCTTCTCCTGACTTTCTCTTCAGCCATTGGGACCAAGAGAGAGAGAGAGAAAGAGAGAGAGAGAGAGCCCCGAGGTATCTCCCACCTCCGCTCCCTCCTTTGTTTTTGCGCCTACCTTCAGGAAAGGTGGGCATCTCCACCTCTCTCTCTCTCTCTCTCTTGGTCCCAATGGCTGAGGAGAAAGTCAGGAGAAGAGGTGACTTTTGGTGCACACGCCGGGGTCTTCAGGCACGCCTCCGGACCCAAAGCAGGCCAGGCAAGGGAGCAAGTGCGGCAAGTGTAGTTACTGGGATGTATAGTTCACCTACAATCAAAGAGCATTCTGAACTCCACCAATGATGGAATTGAACCAAATATGGCACACAGAACTCCCACGACAAACAGAAAATATATATTAATGATTGGTTGGGGGAAGGCGCCAAAATACTGTTTGCTTACCGTTGAAAATTACCTAGGGCCGCCTCTGTACCCACCTGTAAGTTCTGCTTCATACAACTCAGGTACTGCTCTTGTGAAATGCCAGCAACTAAACTATCAGAGTTGACATAATTCCGATAAGTAGCTGCTATCCCAAACCATGGGAACACCTCGGGATAGAGGCTTCAAAGTGATTATGTTGTAGGTCCACTAAGGAATAAACAGTTGCAGTGATTGTTGGGGATTACCAGGAGATATGCTGGGCAAATAAAAGCTTCATTTGGATTTCAAAAAAAAATTAAGGTGGTAAGTACAGCAAAGAAAAAAACACATTGAAACACTGGGTTGTTGTAGGTTTTTTCGGGCTATATGGCCATGTTCTAGAGGCATTCTCCCCTGACGATGCTTGCCATAGATGCAGGTGAAACGTCAGGAGAGAATGCCTCTAGAACATGGCCATATAGCCCAAAAAAACCTACAACAACCCAGTGATGCTGGCCATGAAAGCCTTCGACAATACATTGAAACACATTTGGCCTTTCTGGATTAGGTCATTTAGAAACAAGAGTGAGCTGTGAGTGTGAAGAGAGAAAAAGATGGGATGGGCGTATAGGGAGGAACAATAAATGGGGAGAAGTGTGTGTGGCCTCGACTCCCCATTTGCTGGGGAAGAAAGATGGGATTTGAGGGTCTGGGGTTTCTGAGGAAATCCCAAATGTCTTTTACTCTTGCAAAATAGTTTTCCATTCTCCTGCCCAAAGTTGATTTTGCTTTTCTTTTTTTGCACTGTGAAGGAAGAGGGAGACGAAGTGGCCCATGTTCATGTCCTTATCCAAAAGGGTGATAGTGTGAGTTTTGAAAAACGGAAGAAGGTGGTGATCAGGAAGCCTAAAATAAGGAACATCATGGAGTTTGATAAGCTCTTTTACAAACCTGGAGAAACAGGTAAGCTTAAGTGGGCAGAAGAACCCAGAAAAAGAGTATGGGTGCATCTAGACTGCAGAAACAATGCAATGTGATCAGGGGCGGCTCAACCATTATGCAAAGTAAGCATTTGCAGTATAGTTGATTTTGCCCAGGGGCGCTCTTGAGGTGCTCTTAGGGGAAAATAGACCTTGACATATGCGAGTTGTAGTTACTGGGATGTATAATTCACCTACAATCAAAGAGCATTCTGAACTCCACCAAGGATGCAATTGAACCAAATATGGCACACAGAACTCCCACGACGAACAAAAAATATATATCAGTGTTTGCTTACTGTTGAAAATTACCTAGGGCCACCTCTGAGTGTGATGGCACTTTAACTGTCATGGCTCTATGTGATGGAATCCTGTGAGCTGTAATTTTACAAGGCCTTTAGCCACTTCTACCAAAGTGGTGCCTCGCCAAGCTGTCACTCCCCGGAATTCATAGAATTGAGCTATGGCAGGTAAAATGGTGTCAAACTGCATTGATTCTATGGAGAGGATGCACCCTATAGCTCAGGCATGGGCAAACTTCGGCCCTCCCACAATTCCTAACAGCCTACTGGAGGGCCGAAGTTTGTGCATGCCTGCTATAACTGCTCTTCCACCTCCTGAACTATGGTGATTATAACCAATATTACTGGTAATTGAGAACTGGATAAGCAAGCTAAGTACAACAGCAGAATTCAAAACAATCTTGACAGATTAGAGAGATGGGCAAAAACTAACAGAATGAAGTTCAACAGGGACAGATGCAAGGTACTCCACTTAGGCAGAAAAAATGATATGCAAAGATACAGAATGAGGGACGCCTGGCTCGAGAGCAGTATGTGTGGAAAAGATCTTTGGGTCCTCGTGGACAACAAGTTAAACATGAGCCAACAATGTCATGTGGCGGCAAAAAAAGCCAAGGGGATTTTGGCCTGCATCAATAGGGGTATAGTGTATAGAAATCATGCTACCCCTCCATTCTGCCTTGGTTAGACCACACCTGGAATATTGTATCCAATTCTGAGCACTACAATGGAAGAGAGATGTTGACAAGCTGGAATGTGTCCAGAGGAGGGCGACTAAAATGATCAAGTGTCTGGAGAACAAGCCCTATGAGGAGCAGATTAAAGAGCTGGGCATGTTTAGCCTCCAGAAGAGAAGGCTGAGAGGAGACATGATAACCATGTATAAATATGTGAGAGGAAGTCATATGGAGGAGGGAGCAGGCTTGTTTTCTGCTGCCCGGGAGACTAGGATGCGGAACATTAGCTTCAAACTACAAGAAAGGAGATTCCGTCTGAACATGAGGAAGAACTTCCTGACTGTGAGAGCCGTTCAGCAGTGGAACTCTCTGCCCCGGAGTGTGGTGGAGGTTCCTTCTTTGGAAGCTTTTAAACAGAGGCTAGATTACCATCTGTCAGGGGTGCTTTGAATGCAATATTCCTGCTTCTTGGCAGGGGGTTGGACTGGATGGCCCAGGAGGTCTCTTCCAACTCTATAATTCTATGATTTTATATTGTTTTAAAGTATTTTTGTTTTAATATTTAGCTGTGTTTAAGTTACTGCTGCTTTGCAATTCATGTACTTTGTTTTAACTCATATGTAGGAATGGCAGGGTATAAATTAATTGAAGAAATAAATGATATTGAAGATCTGAGAGGGATTAAGTCTGGCTGCATTGAGAGGAAAGTGAGAAAAAGACAAATCAATCAGTTGACAAGCAGCAGTCATTTGACAAATCAAGTGAGAGAAAAAGAGATTAGTCCATAGTAACAGGAACATGGACTGTAGGAGAAAAAATGAGAAAAAATATGGACAGTGTGAAAATTCATAAAAATCTGAACAAAACAACAAATAACTCCTGTTTTTCCTCTCCCAGCAAAGTTACGAATTGTAAGACTTAACGAAGAATTTAAGGCCATTGATGAAACTGTGAGTACAATTTCCTTGTTATAAGAAAAATAAGCTCTTGATTTGACCAATTGCCTGACCACAGATAACAAATGATGTGTGGAAGGTCTCCTTACTGTACCCAATGCTTTCCTATTTCACTTCTGTGGAATAAAGACATAAGTGTGAAGACCTCATCACATGGGGCAAATTTCGGTGGCAACTCTGGTTCAGCAGCAGCTTTGTGACAGAGCCCGTCAGCTCCCATCACACACTGGAGAAGTACTTCTGTGTTGATTCTGTAGCAAAACTGCTGCGGAACCAGAGTTGCTGCCCAAAAAAGCCACAACATGGAGGCTTCCCGTGGTTGCATTGCCCTCAATGGGGAAAGCTGGCTGTCAGACTCTTCCCTCATGTGTTAAGGTGGCACGGGGAAATACAGAGCATCTCTGTAGAGTGGTTTTGCTGAATGTTGAAGGAAATGGAGACTGTTATGTTCCTTATGATGCTGATTTGTTTTCCCCTTCTCCCTTTCTATTTTCAGATCCCTTTGATATGGCTAACAGTGAGTAACTACAAGCAATCCTTTGACATTTGCTTTTTGTGCCCATCCTGCCCTTTGAGAGTATTTGAGCATTCTTTAGGACAGGGATCCTCAAACTTTTTAAACAGAGGGCCAGGTCACAGTCCTTCAAACTGTTGGAGGGCTGGATTATAATTTGAAAAAAAAAATGAATTAATTCCTATGCACACTGGACATACCTTGTTTGTAGTGCTAAAAACACTTAAAACAATACAATAATTAAAATGAAGGACAATTTTAACAAATATAAACTTATTGGTATTTCAGTGAGAAGTGTGTGTCTGCTTTTGGCTGATGAGATAGGATTTTTGTTGTTTTGTGTGCTTTCAAGTCATTTCAGACTTAGGTTGACCCTGAGCAAGGGCCAGGTAAATAATAATAGTAATAATAATAATAATAATAACAATAATAATAATAACAACAACAACAACAACAACAACAAATACTTTATTTGTATTCCACCATCTCCCCAAGGGACTTGGTGTGGCTTACATGAGGCCGAGCCCAAACACACAATACAAGCAATAATCACAACAATACAAGCAATTAAAATAAAACATAAACAAAACATATAACATTATCAATAAGACGACATACAATTAAAACTATGGGAAGGCCAAATGTAAAATTAAAATTGGAAATAGTGCTGAATATGGACGAACCGGTGATAGTGGCGTTTGTGGAGAGACATATTGAGCAGACCTAAAAAATGTAAAGTGCTATGGGATCGTTAATTCGAAAAGGCACACTGGAACAACCATGTCGTCAAGCTCCTCCTGAAAACTGCCAGAGTTGGGGCCTGTCTGATGTCCTTAGGGAGTGAGTTCCAGATTTGAGGGGCCACCACCGAAAAGGCCCTCTCTTTCGTCCCCACCAATCGCACCTGCGATGCTGGCGGGATCGAGAGCAGGGCCTCTCCAGATGAACGAAGAGATCGTGTGGGCTCGTATACAGAGATGCGGTCACGCAGGTAGGCGGGTCCCAAACTGTTCAGGGCTTTGTAGGTAAGAACCTGCACCTTGAATTGGGTCCGGTAAATGAATGGCAGCCAGTGGAGCTCCTTGAACAGGAGGGATGACCGCTCTCTGTAAGGAGCCCCAGTTAACAATCTGGCTTGGAGGGCCGTATCCGGCCCTCGGGCCTTAGTTTGAGGATCCCTGCTTTAGGACATGTCTAAACTACAACCGTAAAGTTTTTGCACCTTTGGGGACTCTAATTTTGAAAATGATAAGGTTAACTACAATCCTAAGAGTCCTAGATGTGCTTAACCAGAGACTTCATCCCAAGACCGGGTTTGGGGGAGGGGGGGCTGGGGAAAGTGGAGGAAACAATTTTCCCCCATTCCCTTTCATGTTTCCCCATCTTCTGGGATAGCCAGCCATCCCACATCCTTACCACATTGGAGCCCCCGGTGGTGCAGTGGGTTAAAGCCCTGTGCCGGCAGGACTGAAGACCGACAGGTTGCAGGTTCGAATCCGGGGAGAGGCGGATGAGCTCCCTCTATCAGCTCCAGCTCCTCATGCGGAGACATGAGAGAAGCCTCCCACAAGGATGATAAAACATCAAAAATCATCCGGGCGTCCCCTGGGCAACGTCCTTGCAGACGGCCAATTCTCTCACAACAGGATGCTCCTGACACGGCAAAAAAAAAAACAAAAAAAAACCACATTGATGTCTGTCTTTCTTCCACTTATCTCTATTTGGAGTTGGGTAAGATGCAGCCCCCAGTGGCACAGTAGGTTAAACCACTGAACTGCTGAGCTTGTTGATCGAAAGGTCGCAGGTTTGAATCCGGAGAGCGGCATGAGCTTCCGCTGTCAGCCCCAGCTTCTGCCAACCTAGCAGTTCGAAAACATGCAAATGTGAGTAGATCAATAGGTACCGCTCTGGTGGGAAGGTAACGGCGCTCCATGCAGTCATGCTGGCCACATGACCTTGGAGGTGTCTACGGACAACGCTGGCTCTTCGGCTTAAAAATGGAGATGAGCACCACACCCCAGAGTCGGACACGACTGGACTTAGTGTCAGGGGAAAACCTTTACCTTAAGATGGGTTTAGGGTTTTGCTTCTATGTGCTGTGGAAATGGAGCCCCACAGAGTCCCACTGAAAGTGCCCTTACAGCATGTGATGGCTTTTGTGGGAATCCCGTGGGGCTCCATTTGCAAAGTGCATGGAAATGGAGCACTAAACCCGTGGGATGAAGTCTCAGGTTTGGAATTGGCTTCCATTCCCCATTCTATCCTTGAATATGGGGTGAAAAACATAGGGCTGACCCAAATGCTTTCATTTATGAAACATTTACTAAAGTGTACATATTTGATAAACTGATCGTCAACAGTAGATTATCCTGCTATGTTGTGGGGGGGATGGTTTCATCACAAATCTGTACTTAAACTGTGCTTTGGTCACATTTACCTAAGTTCACTTATTGGTTCAACAGATGGTTATCTCTGCACACTGGCAAATAAATAATTGCTCAAATGTATTCACTCTGTAACCTGCTTACACGGAAGTGTCATAAGAACACACAGCGTGTTTTACGGAAACAGACCAAATTTTATTTTTGTACACTTGGCCAAACTAGACACGGTGTTAATCGTGCAAATGCTGCAGTGTTTCCTGCAGAGGTTACTACACTTCATGTAAATGTGCTTACATATCCTTCCAATAATAATAAAGAGAGTAAAATAATAAATGTAATAATAATAATAATAATAATAATAATAATAATAGTGTCCAATTATGGGCACCACAATTCAAGAGAGATATTGTGACAAGCTGGAATGTGTCCAGAGGAGGGCGACTAAAATGATCAAGGGTCTGGAGAACAAGCCCTATGAGGAGCGGCTTAAGGAGCTGGGCATGTTTAGCCTGATGAAGAGAAGGCTGAGAGGAGATATGATAGCCATGTATAAATATGTGAGAGGAAGCCACAGGGAGGAGGGAGCAAGCTTGTTTTCTGCTTCCTTGGAGACTAGGACGCGGAACAATGGCTTCAAACTACAAGAGAGGAGATTCCATCTGAACATGAGGAAGAACTTCCTGACTGTTCTTCCTGACCGTTCAGCAGTGGAACTCTCTGCCCCGGAGTGTGGTGGAGGCTCCTTCTTTGGAAGCTTTTAAACAGAGGCTGGATGGCCATCTGTCGGGTGATTTGAATGCAGTATTCCTGCTTCTTGGCAGAGGGTTGGACTGGATGGCCCATGAAGTCTCTTCCAAATCTTTGATCCTATGATTCTATGAAAGAATGAGGGCCGGAAGGAGAGAAGGAAAGAAGGAGAAAAAGAGGGGCGGAAGCAAAGAAGGAAAATAATAAATGTAATAACAATAATAATAACAACAATAATAATAGAGTAAAATAATAAATAACTTTGATTTGAGTATAAGCCGAGGGGATCTTTTTCAGGCTTAAAAATGGGCTGAAAAACTAGGTTTATACTCGAGTATATACAGTATGTGTCAGGTGTAAATAAAATTTGGATAAATTTTGTGCTTATGCTTCCCATCTCCAAGATGTCTAATTCCAAAATCCAAAATAAACCAAACTACAGAACACTTCTGGTCCCTAGCATTTAGGATAAAGCATACTCAACTTGTAGTTAGATCTATGATTCCCACTTAGGCCTGGCTTTGGATCTTTGTTGTTGGTTTCTTTCTCTCTTTTTAAAATCACAAAAGTAGAAGAACCCAATGGATTGTTTAAAGATCCAGTGTGGTATAGTGGTTTGAATGTTGAACTAGGAGAATGAGTAACCCAGGTTTGATTCCCTAGTCTGAAATGGAAACCCACTGAGTGATCTTTAGCCTGCCATACTCTTTCCGCCTCAAAGGAAGGCAAGCTTGAACTCCCTCCGAACAAAGAAAAAGCCCACAATAGGTTCACCGTAGGGTTGTTATAAGACAGAAATGACTTGATGGCACACAATAACAACTGTGACTAAAATGCTCACTCAACATCCTACCTAGTACCTAATATGTCCTCGCCTACCCAGTGTGTATTGTAGGAAAGGTTCAGTAGAATGTCAGCATTGTTGATGACGCGATACAAGTGAGAAGCATCACAGTTATTTGTTCTTGTGCACAGGATCCTAATGAAAACCGAATTGGCCAGTGGGTGGATGTGAAGCCTCATCATGGCATTGTGGATCTGTCCTTCCCTCTGGCCTCTGAAGCAATCCTGGGAGGATACACTGTTCATATAGGAGAACACTATGAGGAGGAGAAAGGATTCAGTGTGGAAGAATACGGTAAAATTCACAGGAAGACTATCAACCTCATCAGAAAGGGCTGAATTTGGTGGCATATGCCGGTTCCTCTCCAGTTTAGCTATGGAGCATATCAGCTCCAATCCCACAATATACAGCTACCTCCAGCGGGGCTGTGGGGCTAAACTAAAGCAGAACACAGGAAGCTTCCTGTGTTGCATTAGCAACCATAGGAAGAAGCCGGGTAGCTAACACTCCTCCCCCCACCTCAATGGAATGGAGTTAAGTGTAAGTCTAACTTGACCATGGTGGTCCATGCCTTAGTTACCTCTAGACTGGACTACTGTAATGCACTCTATGTGGGACTACCCTTGAAGACAGCCCAGAAACTACAACTTGTCCAACGTTCGGCAGCCAGATTAATAACTGGGGCTAGTTATAGGGAGCGCTCAACTCCCATGTTTAAGGAGCTCCACTGGCTGCCGTTTAATTTTCTGGTCCCAATTCAAGGTACAGGTTATCACCTACAAAGCCCTAAACAGTTTGGGACCCACCTACCTTCGTGACCGCATCTCTCTCCACACACCAACCCGAGCCCTTCGATCTTCAGGGGAGGTCCTCTTTTCACCCCTACCAGTCTCACAAGCTCGTCCTGTGGGCACAAGGTAGAGAGCCTTCTCCTCTGTGACTCCCCGACTTTGGAACTCTTTACCTGGAGAGTTCAGGAAAGCCCCTTCACTAGAAACATTCAAAAAGAACCTTAAAACCTGGCTCTTCCACTGCACCGGGTTTGTAGGGCAGCTGGCTGAGCGTCAGCTGCATTAAGATCACTCTGAGCAAAAGGTCATGAGTTCGAAGCCAGCCCGGATTGGAGTGGGTTTCCAACCAATTGTGTAGCCCGTTGTCAACCTTTGCAACCCGAAAGACAGTTGCATCTGTCAAGTAGGAAAATAAGGTACCACCTTAAAGTGTGGGGAGGCTAAATTAACTAATTTATGAGGCCATAAAAAATGACTTCAGCAAAAAGTATGCAGGGAATGCGGAAGTACTTCATCAGTGTCGCAGATGGACGATGAAAGCGACAGCTCCCCTGGCGGCCAGAAAAAGTTAAATAGCCTCTGTCTATGTCTGTATATGTTGTATGTCAAAATTGGCATTGAATGTTTGCTATATATGTGTACACTGTAATCTACCCTGGGGTGAGAAGGGCAGAATATAAAAGCTGTAAATAAATAAATAAATAAATAAATAAATTTGGTGAGTAGGTGCACAACATGACATTATTGCACTCCTCAACTTTTTTTTTGCTATTGGAGTTCGCGCCCTCCAAATGGGAAGTTTAGTTTCACACTCTGTGTGTTTCCCTGCAAATGTCCTGCTCCTATTTTATCTCATTACAGTCTTATAATTGTTTTATCCTGTATATGTGCCCCCCCCCTCATTATCGTTATTGTGATTGTGCTTATTGGAATGTTATTTTATGACTGTGTTTATGGGGTTTTTTTCTTTCTCTCATTTTTATGTAATTTTGATGTTGTTGTTGTTTGTTGTTTATGCTTTGATTTTATTGCTGTAATATGTTGTCCGGGCTTGGCCCCATGTAAGCCACTCCGAGTCCCCACTGGGGAGATGTTGGCGGGGTATAAATAAAGATTATTATTATTCTTATCATTATTTGTACCCCGCTAGCATCTCCCGAAGGACTCGATGCGGCTTACAAAGGCTTACAAATAAATTATTATTATTATTAATATTATTATTATTATTATTAAGTCAGGTGATGCAGGTCATAGGGCGATGGGTTCCCATGCTCCATGCTGGGCACTGCTGGATTTGCCACAATGTGAGAAGGTTGCTTACAACAGATCGTCTAATAAACTGAAGAGACTTGCCTATTCATAAGCTATAATTATCCTCTTAGTGTACCACCTTTCAGGATTGTTTATGCATAGCAGCAGACTCAATCCTACAACCTATTCCTAATCATTAGAACAGCACTAGAGAAGCCCCACCTATGTGTATAGATGCCCCTGTGTTGCCTTAATGTGAAATATCCATGTTATGAATGTCACGAAAGGGTGAATTCAATAGCAAGATTAGGATGCCTTTAATGTGTTTGCAGTGTCCAAAGATCATCATGGTGGGGTTTATAGTTTTGTCTTACAAAGAAGATACACCTACAGTTTCATTTTGGGATAAGGAGCCCCCGGTGGCGCAGTGGGTTAAAGCCCTGAGCCGGCAGGACTGAAGACCGACAGGTCACAGGTTCAAATCCGGGGAGAGGCAGATGAGCTCCCTCTATCAGCTCCAGCTCGTCATGCGGGGACATGAGAGAAGCCTCCCACAAGGATGATAAAACATCAAATCATCCTGGCATCCCCTGGGCAACGTCCTTGCAGACGGCCAATTCTCTCACAACAGGAGTGACTTGCAGTTTCTCAGGTCGCTCCTGACACGACCAAAAAAAACTTTGGGATAGAACCAAGGAAGTTACTTTTTAAAACTACAATTCTCAGAATTTCCTAGCAGGGTCATTCCCTCACAACTGGCAGTGATGCACATTGACAAGCGCATATCCTCTAAATGTATCTCTCCCTATGACCCATCTAGGAGTTTAAGATCATCTGAGAAGACCTTGCTCTTGGTCCCACCTTCTTCGCAGGTGTGACTGGCGGGAACGAGAGACAAGGCCTTCTCAGTGGTGGCCCCTCGGCTGTGGAACTCTTTCGCTAGGGATATTAGATCAGCCCCTTTCTTCCTGACCTCCCGCAGAAAATTAAAAACATGGTTTTTTGAACAAGCCTTTGGGAACCTAGTGCAATAGATAAACAGGGAACTATTTATTTATTTATTTATTTATTTATTTATTTATTTATTTACATCACTTATATCCCACCCATATCAGCCCGCAGGCGACTCAGGGCGGTCTACATATCGGCATAATTCGATGCCATCAATACAATACAACAGCAAAAACAATTAAGTGTATTTAGACAAAAAAGACAATTTAAAAAGAGCTATATTCTCTCATTCCAATCCTCATCCGTTTCATTGTCTTGGCCGTTCCTGGGTCATTCTCCATCTCAAGTTTGACTATCTATTCCAGGGTTCCAAAGGCTTGCTCGAAGAGCCAGGTTTTTATTTTCTTTCGAAAAGTCAGGAGGGAGGGGGCTGATCTAATATCCCTAGGCAGGGAGTTCCATAGCCGAGGGGCCACCACAGAGAAGGCCCTGTCCCTCGTCCCCGCCAAGCGTGCTTGCGAAGCAGACGGGATCGAGAGCAGGGCCTCCTCAGATGATCTTAACTTCCTGGAGGGTTCGTAGGAAGAGATGCGTTCGGATAGGTAGGCTGGGCCGGAACCGTTTAGGGCTTTATAGGCTATGTGAAATTGAAAACTGGAACGGCTTTTTATGACGAGGCCAATAGTGAAGGTAGTGGTTTTATATGTTTTTAAAGGTTTTTATGTATATATTTTATAATTCTGATTTAAATGTTTATTGTAATTTTTACATTGTTTTAATTGGGTTGAATAGCTATGTTGTAAAGGTGCCTTGAGTCACCTTTGGGTTCGAGAAAGGCGGGGTAGAAATATTGTAAATAAATAAATAAATGTGGCTTTGATGGTTTGTCAAACAGAACACATGTTTCTTCCATATGTTTTTCATGCTATATGAAAAACTATAGTGTATGAGAAAGAGAAGTCTGAAAAACTAAATGCAACTAGTAGGCCCTAGACGTAAACCTTTGCTATGTAGGATTAATCATATGTGTAGACATTTATTTATTTATTTATTTATTTATTTATTTATTTATTTATTTATTTGCAACATTTATATTCCACCCTTCTCACCCCGCAGGGGACTCAGGGCGGATTACAGTGTACACATATATGGTAAACATTCAATGCCAATTTTGACATACAGACATACACAGAGGCTATTTAACTTTCTGGCCGCCAGGGGAGCTGTCGCTTTCATCGTCCATCTGCGACACTGATGAAGTACTTCTGCATTCCCCGCATGCTTTTTTGCTGGAGTGCTTTGCTGGAGTCTTTTTTATGGCCTCATAAATTAGTTAATTTAGCCTCTCCACACTTTAAGGTGGTACCTTATTTTCCTACTTGACAGATACTTGGCACCTTCTTTGCAGGTGTGACTGGTGGGGGCGAGAGACAGGGCCTTCTCAGTGGTGGCCCCTCGGCTTTCGGGTTGCAAAGGTCAACAACAGGCTACACAATTGGTTGGAAACCCACTCCAACCCGGGCTGGCTTCGAACTCATGACCTTTTGGTCAGAGTGATCTTAATGCAGCTGACACTGAGCCAGCTGTGCCACAATCCCGGTATATCATATCATTGGCTCACAGGATTAATAGTAACCACAGGGTTTTTAGAAGTGGGTATTTTAAAAAAGATACAGAAGCAAGAAGCATTCCTATGCCTTCAAATCACAGTCCTCCTGATCCAAACTGGGGCATTGTAGATGCTATGTACTATTTTAGAATTTCACATAAGAGCCATCTGATCTGAGACCTCTTGTGCTTTCATCTCCTTATCTAGATCTTAACTTTTTTCACTTCTTAGATGCATTTTTGTGAGATTGCATCAGAAGCATGATGGGTTTCAGTTTATGTGAATCATTTTTTTCTCCCTTCTGCTCTTTTACCATTACAGTGCCAGAGAAATTTGAAGTATTAGTTGAAGCACCAGAACTAATCCGCACCACAGATCAAGTTCAGGTCAAAGTACGAGGCAGGTTTGTAAAATAATTTTTAATTGTGAGCAGAGAGTAGATGGGCATCAATGCTGCATTTTATCCCCCACCCAAGCCTCATTTCTGGTGAAACAAGAGTGCTTCTGAAGCCGAGCATGACCCCCCCCCCCAAAGGGATGGTGACTTATAGTTCTGCAAAGGACAAAGGTACCAGACTGCACAATAGGGGTTAAGTCTTGGTCAATTTGTCAAGGCCTTAACAACAATGAGGACCCCATGAAACTTTGGGAATAGCTAGACCTTGTGGTCTCTGCATCTCTCAGGAGCTGTAGTTCTCCAAGGACGGGGAGCAAAGCTTGTTTCCAGAGACACCAGGTCCATTTGGGCCACTCAAGAACTCCTGCCAGGACCTTTGTGCAACACCCTTGCGTTTTAGCCATCCCCTATGGACACTCTTTCCCCCCACATGGACAAACCTTATGAAATCTTGCCTTTTATGAACTTTAGATATATGAAATGTGTTTTCTGATTTCTTTGTGTGGCAGAAGCCTTTCCCCTTTTCCTCTGACCCTATATACATGAAGAAACTCCACCAAAGGGACTACAAAGCCCCAAACATTCCAGGAATTTTTTATCCACAACTTCCTTTTGCATGAACAATAGCCTGGGCAGCTGGTGGCCCTCGGAGGAATTGCCCAGCCCTCAGCTTGCCCCTTTGGCAAAAATCTTAATCATATTTCCTCCTGAAGAACAAAAGGTCCTCGAAAAAACCTTTTGCCTTCGCTCTGATTATTCATTCCACTCAAAGCACAATAGATCAGGCTGGCCTTTGTCTCGCCAGCCGCATGGCATGGCACTTCCTTTCCCAGATTCCTTTGTGCTCCCTCATCCCGCCTCCATCTCTCCTGATTGGCTGTCGCCACCAGGTGGCAGAGGTCTCCCCATTGGTTCCTACGGACCACTGGAGCCCATCGCCCAATCATGACAGGGAACAACAGGGAAGCTGGGGCAGGGAGTTTGAGCTCTGCAAATTTGAATTTACTATAAATATGACTGCATTGGTGTAATCTCCTCATGCTTAGCTTTGCGAATGATTGCAGCTTTGCATCCGGTTTCAGCTGAATCGCATTAAACTTCGATGGCTTTTCTTCAACTGGTGAGACTTTTCATTGGGAAATTAGGGAAAAATATGGGATGCTTCTCTGTCTCGCCAGGGAAAAAAGAACTCTTTGAGGAGTCTAATTGGTCTCTGCCTCCTGGCAAAGACCCCTAAATTTTAGCTCTAGTACACTTCTACACTGTATAGTTAAGTCAGTTTGGCACGACTTCCACTGCTATGGTTTGTTGAGACAAGCACTATCTGATAGAGAAGGCTAAAGACTTTGGGTGTATCTGCACTGTAAAATTAATGGCTTGACACCACTTTAACAGCCATGGCTTTATTTATTTATCGTGCCAGGAGCAAACCAAACAGTTGTATTGCATTTTTAACAAACAGACAAACAAATAAACAAAACACAAAGTTTGCAAGCTTGGTAGTTGATTAGACGTCCTTTGACCAGTAGCTGGCCACTTGGAGTGCCTCTGCTGTTACTATAAGAAGGCATTGTGCATGTGGCAGGGCTCAGGTTGCATCACAGCAGATGGTCTGTAGTTTGCTCTTCTACTGCTATGGCTGAATGCTATGGAATTATGGGATGTGCAGATTGTTGGGACACCAATACTAATTGGAAGAGAAGGCTGTTAAACTACAACTCCTATGATTTTAGAGTAGCATTGAGCCATGGCAGTTAAAGGGGTATCAAACTGCCTTAATTCTACAGCAGGAATCAGCGTCCCCAAGTAAACTTTGGTCTGCCTTGATTTCTTTTCCCCATAAGATCTTAGGATTCTTTCCTAAGATATCATAAGATCTTAGGATTCTTTCCTAAGATCTTATCCAGAAAGGGTATTTTCCCATGATGGCAGTTTGTGGACTTAAAGTTTTGTCCCCTTCTCTCATTTAATTTACATATCACCTGATGAAAAGCAGCAGTCGTTTTCATCTCCTGAGAAGATAATTATCTGAGAAAAGGATGCTCAGTTACAGGTTGCATATCCTTTATCCAAAATTCTTCTTTTCCAGAAAGATGGTAAAAAAAAAGAAGGCAAAAAAAGCCAATGGGATTTTGACCTGCATCAATAGGAGCATAGTGCCTAGATCTAGGGAAGTAATGCTACCCCTCTATTCCGCTTTGGTTAGACCACACCTGGAATATTGTGTCCAATTCTGGGCACCACAATTCAAGAGAGAGATATTGACAAGCTGGAAGGTGTCCAGAGGAGGGCGACTCAAATGATCAAGGGTCTGGAGAACAAGCCCTATGAGGAGCGGCTTAAGGAGCTGGGCATGTTTAGCCTGAAGAAGAGAAGGCTGAGAGGAGATATGATAGCCATGTATAAATATGTGAGAGGAAGCCACAGGGAGGAGGGAGCAAGCTTGTTTTCTGCTTCCTGGAGACTAGGACGCGAAACAATGGCTTCAAACTACACGAGAGGAGATTCCATCTGAACATGAGGAAGAACTTCCTGACTGTGAGAGCCGTTCAGCAGTGGAACTCTCTGCCCTGGAGTGTGGTGGAGGCTCCTTCTTTGGAAGATTTTAAACAGAGGATGGATGGCCACCTGTCAGGGGTGATTTGAATGCAATATTCCTGCTTCTTGGCAGAATGGGGTTGGACTGGATGGCCCATGAGGTCTCTTCCAACTCTTTGATTCTATGATTCTAAAGAGCATTGAGACCTCATGGGCCATCCAGTCCAACCCCCTGCCAAGAAGCAGGAATATTTCATTCAAAGCACCCCCGACAGATGGCCATCCAGCCTCTGTTTAAAAGCTTCCAAAGAAGGAGCCTCCACCACACTCCGGGCAGAGAGTTCCACTGCTGAACGGCTCTCACAGTCAGGAAGTTCTTCCTCATGTTCAGATGGAATCTCCTTTCTTGTAGTTTGAAGCCATTGCTCCGCGTCCTAGTCTCCAGGGAAGCAGAAAACAAGCTTCCTCCCTCCTCCCTGTGACTTCCTCTCACATATTTATACATGGCTATCATATCTCATCTCAATAGTTTGAAGGAATTTAATACAATATTTTTAATAACTGTGTCAGTTGAAACAATCAGATGGCCAATATGTCACATTTCAGACATCCTGGATTTCTGAATTTGGGAATCCACCTTTTCTGTGGTGGCCCCCCGGCTGTGGAACTCCCTCCCCAGGGATATTAGATCAGCCCCCTCCCTCCTGATTTTCAGAAAAAGAGTAAAAACTTGGCTCTTTGAGCAAGCATTCGGAACGCCGGAGTAAACAGACAAACTAGAGTTGGAAATTGACCCAGGAACGGCCAAGACAATGTAACGGATGAAGATTTGAACAGAGGACATAGTTTCTTTTGAAATTGTTATTATGCACTGTCATTTATGTTTAATTGCACTTAATGTTTTTGCTTTATTAATGTATGTATTTTGTTTCAGCATCGAATTGTGCCAACTGTGCATACCGCCCTGAGTCGCCTTTGGGCTGAAATGGGCGGGATAGAAATAATGTAAATAAATAAATAAATAATCCCAGGTAAAGGATGCTCAACCTGTATGAGCATCTCACTATTAATATAGGAGCCCCCGGTGGCACAGTGGGTTAAACCCCTGTGCCGGCAGGACTGAAGACCGACAGGTCGCAGGTTCGAATCCGGGGAGAGGCGGACGAACTCCCTCTATCAGCTCCAGCTCCTCATGCGGGGACATGAGAGAAGCCTCCCACAAGGATGATAAAAACATCAAATCATCTGGGCGTCCCCCGGGCAATGTCCTTGCAGACGGCCAATTCTCTCACACCAGAAGCGACTTGCAGTTTCTCAAGTCGCTCCTGACACGACCAAAAAACTATTGATCTTTCTATATTAAGTAATATGATATAAAAAGGCCACTATAATTTGCATGGTCACTTTCCATACATTTGATGATAAGGTAAGTGCATTTAATTGGAAGTGCCTTTGTGGAAAAAGCTGTTGATAGTGTGCCCTCACTTCAGAAATTACGATATACCTTGCACTTTCCTGCTTCTTGGTGGAGCAAATGAGTTGCTTGTTGTTAAAAGGAACATCTCTGGCTTATTCTTGCAAAAGGAGAATATTATATGTCAAAACATTCACTCAGATACAAAGCAAATCTGATATAGTTCTTACCTCTTCACTTAGAATTGGTGAGGAGAACCTTTTTCTAGAAAAATTGTTTACATTCGCATCTATAGATTTTCCTACTAGAACAATAGATGTTTCACTTTGGTATGTCTCTCAGTTCTGTTTTTAGTTAATGATGGTGTCCACCCCACTGTTTTTGTTTCTGTACAACTTGGCATGAATGGCACCAGTTTAAAATGAACCATTGTTCTGTTATCTGGTTCTATCTTTGAATATAGGTATACATATGGAAAGCCTGTGCAGGGAAAAGTGCATCTGAAATTGACCCGGGACATATTGTTTTATTTTTTTGAAGAAGTGCAAAGTGGAAAGTTTAATGCAGTTGAGCAGCATTATACAGGCCAGGTAAGCTAAGGAATCCCAGGTGACCTAGATTCCTAGAAGGAATTCATACTGTTCAGAAATGCCAAATTACTGGAAATTTCAATCTTACAAAGGCACAACATGGTGGGTGGCTAAAAGGAAAGGTGAAAACCATCATGCCACATTGATCTATGGAGTGAGATGGGGATCCACTTATAATGATGATGATGATGATGATGATGATAATAATAATAATAATAATACTTTATTTGTATCCCGCTACCATTTATTTATCGTGTCATCCGCAACCAGGACATTGTATTACATTTCTAACAAAACAAAACAAACAAACAGATAAAAAAACAACAACACAAATTTTGCAAACTTGGTAGCTGATTAAATGTCCTTTGACCAGTATCTGGCCACTTGGAGTGCCTCTGGTGTTGCCGCAAGAAGGTCCTCCATTGTGCATGTGGCAGGGCTCAGGTTGCATTGCAGCAGGTGGTCAGTGGTTTGCTCTTCTCCACACTCACATGTCGTGGATTCAACTTTGTAGCCCCATTTCTGAAGATTGGCTCTGCATCTCGTGGTGCCAGAGCGCAGTCTGTTCAGTGCCTTCCAAGTCGCCCAGCCTTCCATGTGCCCAGGAGGGAGTCTCTCATCTGGTATCACCCACGGATTGAGGTGCTGGGTTTGAACCTGCCACTTTTGAACTCTCGCTTGCTGAGGTGTTCCAGCGAGTGTCTCTGTAGATCTAAGAAAACTATTTCTTGATTTAAGTTGTTGACGTGCTGGCTGATACCCAAACAGGGGATGAGCTGGAGATGTCACTGCCTTGGTCCTTTCACTATTGGCTGCAACTTCCCAGCGGATGTCAGGTGATGCAATACCGGCTAAGCAGTGTAATTTCTCCAGTGGTGTGGGGCGCAGACACCCTGTGATAATGCGGCATGTCTCATTAAGAGTCACATCCACTGTTTTAGTGTGGTGAGATGTGTTCCACACTGGGCATGCGTACTCAGCAGCAGAGTAGCAAAGCGCAAGGGCAGATGTCTTCACTGTGTCTGGTTGTGATCCCCAGGTTGTGCCAGTCAGCTTTCGTATGATATTGTTTCTAGCACCCACTTTTTGTTTGATGTTCAGGCAGTGCTTCTTGTAGGTCAGAGCACGGTCCAGAGTGACTCCCAGGCATTTGGGTGCGCTGCAATGCTCCAGTGGGATTCCTTCCCAGGTAATCCTCAGAGCTCGGGATGCTTGTCTGTTCTTAAGGTGAAAGGCACATGTCTGTGTTTTAGATGGATTGGGGATCAGTTGGTTTTCCCTGTAATAGGCAGTTAGAGCACCTAGAGCTTCGGAGAGCTTCTGTTCAACCATCTCAAAGCTCCCTGCTTGGGCAGTAATGGCACGATCATCAGCATAGATGAAACTCTCTGTCCCTTCTGGCAGTGGCTGGTCATTTGTGTAGAACATGGATGGAGCGAGCACTCTCCCCTGAGGCAGGCTGTTCTTCTGTTTCCGCCATCTGCTTCTCTGGCCGTGGAACTCAACAAAAAAGCTCCTGTTTTGTAGCAGGTTTCCTATGAGACGGGTGAGATGGTAGTCCTTTGTGATATTATACATTTTTCTCAGGAGGAGGCGGTGGTTCACAGTAATCCCGCTACCATCTCCCCAAGGGACTCGGTGTGGCTTAGATGAGGCCAAGCCCACAGTACATCAATAAACAAAGCAATAACAAAACATCAAAACAATACAATTAATATAAGTCACATAACAAAAATAAACAATAAATCAACAGTAACACACAAGTATTTAAAAGCAATGGCCGGGCCAAATGTAATAGATTAAAATTGAAAATAATGCTGGGCATGAATAAGACAGGATAGAATTTTCAAAGAGAGGTGAAGGAACGCAGTCAGTCCTAAATCAAAAGTAAAGTGCATTTTGAGGGCATATTGCTGAGAGTTTTCCTTATTCTGGGAAGGCACACTGGAACAACCATGTTTTCAGGCTCCTCCTAAAGACTGCCAGAGTTGGGGCATGTCTGATATCTTTGGGAAGTGAGTTCCAGAGTCGGGGGGGCACCACCGAGAAGGCCCTCTCCCTTGTCCCCACCAATTGCGCCTGCGAAGGAGGTGGGAGCGCGAGCAGGGCCTCTCCAGATGATCGAAGAGATCATGTGGGTTCGTACACAGAAATGCGGTCACGCAGGTAGACAGGTCCCAAACCGTTCAGGGCTTTATAGGTTAGAACCTGCACCATGATTTGGGACCGGAAAATGAACGGCAGCCAGGGAGCTCCTTAAACAGGAGATTTGACCGCTCTCTGTAAGAAGCACCAGTTAGTAACCTGGCTGCCGCCCGTTGTACCAATTGAAATTTCCAGGCCGTTTTCAAAGGCAGCCCCATGTAGAGTGCATTACAGTAATCAAATCTGGAGGTGACTAAGGCATGGACCACCCTGGCCAGATCCGATTTCACAAGGTACGGTCGCAGCTGGCGCACAAGTTTTAATTGTGCAAAGGCCCTCCCGGCCACCGCCGACGCCTGAGCTTCAAGCGTGAGTGATGAGTTTAGGAGGACACCCAGACTGTGGACCTGTGACTTCAGGGGGAGTGCAACCCCATCCAGCACAGGTTGCCACCCTATCGGGGATCTGGCTTACGATCGACCAGGAGGACCTCTGTCTTGTTGGGATTGATCCTCAGCTTGTTCCTCCTCATCCAGACAGCCACAGCGGCCAGGCACTTGTCCAGCACCTGAGGGGCTTCCTTGGAATTAGGTGGAAAAGAGTAGTAGAGTTGTGTGTCATGCACATAGAGATGGCACCCAATTCCAAAACTCCGGATGAACTCTCCCAGCGGTTTCATGTATATGTTGAAGAGCATGGGGGACAGAATGGAACCTTGTGGGACCCCACAGGTCAATGGCCAAGCAGGTGTCACCCAGCTTCACCATCTGGGAATGACCCTCCAGGAAGGACCAGAGCCATGACAAAGCCGTGCCTCCAAGGCCCATCCTAGAGAGTCATCCCAGAAGGATACCATGATTGATGGTATTGAAAGCCACTGAGATATCCAAGAGAACCAGAAGGGTCACACTCCCCCTGACCAGCTCCCTGCGGAGGTCATCCACCAAGGTGACCAAAGCCGTCTTTGTCGCCCTCCTCCACATAATATAGATAACTTAGGAAGTAACAAAGAATGCATCTGCAGTGTAAAGTTAATGCAATTTGCTATCATTTTAACTGCCATGGCGCAATGCTGTAGAATCCTAGGAATTGTAGTTTGGTGAGACATCATCACACTTCGGCAAAGGAAACTAAAGACACTGTGAAGCTATAACTCCCATGATTCCTCAACATTAAACCATGGCAATCAAAAGTGGTGTCAACCTGCACCCAAACATACTAGAGTCAATAGCTTGGGGGGGAAATAGTTGCTGAAAATAGACAAGATACCATGAAGGTACCAGTAGTTCAGCCGTCATATTTTCTTGACACCTACTTGCCACTGAAAATAGGAATGTAGTTTGTACTGGACTGGGGTTACATTTCCCCTGAAGCTGCAATTCTGCTACTTGTATTGAGTCCTGGACTCAACCTGAACCTGGAAGCTAAGGTTTCAGCAGTGGCCTGTTGAGCAGCTGTACCCATTCCTCGACATATAAGATCTGGCCACATGTCCCATCCCCTAATGACATCCCATTTAGATTGTTTTAACATGCTATATATCAGTGGTTCTCAATCTGTGGGTCCCCAGATGTTTTGGTCTTCAACTCCCAGAAATCCAAACAGCTGGTAAACAGGCTGGGATTTTTGGGAGTTGTAGGCCAAAACACCACAGGTTGAGAACCACTGCTATATATCAAGTTGTTCTTGAAGAGTGCACAAAAATTTCAGCTGGTCCAAAAAGCTGTAGCTGTGGGGGGATACAACTCTCTTCTTATAACAGCTTAACTGGCTGCAAGTCCGTTTCCCAGCACAATTCAATAAAGTCCTGCATGGTTCAGATCCTTTCCTAAAGAACCGTTCTTCCATACAGGCATGGTTGTGTTCGGGAGTCTGTTGGGGAGATCTTTCTCTCTGTCCCACTACTCTAATAGATTGATTTGGGGGGAATATGGGAGAGGGCCTTCTGGTAGTTGCTCCCACCCCAGAAACTCTCTCCCTCCTTGCTATGTTTCTGCAAGTGTTTTTTCACATTCTAGAGGAATAATTTCTTTGCACGAATGAGCATGACACAATATGCTGGACTTTCTATTTTTCCTTTTAATTGTTTGTGTTTTTAAACTGTTTTTAATTAATTACTTTTAAATAAAAAAATGTCTATGCTGCAAATTTTTGGCTATGGACCACATCACAATGAGAAATTTTCTCATCCTAGGACACTTCAGCCTCTTTACAAGCATGGAGTGGCACGGAGCTCATCACATGACATTAAACTACTTCCGGCCGTCATGCATAGCCCTCCGTGGTTGAAAAGAGGCAGAAGTATCCTGAAAGGAGGGAACTCTAACAATTGTGTTCAGGGACCTTATCACAATGTGAAATTTCCCCAGCGTGGGGCACTTCAGCCTCTTTTCAAGCATGGACAGGCACTGAGCTTATAACATGAAATAAAACTGCTTCAAGGTTTGAAAAGAAGCAGAAATGTCTTTTTTTCGTGTCAGCAGCGACTTGAGAAACTGCAAGTTGCTTCTGGTGTGAGAGAATTGGCCGTCTACAAGGACGTTGCCCAGGGGACACCTGGATGTTTTTGATGTTTTACCATCCTTGTGGGAGGCTTCTTTCATGTCCCCACATGGGGAGCTGAAGCTGACAGAGGGTACTCATCTGTACTCTCCCCAGATTCGAACCTCCGACTTGTTGGTCTTCAGTTCTGCTGGCACAAGGGTTTAACCCACTGCGCCACCAGGGGTGAAAGGTCCTGAAAGAAAGGAACTCTGAACACAGGCCAGCTCCTACCTCCTGTTGCGGATTATTTATATAGTTTATTTATTTCGTGTACTTCTACCCCGCCCTTCTCAACCCCCGAGGGGGAACTCAGGGCGGCTTACAGACGGGCACAATTCGATGCCTACACAGTAATACAAAAATGCATAAAAACAGCAATTAAGCAGTTATAATACTTAAAACAATCAATATATATCACAATTAATAACCAATATCATGCTCAGCGTTCGCCAATTCAGAGTCCATACTTCATTCCACATTGTCTATTCCTATCTGTCGTCGTAGTCCTTTATTTATCTGCCAGATTGCCCAAACGCCTGGTCCCAAATCCATGTCCTCAATTTCCTTCTAAAGGAAAGGAGGGATGTTGCCAATCTAATTTCCCCGGGGAGTGAGTTCCATAGGTGAGGGGCCACCACTGAGAAGGCCCTGCTCCTCGTCCCCGCCAATCTCACCTCCTCAGAAGATCTTAAACTCCGAGGTGGGACGTAGAGGGAGATCCGTTCGGACAGATATGCTGGGCCAGAACTGTATAGGGTTTTGTAGGTCAAAGCCAGCACTTTGAATTGTGCTCGGAATTGAATCGGCAGCCAGTGGAGCTGACATAGCAGAGGGGTGGTGTGCTCCCTGTATGACGCTCCGGTGAGTACTCTGGCTGCCTCCCGCTGGACTAATTGGAGTTTCCGAGCAGTCTTCAAAGGCAACCCCACATAGAGTGCGTTGCAGTAATCTAATCGGGATGTAACAAGAGCGTGGACCACTGTGGCCAGATCACTCCCGTGGTTCCAGCTGAAAAGCAGGTGAGATGGGAACCATCAGAGTTTCCCATCCTGATTCATTGCCCACTCCTGTCAGTCCCTTTTATCATATGAGGTTTCGAACTGGGGCAATTATATCCCATGGAAAGAACATGTTTTGAAATGGTGTCATTCTCCTTTAATGTAAGGGGCTTTGGGCAGGGCAAAGGATCTCTTGGCTTTAGGATATTGTCGTTTTCCCTGATTTTTTTAAAAAAAAGTAATATGGACTGTGTGACGAATGAAAGATAAATGTGTTGTCAGCTCTTAGGTTTCCATGTGTGAGTGTGATGGGGACGCAGAACTCAAAACGGAGTGGCTGACGATCTAGAGGGGAAATTCTCTATACTAAAAAGATGGTCACATCTCAATGTGATGAGGTCGCAAGTTTATTTAATTATTGTACATTATCTTGAGTCCAAAACTTGGGTGAAAAAACATATACGTAGATGGTGAGGATGATGATCTTCCATAGCCAATGTTCTTTTCTTTGATAAATCATGAGAACTCTTGCTATAGGTGTTTATTCTGCACAGAAATAAAACGTTACATGCTTCTCAAAAATAAATTATGTAACAGATGCAAGATCTTCACACCTGTGTGACTGTGTGACACCTTCACACTGTTATTAGTTAAGATGTAGAAAAATAATATACTTTATGTTCTTGTGGGTTTTTTCGGGCTATAGGGCCATGTTCTAGAGGCATTTCTCCTGACGTTTCGCCTGCATCTATGGCAAGCATCCTCAGAGCCCTATAGCCCTATAGCCCGAAAAAACCCACAAGAACCTAGCGATTCCAGCCATGAAAGCCTTCGACAATACATAACATACTTTCTTAATACATATTACAAATGTAATATTTCTTCTCTGTATCCTCAGACAGATAAAACTGGCTATGCTTCCTTTACTATTAATGCAACAGATCTGAATGTGACTCAAAAAGGGCACGACACTCGGGTTGAACTTTCTGCAGAACTGGAAGAGGATGGAACAGGTACAAGGAGGATAAAAGGAATGGGAAGATGCAATGTTTTGTTTGGAGACTGTCTCTATTGTATGGTGTTGTGCAATACCCATCACACTTCTCCATTTATATTATACCTATATATTGAAACAATATAGTCCCCGATTATTATCTTTTCGTGTCATGAGCGACTTGAGAAACTGAAATCGCTTCTGGTGTGTGAGAATTGGCTGTCTGGAAGGATGTTGTCCAGGGGACGTCCGGATGTTTTGTTGTTTTTACCTTCTTTGTAGGAGGCTTCTCTCATATCCCCACATGGGGAGCAGGAGCTGACAGAGGGAGCTCATCCATGCTCTCACCATATTCGAACCTCTGACCTGTCGGTCGTCAGTTCTGCCAGCACAAGGGTATAACCCCACACCTTAAATTAAGGCCTGGGGGCCGGATACGGCCCTCCAAGGTCATTTACTCGGCCCTCGCTCAGGGTCAACCTAAGTCTGAAATTACTTGAAAGCACACAACAACAACAATAATCCTATCGCATCAGCCAAAAGCAAGTCCATACTTCCCATCAAAATACAAATAAATTTAAATTTGTTTAAAACAATACAATAATTAAAATGAAGAACAATTTAAGTGTTTTTATATTACAAATAAGATATGTGCAGTGTGCATAGGAATTCATTCATGTTTTTTCAAATTATAATTCCACAACAGTTTGCAATCTTCTTTAAAAAATTTAAAACGAAATAAACAAAGTAGTAGAAGTAGCACAGCAGGTAGGCCAAGGTATTGCTCTTGCTTCATGCCAGTGGCTTTGTGACAGACAGGCAGGTAGCGGGGGGGGGGGGGCCTTGAGGGGCTTCAGCCCCCCCCCCCCCGAAATTCTCATGGTGGTTCGCGAAAAGGCCTTACTGGTGCATTATTTAAACTGTTATGTTTATTCATATCATGATCACCATACTCAATATATCCCATATGCATGGGGGTATTGGGGTAATGATACAAAAGGTTTGCTAGGCTAGACCCTCTTTCACTCAGACTCAGCCCCCCCCGAAACTCAGCCCCCCCCAAACAGGGCCGTAGCCAGAAAAAGATTTCGGGGAGCGTTGACGATTTGGGGGGGGGGGGTTGAAAATTTTTTGGGGGGTTGAAAATTTCGGAGGGGGGGTTGAAAATTTCGGGGGGGGGGCTTGAAACCTGCCTCCTAGCTCACGCTGAAGCAAAGAGCACAGCAGGGGGCAGAGCAGCCTTCAATAGCCTGCAGCTCCGCCCCTGTCAACCACCTCCACCAAGTCTGGCCTCCTTAATGAGAGCATTCAACACACACACCCCAACTTGGTTGCTTCACTACATCGGCTATTGCTGCAAGTAATGACAGTGTGAATAAATTGTCAATATTTGCTTGAGATAGTGCTTACAATTTTTTGCATATCATAGACTTAGCATGGGGATTTGGTTAATCAGTTAAAATTCATGAGTAAACCAGGTTTTTTTAAAAAATCTGAAACATTTCGGGGGGGGGTTGAACCCCTAAAACCACCCCCTCGCTACAGACCTGCCCCCAAACCCCCCCTGAAAAAAATTTATCCCCCCCCCCCAAAACGAAATCCTGGCTACGGGCCTGGTGACAGAAGTTGCCATAATACCACTAACTATACTCTATCCCAGGTATGAGAATGCTGCAGAACAGCAACTTCCATGTGGTAATGTCCTCAGTCTATCCATCTGGAATGCAGTCTTTTCCTGCTGATCTCCACTTTATCAAGTATTGTTGTCTATTCTAGTGAGCCATCTCTTTTCATGAAATGGCCAAAATTGGTAATCTTACTGTAGCCTTAATAATAATAATAATAATAATAATAATAATAATCCTTTATTTATACCCCGCTAACATCTCCCGAAGGACTCGGTGCGGCTTACAAGAGGCCGAGGCCCAACACATCAATAAAACAACAGCATAACAAATACAACAATAAATAAAACTAATAAAACAAGCAATAAACATTAAAACAACTGCAAACTACTCCAACCAGAGTCAGCCATAGCAGAGCACCTGATGAACCAACCTGGACCCAGAATTTTATTTGAGAACACAGAAATGCTAGACCACTCTCACAACTACCATGTCAGACTACACAGAGAAGCCACTGAAATCCACAAGCATGTGGACAATTTCAACAGAAAGGAAGAAACCATGAAAATGAACAAAATCTGGCTACCAGTATTAAAAAACTCAAAAATTACAACAGCAAAACAACAGAGGGGAAACAAATAGGCACATAAAATCACTCTCAACAAAAGATTCCCCCCAGGCACTTCCAAGCCATTGAATGCTAATCAAGGTGATCAGCTGAAACATTCACACCTAGCCCCAGCAGACAAGAGTCCTTTGTCCCACCCTGGTCATTCCACAGATATATAAACCCATTTTTCCTACTTCCAACAGACCTCACTACCTCTGAAGATGCTTGCCATAGATGCAGGCGAAATGTCAGGAGAAAAATTGCCTCCAGAACATGGCCATATAGCCCGGAAAAACCTACAACAACCCATTAAATCAATAGCAATAAACATTAGACAATAACACCACGCCGCATTTAAAACTAAGGTCGAGCCAAATGTAATGATTAAAAATTTTAAAAGTGCTGGACATTGATTTCAACATTACAATAGCTGTTGTCAGATCTGAAACTAGTTCTGTCTTAATGTCTTTGTTGGTCTTTGGGATATTCTTCTGACCTTTCTAGTCTCTGCATGTTGGTGATAAGGTAAGGTTGCTATATCCTACTTCATCAGATCTAGGCTCTGAATTTGCACATTGTGCTGTTTTTGTAATTCTGGCAACGTTTTTAGTGCAACATTTGCAGTGCTGAACTTGAAACAGGGTCATCCAAGTTCAAATCTCTGCTTGGCCATGGGATTTATCATGTGATTTTGCTTTACAACCACTTTTTAGCATGTTAGTGGGTCTCTAAGCTATAATAACGGCGCTCCATGCAGTCATGCCGGCCACATGACCTTGGAGGTGTCTACGGACAACGCTGGCTCTTCGGCTTAGAAATGGAGATGAGCACCACACCCCAGAGTCAGACATGACTGGATTTAATGTCAGGGGACTACCTTTACCTTAAGCTATAATATACACAGTAGGTTTGTGTACTTCTATAATCAGGCTCCCACAAAGAAGTCAAATGCCTGGCCTTTGATTTGAGTGTCATTTGAGTTGCTTGGTTGATAGTGGAAGATGGCCCACGGATATATTCATTTAGCCTAGGATCAATGGTATATTTAGCTATGGATATATTTTGTCCATTTTCTAGAGCTTGCTTAGGAAGATTCTTGAAAGAAGAATGAACCTTGTGTGTCATGTTTTATAGTGATCTTTTTCTGCATTGGGCTGAATCAGAATTTCACTGACACCACAACAACCCTCTTTTTCTGCAGGAGTGACACTCTCAGGAAGGAGATTTATGAATATTGTCACCAGAGCAATTGAAGTAGAGTTTGTTGATCTCAATCCACACTACAAACATGGATTTCCATACAAAGGAAAGGTCAGATCCTAACCACTTCACACCGTCTCTCTATCTAATGGAGTGCAGAATTGTTACCACACTACTTATAAGCTTGGCCTTTAAGGAGTCAGGGCATTAGAATCATAGAATCATAGAGTTCGAAGAGACCTCATGGGCCATCCAGTCCAACCCCCTGCCAAGAAGCAGGAATATTGCATTCAAATCACCCCTGACAGATGGCCATCCAGCCTCTGTTTAAAAGCTTCCAAAGAAGGAGCCTCCATCACACTCCGGGGCAGAGAGTTCCACTCCTGAACGGCTCTTACAGTCAGGAAGTTCTTCCTCATGTTCAGATGGAATCTCATTTCTTGTAGTTTGAAGCCATTGTTCCTTGTCCTAGTCTCCATGGAAACAGTAAACAAGCTTGCTCCCTCCTCCCTGTGGCTTCCTCTCACATATTTATACATGGCTATCATATCTCCTCTCAGTCTTCTCTTCTTCAGGCTAAACATGCCCAGCTCCTTAAGCCGCTCCTCATAGGGCTTGTTCTCCAGACCCTTGATCATTTCTGCTTCCTAGTCTCCAGGGAAGCAGAAAACAAACTTGCTCCCTCCTCCCTGTGGCTTCCTCTCACATATTTATACATTAGTTTTTATGTTCCTGCGTTAAAGGCATTAGAATCATAGAGTTGGAAGAGACCACATGGGCCATCTAGTCCAACCCCCTTCCATGCAGGAAAAGCATACTCAAAGTATCCCTGACAGATGGTCATCCAGCCTCTGTTTAAAAGTTTCCAAGGAAGGAGCTTCCACCACACTCCTACTTAAGGTTCTGTTTCGTGTTAGGATAGTAAGAAGTGTTTGACTGGGAGAGGTATCCAGGAAGGCTCACTTTGAAGTATTTTTCAAGGTATAAAAGCCAAACGTAAATGTGCATTTTATCTGTGCTGTTATTTTTTAATCTCATAATTGGAGAGATTTTACAAATAAAGTTCATTCTTTTTTCCAGGCAAAGGAATGTGGGGTATATCTCATAGATTTCATTGAATATATAACAATCACTTGTTGCTCAGTATGTAGAACAGTGCTTCTCAACCTTCCTAATGCCGCGACCCCTTAATACAGCTCCTCATGTTGGGGTGACCCCCAACCATAACACTATTTTTGTTGCTACTTCATAACTGTAATTATGCTACTGTTGTGAATCATAATGTAAATATCTGACATGCAGGGTGTGTTTTCATTCACGGGACCAAATTTGGCACAAGTACCCGGTACGCCCAAATTTGAACACTGGTGGGGTTGAGAGGGATTTTGTCATTTGGGAGTTTTAGTTGCTGGGATTTATAGTTCACCTACAATCAAAGAGCATTCTGAACTCCACCAATTATGGAATTTTACCAATCTTGGCACACAGAATTCTCATGACCAACAGAAAATACTGGAAGGGTTTGGTGGGCATTGACCTTTAGTTTGGGAGTTGTAGTTCACTTACATCCAGAGAGCAGTGTGAACTCAAACAATGATGAATCTGGACCAAACTTGGCATGAATACTCAACACTGGTGGAGTTTGGGGGAAATAGACATTTGGGAGTTGTAGTTTTTGGGATTTATAGTTCACCTACAATCACAGAGCATTCTGAACCCCAGTAATGAGAGAATTCAGCCAAACTTCCCACACAGAACCCCCATGACCAACAGAAATATTGTGTTTTCTGATGTTCTTTGGTGACCCCCTGACACTCCCTCGCGACCCCCCCAGGGGTCCCGACTCACAGATTGAGAAACACTGATGTAGAAAAATGCATTGACCAAGTGGTAATCCTGAAAAATAAGCTATGAAATATGAAGCGCAGAAATGAAAACAGTGTTTCCTAAAAGTAGTCCGTTTTAATGCAGCTGTTGTACACCCCAGCAGGACTTTTCACCATTTTCATGCATATTAACTCTCAAGGTGTTAATGGAATGTATCAATTCTGATTTTATTCCTATAGATGAAATTTACCACCAATGGGTCCCCCTTCAAGAATGAGACTGTTTATCTTACTACTGATGTAAATGATGTGGACAGAAACTTTGTATATATCACAGATGACAATGGAGAAGTTCATTTCTCCTTAGACACAACCGAATGGAAAGATTTTCCAGTTGCATTGCGGGTAAGTCTTGCACCCGTTGGCAAGGAGATATCATAACAAGCTGTAATGGTAAAGGTTTCCCCTTGACATTAAATCTAGTTGAGACCAACTCTTGGGGATGATACTCATCTCTATTTCTAAGCCAAAGAGCCGGCGTTGTCCCTAGATACCTCCAAGGCCATGTGGCCAGAATGACTGTAGGGAGCGCCATTACCTTTCTGCTGGAGGTGTCCCTATTGATCTACTCACATTTGCATGTATTTTAACTGCTAGGTTGGCAGAAGCTGGGGCTAACAGCAGGAGCTGACGCCACTCCCCAGATTCAAACTGCCAAACTTTTGGTTAGCAAGTTCAGCAGTTCAGTGGTTTAACCCACAGATAAATTTTATCTATTTGTATATTTATTTCTAGCATTTATATCCCATTCTTCTCTCCTCTGAAGAGGAACGCAGGATGGCTTACAACAGGCAGCCATTAGATGCCAATACAATACATTAAAACCACAATTACAATTAAACACAATTAAAATAACATTCAATTTAAAACATTTTTTTGTTGTGTCAGGAGAGACTTGAGAAACTGCAAGTGGCTTTTGGTGTGAGAGAATTGGCCGTTTGCAAGGACATTGCCCATGGGATGCCCAGATTATTTGATGTTTTATCATCCTTGTGGGAGGCTTCTCTCATGTCCCCGAATGAGCAGCTGGAGCTGGTAGAGGGAGCTTATCCGCCTCTCCCCAAATTCAAACCTGCAACCTGTCAGTCTTCAGTCCTGCCGGCACAGGGGTTTAACCCACTGCGCCACCGGGGGCTCCCATTTAAAACAGTTTTTTGGTTTAAAATCATAGTCCATTCAACATTCTCTTCCCAAATGCTCCATCTATTGTTCAAAGGCTTGATCCCAAAGTTTTTTTACAAAAGGTCAGGAGGGAGGGAGCAGATCTAATGTAATTGGGCAGGGAGTTCCACAACCGAGGAGCTACCACGGAGAAGGCCCTGTCTCTCGTCCCCATCAGTCGCATCTGCGAAGGTGGTACAACTGAGAGCAGGGCCTCCCCAGTTGATCCTCTGAGGATGCCTGCCACAGATGTGGGTGAAACGTCAGGAGAGAATGCTTCTGGACCATGGCCATATAGCCCAGAAAACTCACAGCAACCCATGGAAGGATTGCCAGCTCTAACACACAGGAGAAAGTTAATGAGGCAATGAACTTGCAGGTTGTCCTGGAATGAAAACAAAGCATGGCAGGTATTGTATAGCTGCAGCTGGTTGAATTAGTCTTAACTGTACAATTGGTAATTGTATTTCATGCTGGACTATATTAAACTCTAGATTAAATCTCCTTTTTGTAAAACTGATGAACATAGTTGTTTCTTGTTAAATGTTTCCTCAAGTTATCTCATGGAAGTGCCATCAGAAAGATTGCAGCGTATCTCACATAACCTCCCACTATCTCAGTTTGGCACCGGCAATCCCAATTGTTCCACATTTTTAGTGGCTTTTAAAATGTTCCAGTTTTTTTCACTCACTTCCTCCCATTTCCCCTCTTCAACTTTGGTTTACAAATTGGGTTCACAAAGCAAACGTCTGCACAACTCAGGAGAAAGAGGTTGATTTCTGCCCTACCCAGTTGGCTCAGGCAAAAGGAAACTGCTGCAGCCTCTTCTGGTTTGTCTGTTTTCCTCATTTGTAACTTTTTCCCATTTTCATCACACTGTAATGTTGCCAGGCTATACGTATGCCAATTTTTACCCATAGATGGTATGAGTTCAACTTATTTATTTAGGCTGGCATTTGAACCTTGCTGATCGAAATTTTCCTTGATTTTCATGTTATGTATTACATGTGTTTATTGTGAACCGGTCCGAGCCTTCAGGGAGTGACGGTAGATAAAATTTTTTGGTCGGGTCAGGAATGACTTGAGAAACTGCACATCGCTTCTGGTGTGAGAGAATTGGCTGTCTGCAAGGACATTGCCTAGGGGACGCCCAGATGATTTGATGTTTTTATCATCCTTGTGGGAGGCTTCTCTCATGTCTCCGCATGATGAGCTGGAGCTGATAGAGGGAGCTCATCTGCCTCTCCCCGGATTTGAGCCTGTGACCTGTCCTGCCGGCACAGGGTTTAACCCACTGCGCCACCGGGGGCTCCTTAATAAATAGAATCATAAAATCATAGAATCAAAGAGTTGGAAGAGACCTCATGGGCCATCCAGTCCAACCCCCTGCCAAGAAGCAGGAATAATGCATTCAAATCACCCCTGACAGATGGCCATCCAGCCTCTGTTTAAAAGTTTCACAAGAAGGAGCCTCCACCACACTCCAGGGCAGAGAGTTCCATGGCTCTCACAGTCAGGAAGTTCTTCCTCATGTTCAGGTGGAATCTCCTTTCTTGTAGTTTGAAGCCATTGTTTCGTGTCCTAGTCTCCAGAGAAGCAGAAAACAAGCTTGCTCCCTCCTCCCTGTGGCTTCCTCTCACATATTTATATATGGCTATCATATCTCCTCTCAGCCTTCTCTTCTTCAGGCTAAACATGCCCAGCTCCTTAAGCTGCTCCTCATAGGGCTTGTTCTCCAGACCCTTGATCATTTTAGTTGCCCTCCTCTGGACACATTCCAGCTTGTCAATATCTCTCTTGAATTGTGGTGCCCAGAATTGGACACAATATTCCAGGTGTGGTCTAACCAAAGCAGAACAGAGGGGTAGCATGACTTCCCTAGTTCTAGGCACTATGCTCCTATTGATAAATAAATAAACTTCACTGTCTTAACTTAAAAGTTTTCACATTAGCAGAGAACTTCCTTTGAATTTCCTATGTTTTTTTCACCTGCTAGAAAACAAACACCTTAAACAGCTAGGGCCCTAAGATCATCTGAGGAGACCCTGCTCATTGTCCCCCCATTGTCACAAACACGTCTGGTGGGGACAAGGGACAGGGCCTTTTCTGTGGTGGCCCCCTGGTTATGGAACTCCTTCCGAGTGAGATTAGATCTGCTGCATCCCTCTTGACCTTCCAGAAACAATCCTGGCTATGGGATCAGGCCTTTGGAGAATAGGCTGACCTACTGATGTGTTGACTTATTTAGAACCTCCCTGGATGATTATTTAAATAGGTGATCACTGACTATTTGTTGTCTGTTTTTGTATTGTTTATATGGTTTTATACTGTTTATACTGTTTTATATTGTTGTTACTATTACATTGCTGTTAATTGTATATTTATGTTTTGATGTGGGCATCATGGGGTGCCACTTTGTTAGCCGTCCTGAGTTCCTCTGTGGAGGTTGAGAAAGGACGGGATATAAAAGCCCTAAATAAATAAATAAATAAATAAATAAATAAATAAATAAATAAATACCATCAGTTGTTTCTGATCTCTTCACATCTTTTTGTTTTCCAGGGCAGAGCATCTATTCTTAATGTGACCCAGTATGACATATCTGACCTTCTGACAACATATAATGAAGCTTTCAAGTGGGTGAAGCCTTTCTACTCAGAAAGTAACAGCTTTCTCGAGATCCGCCAGGTAGAAGGAGAGCTGCCCTGTGGGAAGGACCAGGAAGTGCTGGTGGATTACATCCTTGATCGGAAAGAGCTGGATCCAGAGGCTGACCATGTTGATTTCTATTACTTGGTGAGTATCTAACACCCCAGGTTTGCTTTGTAGGAAAAACACATGATTGACTGGCTATAGAGCAAAAAGAGAAAGAAAATAAAAGGGAGAGCAAGAAAAATGCAAGAAAGGGAAAAGAACTAAATGAGGGCTACTATGAAAGAATCTAAGGAAAGATGGTAAAGAGAAAAAGACCATCAAACACATGGGCTGTCTCCAGGTAGGGACAATGATACACATTCTGCAGTTACAGGGTTTGTTTTTGGTCAAGAGATAGGAGCCACTGCAAATCTCAAGCTAGGTTACAGGAGTTTGAAGGATTAATTGATTCATTGCTACAACTTGCCAGGAGTTGGGGTCTGTATGTTTACTTCAATCTTCTTTCTCTCTTAGTCATTGTGGTGCTGGGGTTTACCCTCCAATCTGCACCCACCTTCTAGCTCAGCATTTCTCAACCTGGGGGTCGGGACTCCTGGGGGGGGTCACAAGGGGGTGTCAGAGGGGTCGTCAAGGACCACCAGAAAACACAGTATTTTCTGTTGGTCATGCGAATTCTGTGTGGGAAGTTTGGTGGGGTTCAGAATGCTCTTTGGTTGCAGGTGAACTATAAATCCCAGAAACTACAACTTCCAAATGTCACGGTCTATTTTTTTCTAAACTCCACCAGTGTTTACATTTGGGTATATTGTATATATGTGCCAAGTTTGGTCCAGATCCATCATTGTTTCAGCCCACAGTGACCTCAGGGTGTAGGTGAACTACAATTCCAAAACTCAAGGTCAATGCCCACCAGACCCTTCCAGTATTTTCTATTGGTCATGGGAGTTCTGTGTGCCAAGTTTGGTTCAATTCCATCGTTGGTGGAGTTCAGAATGCTTTTTGATTGTCAGTCAACTATAAATCCCAGCAACTACAACTCCCAAATAACAAAATCAATACCCCCCACCCTACCCCACCAGTATTCAAATGTGGGCATATCAGGTATCTGTGCCAAATTTGGTCCAGTGAATGAAAATACCACCTGCATATTAGATACTGACATTATAATTCATAACAGTAACAAAATTACAGTTATGAAGTAGCAATGAAAATAATTTTATGGTTGGGGGTCACCACAACATGAGGAACTGTATGAAAGGGTCGTGGCATTAGGAAGGTTGAGAACCGCTGTTCTAGCCAGAAACAAGTGGACTAGATCAAATGTCCATTATCCCTAAATAAATGAGAAATAATAATTCCCTAATTCCTCCTTGATCTGGGAATTTACCCTTTAGTAAACATGCTCTGTGTGTCTTTGCACGTTTAACTGCCAGAAAAAGAATATCCATGCAACTACAGGCCAGTGATCCTTACCTAAATATCTTGAAAACCATTAGAATCATAGAACCATAGAGATGGAAGAGACCTCATGGGCCATCCAGTCCAATCCTCTGCCAAGAAGCAGGAAAATTGCATTTAAAGCACCCCCCCCACCAGATGGCCATCCAGCCTCTGTTTAAAAGCTTCCAAAGAAGGAGCGTCCATCACACTCTGGGGCAGAAAGTTCCACTGCTAAACGGCTCTCATGGTCAGGAAGTTCTTCCTAATGTTCGGATGGAATCTCCTTTCTTGTAGTTTGAAGCCATTGTTCCTCGTCCTAGTCTCCAGAGCAGCAGAAAACAAGCTTGCTCCCTCCTCCCTATGACTTCCTCTCATGTGTTTATACATGGCTATCATGTCTCTTCTCAGATTCTGCAGGCTAAACATGCCCAGGTCTTTAAGCTGCTCCTCATAGGGCTTGTTCTCCAGACTCTTGATCATTTTAGTCGCCCTCCTCTGGACACATTCCAGCTTGTCAATATCTCTCTTCAATTGTGATGCCCGGAATTGGACACAGTATTTCAGGTGCGGTCTAACCAAGGCAGAATAGAAGGGTAGCATAACTTCAGGCCAAAATCCCATTGGCTTTTTTTGCCGCCGCATCACATGGTTGGCTCAACAATGGGTTATCAAAGGGTTATCAAATAGTATGTGGGAATGCTGCAGAGAGGGATGCTATAGCTGTCATTAATCTGGATTTCAGCACAGCATATGTGAATATCACCCATGATATTTGGATTAGCAAAGTGTAGAATAGAGGGGAACACTGTCAATTGGATCCATCATTGGAGGAAAATCATATAGAATCATAGAATCAAAGAGTTGGAAGAGACCTCATGGGCCATCCAGTCCAACCCCTGCCAAGAAGCAGGAATATTGCATTCAAAGCACCCTGACAGATGGCCATCCAGCCTCTGTTTAAAAGCTTCCAAAGAAGGAGCCTCCACCATACTCGGGGCAGAGAGTTCCACTGCTGAACGGCTCTCACAGTCAGGAAGTTCTTCCTCATGTTCAGATGGAATCTTCTCTCTTGTAGTTTGAAACCATTGTACCGCGTCCTCGTCTCCAGGGAAGCAGAAAACAAGCTTGCTCCCTCCTCCCTGTGGCTTCCTCTCACATATTTATACATGGTTATCATATCCCCTCTCAGCCTTCTCTTCTTCAGGCTAAACATGCCCAGCTCCTTAAGCCGCTCCTCATAGGGCTTGTTCTCCAGACCCTTTGTCATTTTAGTTGCTCTCCTCATTTTTAAGACTGCTCATCAATAGCTGTGCTTCTGACTGTTGGGGAGTCTCAGGTGGAATACCTTAAGGTTCTATCCTAGGACTGACGTTCTTCAATATTTTTGTCAGTAGCTTAGAGGGAATCCCTGTCAAAGTCTGTGTATGATAATAAAAAAACCCGGAGAGGTAGGTAACACATGGGAAAATCGGGAAACAATTCAAAAGTGCCTTGATAAACTTCAAATTTGGACTGAAACTAATAGAATGAAATATAACAGAGGCAAATAAAAAATTCTGCTTTTAGCTGACAAACACCAAATCCACATTTGTGGAACAGAAGAGACTTGGCTTGTCAGCAGTACTTGTAAAAGGATCTTGGGGTTGCTGGTGATCAGTTAGTCATGATACAGTATTTCTAGGATGAGGCTTTCCAGTTCAAAAGGAATTAATGAGCATTAATACAGAAATGTGTGGGAGAGCACATGATTGCAGTATGAGTTCAGTGGGTCCTTCGTATCTGCTGGGGTTAAATTTCAGAATCCTACACAGAAATCAAAACCCATGGAAGCAGAATAAAATGGCAAAATCAAGGTTTGCTTTTCTGAATATAAAGTAGATGGTTGAAGCCATGTGCAGCTATACCCAGAGGAAAAAAGGAAAACAGAGAGAGGTAGTCAGTGAAGTCATCATCCCTGCTAGTCAAAACATGTGAACATGTGAGAACGTATTCCTGCCCATAAAAGCTCAAGATACTAGCTCAGGTGGTAGATGTAGATCTTCTTTTGCAAACCCCCTGATTCTAAGCTTTCTTTCTCCCAAAATAGTCCTACATTTATAGGTGATTCTTACAAGTTATTTTGTCTGATAATGCTGTATGTTTCCCTTTTGTCCTGTATCTCCCTGCAGGTTGTATCAAGAGGCAGGATTGTCTCTGCTGGACAGAAGCAAGTGCAGGTTGGCAAAGATGAGAGTAAGTAAATGTATCAAAATGTAACTTGAAAGTATCAGAAATCATCCGGGCGTCCCCTGGGCAACGTCCTTGCAGACGGCCAATTCTCTCACAACAGGAGCGGTTGCTCCTGACACGTAAAAAAAACAACAAACCTCTCCATGTCCCAGTTGCTACTGTTTATACATGTCAACTAGTAGGAACTGATGAAGTACACAGCATATAAAAGATACAAGTTATATAAAACCATCGAATTGATACAGTTTATTAAAGGGTTAGAACTGATATAGTCTGTAGGGTACAGCTGCTGCTAGGTCCATTCCAGAACCTCTAGCGCAGTGCTTCTCAACCTTGGGTCCCCAGATGTTTTTGGCCTACAATTCCCAGAAATCGCAGTCAGTTAGGATTTATGGGAATTGTAGGCCAAAAACATCTGGGGACCCCAGGTTGAGACCCACTGCTAGCGCTTTGGCGTTTTACAGCTCCTGATCCAAGGGATTCTAATTAAAAAAAACAAAAACATATATTTGCTTGAAGTTTCTTGGTAAATTATACATTATTGGGGTAGGGGGGATGGAGTGGCTCGATAACACTAGCTACCTTAATTTTAGCAGCATATAAATTACCATATTTACTTGAATATAATGTGCACCTTTTTTGGCTAAATTACGTTGCCAAAATCATCATACACATTACATTCGCATAATAGGTACAGCAAAATGGGGAACCACTTCAGGAGCATTGAGTCGGGGCAGTGAAAGTGGTATCGGGATGCATTAATTCTATAGTATAGATAGAGTCATCCAAGGAAGCTGAGGTGGGACAAACAGTAGAGACTCTGAGTGAAGGGTTGCCTGTTTCTCCAGTTTTTTCTTTCCATTGCTAGAAGCTTTTTTTATTTTTAAAGGAGAAATCCTAAGCACACCACAAGTGTAATGTACACTTTTTTAGAACAAATTGCAAAGAGTGACCTTGTTGCCACTGCACATTACATTAGCCAGCAAATACTTCTTTTGGTTCAAGGGTTTTGAAAATTAAGGTGTGCATTACATTTGATGGCATACTAGATTTGCGTAAATAAAGTAATTTTAAAAGTTTTATCATTTAAATGTATTACTTTTACTTCTTTGTGATTGGTGATCCTATCAACCAAGGGCTTCAATAATGGAGAGCTCGTTTATTTCATGTGATAAACACTAGCTTTTGAAAGTTATCCCCATTAACTGATATCATCTATATCAGGGGTCCTCAAACTTTTTAAACAAAGGGCCAGGTCAAACTGTTGGAGGGCCGGATTATAATTTGGAAAAAAAATGAACAAATTCCTATGCACACGGCACATATCTTATTTGTAGTGCAAAAACACTTAAAACAATACAATAATTAAAATTAATAATAAGTTTAACAAATATATACTTATTAGTATTTCAATGGGAATTGTGGGCCTGCTTTTGGCTGATGAGATAGGATTGTTGCTGTGTGCGTTCAAGTCCTTTCAGACTTAGGTTGATCATGAGTGAGGGCCGGTAAATGATCTTGGAGGGTTGTATCCGCCCCCCGGGCTTTAGTTTGAGGATCTCTGATCTATATAAATAAAAATGTAATGTTCGTTTGTGGGATTAACAGAACTCAAAAACCGCTGGACAAATTGACACCAAATTTGGCCACAAGACACCTACTAACCCAAGGAGTGACCATCACTCAAAAATTTGATTTTGTCATTTGGGAGTTCTAGTTGCTGGGATTTATAGTTTACCTACGATCAAAGAGCATTCTGAACTCCATTGATGATGGCACTGGACCAAACATGGCACACAGGACTCCCATGACCAACAGAAAACACTAGAGGGTTTGGTGGACATTGACCTTGAGTTTGGGTTGTAGATCACCTACATCAAGAGAGCACTGTGGACTCAAACAATGATAGATCTAGACCAAACTTGGCACAAATATTCCACATACCCAAACATGTACACAGGTGGAGTTTGGGGAAAATAGACTTTGACATTTGGGAGTTGTAGTTACTGGGCTTTATAGTTCACCTACAGTCAAAGAGCATTCTGAACTCCATTGATGATGGCATTGGGGCAAACTTCCCACACAGAACCCACACGACCAACAGAAAATACTTAAGGCCATCCAGTCCAACTTCCTTCACCAGGGCAAGAAAATGTAATCAAAGCCCTCCTGAGAAAGAGCCATCCAGCCATAGATACAGATAGATATGATTCATACACACACAGATATAGTATCATAGATTTGAAAGGGATCCTTAAAGAAGGACAAAGATATGTTGCATGTTCCAGAGTAGGCAAACCAGACAATCTCCACATTAACACTGACAAAGAAACTGCAAGAAATACTGTTTACCCACAAGCAGAAACAAATTACATATATTAGAAACTTTCTCATTACTTTATTTTCCAGACCACCACACTGGGCCACAGCAATGCGTGGCAGGGGACAGCTAGTTGTTTATATATTTTCATGGATAGATATAGATAGCACTAACAAATGTTTGGATGGACAAATTTCTTTATTAATGGATTCATTCTTCTGATAACATTTGCAGTTTCTGGTTTTCAGTGTTTGGGAGTTGAAGTCATAAACACATGGAGGACCAAAGCTTAGAATTCACTTCTATAGAGTATCATTTCAGAGTGAATGAAGCATGCATTTTCAGTGCATTTTCTTTGACTAACACATTTTCCCCTATAATCCAGCCCTGAAAGGCACCTTCTCTTTCACCTTGACCGCGAGTTCTGACCTGGCACCCAAAGCTAGGCTTTTGCTCTATGCTGTGTTTGCGGATGGCGAAGTGGCAGCTGACCTTGAAGTCTTCACAGTAGACCTGTGCTTCCGGCATAAGGTTAGCATGTAATGCCAAAGACATTATGTGTGTGGAGCCAGATTAATTACAGAGCCATCACTTTCCATTTGTACACTTGTTTGTTTCTAGCTCTCATCTGTAGCCAAATAGGTTTTGCTGATTGTTTTAAAACAAGTGGCACCAATGTAATAATCGTGTATTAAATTAAAAATTAAAATGTTACCATTCCACCGTTAACCCTCCTAAAATGTATTTCTATTTTGCATTTTTCCCGTTTCTAAAGCTTTCCACTCCTAAAAGTGCCTGCTTTGGGGGTGCAAAAGAGATCAACCATTGATAATCTATCTTCAGTTCCAAGGCAACAGAGAATTAAAGTGGATATGTGTAGGGATTTAAGTGTTAGTCTAGGATTCTGTGAGATGGCAATTCTAATCTCCAATCAGGCATGAAATCCTACTAGATCAGTGATTCTCAAATGTGGGTCCCCAGATGTTTTGGCCTTCAACTCCCAGAAATCCTAAGAGCTGGTAAACTGGCTGGGATTTCTGGGAGTTGTAGGCCAAAACACCTGGGGACCCACAGGTTGAGAACCACTAGTCTAGATGACCATGGGGAAGTAACATTCCCATGGCCTTGGAAAAAGGCAATGGCAAAATTCCTCTAAATCCCCAGGTGTTTTTGGCTACAACTCCCAGAAATCCCAGCCAGCAGGCCCATAGCCAGTATTTTAATTCGGGGGGGGGGGGGGGCTGAGTCTGAGTGAAAGAGGGTCTACCCTAGCAAACCTTTTGTATTGTTACCACAATACCCCCATGCATATGGGATATATTGAGTATGGTGATCAGATCATGATATGAATAAACATAACAGTTTAAATAATGCACCAGTAAGGCCTTCTCGCGGACCACCATGAGAATTTCGGGGGGAGCTGAAGCCCCTCAAGCCCCCCCCCCCCCCGGCTACATGCCTGCCAGCCAATTTAACAGCTGTTAGAATTTCTGGGAGTTGAGGGCCAAAACATCTGGGGAAACACAAGTTGAGAACCACTGCTCTAAATAAATCTTGCAAAGGAAACCCCGTGGTAAGGTCGCATTAGGTCAGAGAAGACTTGCAAGTGCACAGCAACACAACCCAATAATGATGAGGACTACAACAACTTCAATACAACAATTCATTAAACTAAGAGGACAGATATTTTTCATGAAGTCTGACAGGCAAAAGACAGAAATTCAGCAGGGCTTGAGAAAATCACTGTTTGGGCTACAGATTTCTCCAGATAGCATGGCTAGAGGGATTTGAGAGTTTGGGTCCAAAAAAAGCAACTTTACCATAGTCTGGCTAAATTCTACATGAATTTCAATAGTAGTGATGATAAGTATGTGCTGTTACAGACCATTCCCCTACATAAGATAGTACAATACCATTAAAATCCATTTGAACTTTTAAATTTGTGCTGAAGTAGTTCAAAAAGAACCTTAAAACCTGGCTCTTCCGCTGCACCTTTGGCAAGTAGGTGCACAACATGACACTATTGCTCCCCTCAACACTTCTGTCACTGGAGTACACGCCCTCCAAATGGGAAGTTTAATTCCACAACCCTGTGTGTTTTTATGAGCTCCCTGCAAATAACCTGCTCCTATTTTTATCTCATTAGAGTTTTTACATCATTTTATCCTGTACACGTGGCCCGCCCACTGTTATCGTGATTGTGTTTATTGGAATGTTATTTTGTTACTGTGTTTATACTTTTTTTCTATTTAATTTTGATGATATTGCTTGTTTATGTTCTGGTTTTATTTTGCTGTAACATGTTGTCCGGGCTTGGTCCCATGTAAGCCGCTTTGAGTCCCCATTGGGGAGATGGTGGTGAGGTATAAATAAAGATTATTATTATTATTATTATTATTATTATTATTATTATTATTATTATTCTGGGATTTTGGCCTGCATCAATAGGAGTATAGTGTCTAGATCTAGGGAAGTAATGCTACCCCTCTATTCCGCTTTGGTTAGACCACACCTGGAATATTGTGTCCAATTCTGGGCACCACAATTCAAGAGAGATATTGACAAGCTGGAATGTGTCCAGAGGAGGGCGACTAAAATGATCAAGGGTCTGGAGAACAAGCCCTATGAGGAGCGGATTAAGGAGCTGGGCATGTTTAGCCTGAAGAAGAGAAGGCTGAGAGGAGATATGATAGCCATGTATAAATATGTGAGAGGAAGCCACAGGGAGGAGGGAACAAGCTTGTTTTCTGCTTCCTTGGAGACTAGGACGCGGAACAATGGCTTCAAAATGCAGGCTTCCTAACTGGAAATCATTCTCTCTTTTCTCTCTCCACAGGTGAAAGTAGCCTTCTCAGAAAATGAAAAGCTTCCAGGGTCCAAAGTCAATCTGGACATAGAGGCTGCCCCAGGTGCACTCTGCTCTCTTCGTGCTATTGACAAGAGCGTGGCTCTGAAAAGGAATTCAACTCTGACACCAGAAGATGTAAGCAATTCACATTTCCTAGCAATCAATCAATTCGTCCTGTGTAGCTCACTGGTCTGAACAAAGAACTAGACATTTTGTAATATAGGAGTTGAATCAAATGGCAGTTCGAGGCCACAGAATAAACACTTTGGGAGACGATTCCACCAGCCTCCAAGGCAGCATAATCCACTGTAACCCACCCTTCTGTCAGTCTCACAATTCCAACCCGCCCCCCACCAAATTGCTTTGTGCTAGAGGGTAGAGTTACTTTGCATCATTTCAAATTCCCATTGTCATGCTAAGATTCAACTTGAGCTGCTGTGACTTCACCCAGTGGTATCATAGGGCTTGTTATTTGGTCGGAAGCCCAGAAGGCATCCCTGGCTGAGAATTCAAAAGTCCCTCCCTACAGTACTAATCCCAGGATTGCATAGCATGTTGCACTGACTGTTATAGTTGATTCATCACGCTATAATACATCCGGAGAGGTCCTGCTCGCGATCCCACCTGCGTCGCAGGCGCGTTTGGTGGGGACGAGGGACAGGGCCTTCTCTGTGGTTGCCCTGACTTTGGAACACCCTCCCCAAAGACATTAGACTAGCACCCACGTTGGCAGTCTTTAGGAAGAACTTGAAGACTTGGTTATTCCGATGTGCCTTTCCAGAATAGGATAACCTCCAGCACTTTGTTCCAGAAGCACTTTATTAGAGTTTAATACTCTCTGCACATTGCAGTTGCCCAGAACTCCAACATACCACCTCACACACCCAGCACTTTTAACCTGTACCCATCATTGGCCCGGCCCTGATTTTAATGTGTAATAGTGTAATGTTTTGTTGTGTTATTGCTTATGTTTTTAATTTGCTTGCATTGTTATTGTTTGTTGTTGTTATGTTGAGGCCTTGGCCTTTGTAAGCCGCATCGAGTCCTTCGGGAGATGCTAGCGGGGTACAAACAAAGTTTAATAATAATAGTTTAATAATAAATGGGTCCTTTAAAAGGTCAAGTAGTTTAAGTTACACTATCAAGGGACTGCAGTAGTTAGTTTTGTACATTATGACTACAAAAGTAACTATGACTAATTTATAACAGGAGTAGAATCATAGAATCATAGAATCAAAGAGTTGGAAGAGACCTCATGGGCCATCCAGTCCAACCCCCTGCCAAGAAGCAGGAATATTGCATTCAAATCACCCTTGACAGATGGCCATCCAGCCTCTGTTTAAAAGCTTCCAAAGAAGGAGCCTCCACCACACCCCGGGACAGAGAGTTCCACTGCTGAACAGCTCTCACAGTCAGGAAGTTCTTCCTCATGTTCAGATGGAATCTCCTTTCTTGTAGTTTGAAGCCATTGTTCCTCGTCCTAGTCTCCATGGAAGTAAAGCCTTGTCACATTGTAATTGTAATATATTTAAGATTTACTTCAATTGCCGTATATACTCAAGTATAAGCCGACTTGAATATAAGCCGAGGTACCTAAGTTTCCACTCACATGCAAATATGTGAGTGGAAATTCATATGGTCCAGATCCATATGTATACAATGATGGATCTGGACCAAACTTGGCACAAATACTCAATATGCCCATATGTGAACATTGGTGGAGTTTGAGGAAAATAGACCTTGACATTTGGGAGTTGTAGTTGCTCCATCATTGTTTGAGTCCACAGTGCTCTCTGAACCGGTCCGAATCTCTCTTTGAAGGTGAGAGGGTCGGTACATAAAACCGCGAAATAAATGTAGGTGAAATACAAGTCCAAAATTTAAGGTCAATACCCACCAAACCCTCCCAGTATTTTTGGTCATGGAAAGTTCTGTGTGGCAAGATTGGTTCAATTCCATCATTGGTGGAGTTCAGAATGCTCTTTGATTTTAGGTGAACTATAAATCCCAGGAACTACAACTCCCAAATGACAAAATCAATCCCACCCCACCAGTGTTCAAATTTGGGCATAATGGGTATTTGTTCCCAATTTGGTTCAATGAATGAAAATACATCCTGCATATCAGATATTTATATTATGATTCATAACAGTAGCAAAACTACCATGGTGAAGTAGCAACAAAAATAAGGTTATGGCTGGGGGGGTGTGTGTGTGTGTGTGTGCAAAACATGAGGAACTGTATTAAGGGGTCGCAGCATTAGGAAGGTTGAGAAACACTGGTCTATAGCTTTTTGGATCATTACATATACCGGGCCCAAGGGAGATACACCTGGAAGCTACAAGGTGTAGAGCTTTTTCGACCTATGCTCCAATTCTGTGGAACTCTTTGCCTCCATACATTAGATCAATGTCAGAGTTGCGACCTTTTGTAAAGGGACTCAAGACTTGGCTGTTTGGTTGTGCATTTAAGTAATCAGATCAAATTTGCCAAATAGTCACTGTTGAATGTTTTTATGTTGAATGTTTTTATATTGTGTAAATGTTATTTTAGAATGTAAGTCGCTCGGAGCACCTTGGTGGAGAGCGATTAATTAAGAAATAAAGTGAAGTGAAGTGAAGTGTCTGGTTTCAAGATGTCTATGACTCTTGCTCTCCTCCAGATTTTGGGGATCTGACAGGATGCAGAGCAGTTGTTCATCAGCTTCAGCAGCCAGCACCTTGCATTTGGACCAAAGTTCTTAATTTGTTCCATCTGTAGATCATCCAGGCCGGCTTCTTTGCCATTTTTACATTTATTGAGAGCCATGTTAAATTCAGTAAATGTAAAAGGTTCGTGAAGGTTGTTGTTCTCAATATCTGGTTGTCTGACTATTGGTTTCTTTCCTACTTTGGTGGCAAGGTTGGGCTCCCCATTCTTCTACAGCTGCTGTGCTATCTGATCTGCCTTTATGTTGGCATGGGTATTAGTTTTTGAGGGGTCATTGCTCAACCATCTTAGCAGCCTCCACACCTTCTGGCTGCTCCTGCCCATGTCGACTTCTGTTATCAGCTTTATCCACTGTTCTTTCTTGGCTTCAGAGATGGAGGACAAAATGCTCTGCGCTGCCTGAAGAGTTTGTTCACTAAATGGGTCTTCGTTGTGGAGCCTGTAATAGTTTTCCAACAAGGCAGCTGTTCCTGGAGTAATGCCCTGAAAGTGGTGGGTTCTGCGGCCTAAAAATGACACAAGCCAATGTGACCATAGTTGGCAACATTCCCCTTGAGAGCTTAGCGAGGGGCTGTTTTCGTTTCACCATCTTGCCATGATTTCCTTACTTTTGCTCTCTTCAATATGCTCTGATAGTGGTTGGCTACGTAATACCGGGTGTCCTGGTTTTTAATCTCTGAAATGTTGGCAGTTATATTATTCCAGTGATCTCTGTTTTCAGGTATATAACATACATTATGATGGTGATGACATGGTTGGTGCCAGAGGATTTATGTATCACATGGAAGACTTTGAGCCATACCCGTGTTTACCATCTGAAAGGAGGTCAAAGCGTTCCTTTTTTGGCCCCTGGTTCCAAAGCCAACCTGACGTCTATGGTCTTTTCCAGGTCAGTACGCTCTGTTAAGCATCCATCTCTGTCTGTTTGGGATTGAGTTCCTTTGATTAAACCAGCAGTGGGGAAACTCAGGCCTGGGTCTAAACCAGATCTGTCCGCTAACTCCATGACATTTTTATTTAGTGGTTTTTGCATTTTACACCCCCAGGTCTTTTTAAAATAATCTATATTAGGTATTTTCATAATATATTTTGTTAAAAAACAGATATAGAGAGAGAAAAGGAAAAGGGGGGGGGGGAAGAAAGAATGAAAATGTAGCGAGAGAAAGGGGGAAAGTAGAGAGAGAGAAAAGGAGAAAAAATTATATATATTAAAAGGTAATAGAAGTAGAGAGAAATAGAAATAAAAACAGTGAGAGAGGAAAGGTGGTAAAATCTTCGGTCCTGCTTCCAGGCTGCTTCAAGGAGGGATTCTTCCTTTTCTCTCTTTACGGTCTTTCTGGTTCTTCTCATCTGCTTTCTCCCTTTCTTCTCTGTATTCTCCTGCTTGGTGTGTGAGAGATTTCTATTTTTCCCTTTATCCCATTTTTTATTTTTGCTTTAAACATTCTGTTATCAAAGTCCAATCTGTCTCTTTATTTTCCCTTTGTAGTTTTGTAATAAGTAGGTTAATCTATCCATGTTTCTTATGTCCATAATCTTTTTATTCCAATCTTCAATTTTAGGTAATTTATTTTTTCTCCATAATCCCGCATAGCATATTTTAGCAGCGGTTGTTGATAAGAAAATAAGTTTATCTATATTATTATCCATTAATTATAACCCCAATAGTGATGGAAAAGAAGTTCCCAAAAAATTTAAAAAAAGTAATGGATAAAAAGGTAAGGGAAATAAATTTAGATAGGATAGGGGATTGGATGAAGGTGGAAATGAAGAGGGAAAGGATGTTGGAAGAGTTTAAAGAAATAAAATTGTCATGGTTTCATTGTATACAATTAGAACAATGGGTAATAAATTGGAAAAAAAATAATAGAAGTGAAAGCCAACTCAGTCAATTCGAACAAATAATACAGAAGGGAAGGACTGCAGAAGAACACGAAAACTTGAGAGGTATAATTAGCAAAATTTATAAGATATTAATTGAAATGAAAGATGAAAAAACAAAAAAGTGCACCCTTAAAGAGATTTGGGAAGAAGATTTAGGGATAAAAATAAGCGAAATAGAGTGGCAACAGTTATGGGGACAAAGACATTTAAAAAATTTATCGATACGAGTTAAAGAAAATTATTATAAGTTAATATGGAAGTGGTACTTAACACCGGTAAGAATAGCATATATGAATAAAAATAACTCAATAAATTGTTGGAGAGGGTGTCAAGAACCAGGAACATATATACACATGTGGTGGCAATGTAAATATGTAAATAATTTTTGGGAGAAAGTATTTAGAGAAATAGAAACTATAATGAATATAAAATTAGATAAAAGTCCTAGTATAGCATTACTATTATTATATAACGATAAGCAATTGAAAAAGGAGGATAAAGAAGCGATAACAAACTTACTAACTATAGCAAGACTGCTTATAGCAAGGAATTGGAAAAAAGAAATGAATATACAAATAGAGGAGTGGTATAAAGAAGCATGGAAAATAGCAATAAACGATAAATTGACATGTATATTAAAGGTTAAAAAAGGTATATGGAAACAAAGCGATTTTGATGCTGTATGGGGAAGATTTGTGGTAAATGGATTAAAAAATAAGGAAGGAAAATTACCGTCACAAGAAGAAATGAAATTTTGGACAGATGAAATGTAAGAAGGGTGGCTTGAAATGGGTGGAGGGGAGCACTGTGGTGAAAAAAGGGGGGAAAAAATGAGAAAAAGGGGGAGAAATGTCAGAGTAAAATAATAAAATAACATGTTAAAGAGGTTGATGTACAAAATGTAATAGTATGTAATAAAGTGATAAATTAATAAAAAAAATTAAAAAAAAATCTATATTATTATCCATTTTTGTTCAATTATTCCCAATAAAAACATTTCTGGTTTAAGTGGTATGTTAACTTTTAATATTTTTTGTGGATTTTCCTGTATTTCCTTCCAAAAACTTTTTGCTTTTTTACATGACCGCCACATGTGGTAGAAGGTTCCCTCCACTTCTTCACATTTCCAACATTTTGAATTTATATTTTTGTAATATTTGCCTAATTTCTGTAGTATCATGTACCATCTATGCAACATTTTTATCCAGTTTTCTTTTAAATCAAATGCGCACGTGTATTTCAATTTTTTTGTCCAAATTTTTCTCATTCCTCTAGACCAGGGGTCCACAAACTTTTTAAACAGAGGGCCAGGTCACAGTCCCTCAAACTGCTGGAGGGCCGGATTATAATTTGAAAAAAAATGAATGAATTCCTATGCACACCGCACATATCTTATTTGTAATGCAAAAAACACTTGAAACAATACAATAATTAAAATGAACAATTTTAACAAATATAAACTTATTAGTATTTCAGTGGGAAGTGTGGGCTTGCTTTTGGCTGATGAGATAAGATTGTTGTTGTTGTTGTTGTGTGTTTTCAAGTCATTTCAGATTTAGGTTGACCCTGAGCAAGGGCCGGGTAAATGACCTTGGAGGGCTGCATTCGGCCCTTGGGCCGTAGTTTGAGGACCCCTGCTCTAGACCCATTGTCCTTCCAATATTTTTCGCCCAATTAATCATGCATTCTTTAACTCCTTCTTCTTCTGTACTCCATTCTAATAGTTTTTGATAAAGGCTGAAATGCAGGTAGTAAAAGCTTAAGGATAAAATAGGCTGCAATGTTGGCATCCAGTCTCTTTGCCGTCGCTCCCTACCATACATGCAGGGACACAGAGCCTCTACCCCCGCCAGTAGAACATGCATTTTAAAAAGTGGAGGGCAGGGAGGAAAATGCTCGAGATTTGAAATGAAAAGCAGATTTTCTGTTTAGCAATGTTAACCCTGTTAAGAAAACTTAGAACAAATCTTCCAGTTTGTGTGCAGATCTGTACTGTGTGTGCATGTGCGTGCAGGTAGTTTATCTGGATTATGACCAACAATAGCAAAAGCAGGAATTGAGTATATTTCAGGCAAATGTGGTAGCTGAAATGCACGAAGGCAAAGTGGTCCCTAAAGGACAATAAAACAAAAGTTATTCAGTACAGGTTTTTGCCAAAATAACTACCTGCAACCTCATGTCAGAACGATTCCACCTGCCCAAACTTTTGCAATATATATGACTTCCAGGGACTTAAATTGTATGCACTTCTTCTTGTAAGCTTGAATTGGGAGAATTTATTGTCTGTGGTCAATGGAGACAGGAAGGATGGATTCTGAGGGAACTGAAATCACCACAAAATTAGCAATTTTACCATCATACAAAAGATTTTTAAAGCATAGAACAGCATAGATTTCCAGGCTAGATAAATGTGCAGGTAAACTCCAGAGGGACAGAAAAAGCAACAACTGCTGATCCCAATGGGAAACTGGTTGGGATAAGCTGGTTTTCCATTAAGGAACACCTTTTAGGACTGTGAAAACACATCGGAAGAGAGACAGGTATCACATTTCCTGGTGTGTCATCTGCAGCAGTTGCAGAAGGTAATTGGAGAAAGGCAGCACATTTGGTCCATGAAAACATCCTTGTGTTAGACATACAAGGGCCTAAATACCCCAAAAGACACCAGAGCCTGCCTGATCTAAAAAGCTAAGTGGAGTCAAACCTGGACCAATTGTTGCCAGATCAGACTTCACAAGGTACAGACAAGCTTTAAGTGTGCAAACGCTCCCCTGGCCACTGCCGAAACCTGGAGTTCCAAGCTCAGCGATCACTCCCAAGCTGTGAACCTGCGTCTTCAGGGGGAGTGTAATCTCATTAAGCACAGCCTGTAACCCATGGACTGTTCGGCCTTTCAGCTGACTAGAAGGACCTCTGTCTTGTCTGGATTCAATTTCGATTTGTTAGCCCTCATCCAGTCTGACACAGCGGCCAAGCACCGGTTCAAGGTCTGAACAACCTCCTTAGTAACGAGTGGGAAGGAGTGACTTATTTTATTTCTTCAGAAATGTCACAAATTTGAAATCTTGTACATGGGAGTAAAGTAAATTGAAACTTATTTGTCTTTTGTTGCCATTCTTTCTTTCCTACTCCCTCTGATATCCATAGAAACTTAGGCTCAAAGTGTTCACCAACACCAAGGTGAAGAAACCAGTCACATGTGACCTGTCAGTGGTTGAGAGACGGCTCTTCAGAGGAGGTCAGTGTGGTGTGACTGTCTTTCTCTGCTGGAATGTTATAGGAAAAGGGGAGGGAGACTGATCTGTTTCCTCATGCCCACTTTTCTTGGCCGTAGGTTGTTTGTCGCTTGGTCTATGTTTTATGATGTCTTACATTTTATTGGTTTTATTGTTGTGATATAGTTGACTGTTATATGCTTTTAATTGTGTTACTTTGTAACCTTTGTTTACATTGGACTTGGTCCCCATGTAAGCCACCCCGAGTCCCTTTGGGGAGATGGAGGTGGGATATAGGAATAAAGCTATTATTATTATTATTATTATTATTATTATTATTATCATCATCATCATCATCAAAATGTACAAGTTGCACAGAAGCTGCTACACATGTATTTCGCCAGGACAAATAATCCCCTCCAATCTGATGGCTGCCAAATAATCTTGCTAGATTTCTTTTCCCCTGCAGGTGGATTTGTTTCACAAATAAACAGTGAAATAATATCATTTTCCATTTATGTGCAATTATATATGCAGAAATATGTTTGATAATGTTCTCCTGTTTATTTGCATATCTTTAAATATCATCATATCCAGGCATGTAGCCGGGGGGGGGGGGGGGGGGGGGGGGGGGGCTTGGCCCCCCCCCCCGAAATTCTCATGGTGGGTCGCGAAAAGGCCTTACTGGTGCATTATTTAAACTGTTATGTTTATTCATATCATGATCTGATCACCATACTCAATATATCCCATATGCATGGGGGTATTGGGGTAATGATACAAAAGGTTTGCTAGGGTAGACCGTCTTTCACTCAGACTCAGCCCCCCCCCCGAAACCCCCCCTGAAAAAAACTCACCCCCCCCCTCGAATCGAAATCCTGGCTACGGGCCTGATCATATCCATCTTCCCCTTCCTCAAAAGGTAGAATCCAGCAGATTTCTTCTGATGTTGCTTTGAGTAGCCCTAAATTTCCTCTGAGCAGAGAGGATAGACACTCTACCTCAATGCTTTTGGGGAAAGTTACATATATTTCTGTAGGAAATTATGTATGAAATTCCAGTATGATGGTGTAGTGAGTCAGACAAGTGTGCCTTCTACAAGCCAGTATATGGCTTCAACCAGCATTTCTACCATCCTTCTTATTTTCCTGTCTGTAAGTCTCATCATCTCAAATCTTCCTGCCAAAAGAAACACAGGAGGGATGGAATTTAAAGGACCCATCTACACAGCACCTAAAACACAGGATTTCCCAAGTTAAAGGGCTGCATGACGCTAGCAGTAACTCTGCACTGATTTGCTGCAATGATTTCTGATATCCTGATTCCTGCCAAAAAATGTGCATGTTCGCATCACTATATATCCCTACACTCACAAAAACATGTAATTTTCTTCCCTCCCTTCTGTGGAGATTGCTGTAGCCCAGGTCTGCTTTTTAAAAGCCCGAAACAGCCAATCAACCGATTGGGCTGTGAAACGGACACACAGCTGATTTAAAGGAAGCACAAATGGAGAACAATTAGAACTTTTTGAAACTCTTTATTTAAAACTTTATAATATTAACCAGAGCTTGAATAAACAATTGAGAGAAGAGAGAAATCTGACAGAAGGTTTTTTTTTAAAAAAAATCCTCCATTATGTGCTGAACCTCATGTGTTCACATGCATCCAGTGTATAACAGTGATTTTTATATATATACCAGCTTGGGGACCCGGTGATGCCTGGGTTACTTGAGAAAGGCGTTGTTTGATTTGGGAAGTTTAGTAATATTTCTGGATGTGGGGCGAACTACAACTCCTACATAGATGGGTCATCCCCCCCCCCCCCACCCCCCAACCCCTCCAGTATGTTATGTTGGCCCGGGTTATTTGAAAAAGGCCCTATTTGTTTGGGGGTATTAGGTAATATCAGTTTGGTAATTTGTAGCTCTATTTGTTAGAAATATGGCCCCTACCCTTTTCTAAACATAATAGCAATGATCTATCTTCATATTTGTTTTCTTCTTCTTCAGGAGACAATTTTCCTATTGCTTATAGTATCGCTCAAGAAAATGCGGTGCCTATTAATTCAGTCAAACAAAAAGAAGAGAAAAGTAAACCCAGGACATACTTTCCCGAGACCTGGGTTTGGGAATTGGTCCATGTCAAGTAAGTAAAGTAAACCTCTACCTGGGAGGCAGGATCCAAATATTCCTTGTGAGTATGTGGCCTCCTCTCCTGGACATTAAACCACAAAACCAGCTGTCATAAGAGAACTCAAACCTTTTACCAATTTATCCATTGGCCAGAATTCCTTTTCAGATAGATCCTTGCAAAGATATAGGAACATTGTTCTCACACGTGAAATGCTCATTTTAAACAGTGAAAAAAAAATAGTTATGTATTTCATTTTCCTCTGTTACTGCATCCACTAATTTTCTCTGCCACGGCGCCTGCATTCATAGATTCGATGAATCACAACTCAAAAATTCTTAAGAAAAAATAATCTAAAAAGCAAGCTTTGTCGAAGAATTTCATGGACAGAATCACTGGGTTGTTGTAGGTTTTTGCGGGCTATATGGCCATGAAATCCACAAGCATGTGGACAATTTCAACAGAAAGGAGGAAACCATGGAAATGAACAAAATCTGGCTACCAGTATTAAAAAACTCTAAAATTACAACAGCAAAACAACAGAGAGGAAACAATCAAGGACATCTAATTACCTCTCAACAAAAGATTGGCCCAGGCCCTGCCAGGCCATCAAATGCTAATCAAGGTGGTTAGTTTATTAATTAATTAATTAATTGAACTTATATGCCGCCACTCCCCTGGGGCTTGGAGCGGCTTACAAGAATGGCTAAAACCTAACACAATTTAAAACAATTTAAAACAATTTAAAAACAGCAATATCAAAATCAAAGGCCTGTCAAAACAGGTATGTCTTACAAGCAAGTTGAAACATTCACACCTAGCTCCAACAGACAAGAGTTCTTTGTCCCACCCTGGTCATTTCACAGATATATAAACCCATTTTCCTACTTCCAACAGACCTCACTACTTCTGAGGATGCTTGCCATAGATGCAGGCGAAACGTCAGGAGAGAATGCCTCTAGAACATGGCCATATAGCCCGAAAAAACCTACAACATCCAAGCAAGCTTTTATTTTGCTGTGTGCCAAACACATGGCCTGTTCTAGGTTTCCTGTCATTTCACAGATCCTCGAGTTCTCTCCAGCAATCATTTCATTTGTTTGTCGTTTTATGCAGGGGAGACCAATTCTGTATAATGGGACTTGAACATCCACAGATTTTAGTATCCACAGGGAATCCTAGAGCCAACACCAAGTGGATATTGATGGTGTATTGTATCTTTAAGTGGTTGCATTTCCCATTTAATCTGATATTTATTTTATTTATTTATTTACATTATTTATATCCCGCCCATATCAGCCCGCAAGCGACTCAGGGCTGTCTACATATCGACACAATTCGATGCCATCAATACATACATTCAAAAGCAAAAACAATTAAGTGCATTTAGACAAAAAAAGACAGTGCAATAACAATTTAAAAAGAACTATATCCTCTCATTCCAATCCTCATCCGTTTCATCGTCTTGGCCGTTCCTGGGTCATTTTCCATCTCAAGCTTGACTATTTATTCCGGGGTTCCGAATGCTTGCTCGAAGAGCCAGGTTTTTACTTTCTTCTGAAAAGTCAGGAGGGAGGGGGCTGATCTAATATCCCTAGGCAGGGAGTTCCACAGCCGAGGGGCCACCACAGAGAAGGCCCTGTCCCTCGTCCCCGCCAAGCATGCTTGCGAAGCAGACGGGATTGAGAGCAGGGCCTCCTCAGATGATCTTAACTTCCTGGAGGGTTCGTAGGAAGAGATGCATTCGGATAGGCAGGACAAAGTTGGTAAGCACAGCAGCCGCCAGCAGCAGAATAGAACAGAGTCTAGACAATATTACAGCTGAATGAATAAAAACTTCAGAAATTGAAAAGAAGTATAAAGGAATGGGGAACAGCTAAGTAATATGTATATATGTATATTGTTTGTATTTGTAAGTATATTGTGGCATCGAATTTTGCCAAACAGTAAGCTGCTTTGAGTTTCCCTTGGGGTGAGATAGAGTGGGATAGAAATATAGTAAATAAATAAATAAGATAGGAAAAATGTCAGTGGAAGTATCAAGACTTCCCAATTTTTTTGATTTTACCTATTTTTTTAACCTAATTTTTATTTATTTATTTTTTAAAATTAAAAATAATGATTTTACCTAATTTATTTTGATTTTGGTTTTGCAACCAAGCTCTTTCTTGAGATATGTTGGGCTTCCCTCACTCCCCACCTTGTGTTGTCTCTCTTCCCCCTGTCCCCAATTATAGTTCACATCTAGACTTAGGCAAAATTTCAGAAATTGCCTTTCACCAATTTCCAATGAGCCCTTTTTTATGCGACACGATTTTTGTTCCTGGGTTATGTATTTCATTTCCTAATTGGTTCTATCATAAAAACATGGAAAATGTTTATCAAAATGCAAAAACATTGTTTTTGCGGAACATCCTGCAGCACATTTTGCTCTAGTTTTCCAATGAATGCCTCAGAGTCTCAACCAATTCAACATAGTTTGTGGCAGCCACAAAAACAAAGTTCTGGAGTATCACAACTACTTCCATAGTACATCCTGCACAATTTAAATAATACTTTCAAGTTAGGAACAGAAAATGATTCAAATTTTGTTACATAGTGTTATTTAGGTGCTATAGTCAAAATTCTAAGGTGTTCCGGAAATACTACATGAGCAAAACCCAGGGATTATTTATTTATTTATTTATTTGACTTGTACTTCCAATTTGGCTCGGAGGGTTTACAGCAGTGGATTAAAACAATACAATTACCTTTAAAATACAGTAAAGATTATAACTTGTCCTGAGAACAGTCGCTATGTTTCTTGGGAACAGACATCTTAGGTACGTAGTTACAAGATAACAGGGAGACACAGGCATCAAGTCATACATTTCATTTTGGGAAATACTGATCTAATTATTTAAGGCTTTCATGGCCAGAATCGCTGGGTTGTTGTAGGTTTTTTTGGGCTATATGGCCATGGTCAAGAGGCATTTTCTCCTGACGTTTCACCTGCATCTATGGCAAGCATCCTCAGAGGTAGTAAGATCTGTTGGAAGTAGGAAAATGGGTTTATATAATGTATTGTCGAAGGCTTTCATGGCTGGAATCACTAGGTTCTTGTGGTCTCTTCCTTTCTGTTGAAATTGTCCACATGCTTGTGGATTTCAATGGCTTCTCTGTGTAGTCTGACGTGGTGGTTGTTGGTGTGGTCCAGCATTTCTGTGTTCTCAAATAATATGCTGTGTCCAGGCTGGTTCATCAGGTGCTCTGCTATGGCTGACTTCTCTGGTTGAAGTAGTCTGCAGTGCCTTTCATGTTCCTTGATGCGTGTCTGGGCGCTGCGTTTGGTTTGGGTTTATATATCTGTGGAATGACCAGTGTGGGACAAAGGACTTTTGTCTGCTGGAGCTAGGTGTGAATGTTTCAAGTGACCACCTTGATTAGCATTTAATGGCTTGGAAGTGCCTGGGGGGAATTTTGTTGAGAGGTGATTTGATGTGCCTGATTGTTTACTCTCTGTTGTTTTGCTGTTGTAATTTTAGTTTTTCAGACATCAGAAGAGCTGCAAGACCAAGAACAAGCCACGAGAGTCAAGACAAAGATCCACCCAGAGGAAAAGTGTTCCTGCCATACATCAAGGGAACCACTGACCGCATAGGGAAGCTGATGAGGAAACACAACATACAAACTATCTACAGACCCACCAAGAAAATCCAACAAATGCTACGTTCAGCAAAGGACAAGAGGGATCCTCTCACTTCTGCAGGAGTCTACCGTGTACCATGCAGCTGTGGACAAGTCTACATAGGGACCCCCAAACGCAGCATTGCCCAAACACGAATCAAGGAACATGAAAGGCACTGCAGACTACTTCAACCAGAGAAGTCAGCCATAGCAGAGCACCTGATGAACCAACCTGGACACAGCATTTTATTTGAGAACACAGAAATGCTGGACCACTCTCACAACCACCATGTCAGACTACACAGAGAAGCCATTGAAATACACAAGCATGTGGACAATTTCAACAGAAAGGAGGAAACCATGAAAATGAACAAAATCTGGCTACCAGTATTAAAAAACTCTAAAATTGCAACAGCACAACAACAGAGAGGAAGCAGGCAGGGACATCTAATTACCTCTCAACAAAAGTTTGCTCCAGGCACAGTCAGCCCATTGTATGCTAATCAAGGTGGTCAGTTGAAACATTCACACCTAGCTCCAGCAGACAAGAGTCCTTTGTCTCACCCTGGTCATTCCACAGATATATAAACCCTTTTGTCTAGTTCCAACAGACCTCACTACCTCTGAGGATGCTTGCCATAGATGCAGGCGAAACGTCAGGAGAGAATGCCTCTAGACCATGGCCATATAGCCCGAAAAAACCTACAACAACCCACTCAAAAGGAGCTTTGGTTGAAGCATTGTGAACATTGTGGCAACCCTAGGTGGAGTAGTGGTGATTTATATGCACTTTCAGTAAGTGAGCTGCTTTCTTTCTACCAAGAGAATGAGGGAACAGGTTTTAATATTTCTGGGAGGACACAAGTGATGGCAGAGACTTGTATTTTAAAGGTAGTGGGATGAAGATCTTTATCTATCCATCCTATAGAAACAGTCATTTCTGAAGTGATTTAAACATGGAGTTTCTTGGCAAGTTTTGTTCAAAGCAAGTTTTGCCTTAGAATCATAGAGTTGGAAGAGACCTCATGGGCCATCCAGTCCAACCCCCTGCCGAGAAGCAGGAAAATTGCATTCAAAGCACCCCCGACAGATGGCCATCCAGCCTCTGTTTAAAAGCTTCCAAAGAAGGAGCCTTCACTACACTCTGGGGCAGAGAGTTCCACTGCTGAACAGCTCTCACAGTCAGGAAGTTCTCCCTAATGTTCAGGTGGAATATCCTTTCATAGAATCATAGAATCAAAGAGTTGGAAGAGACCTCATGGGCCATCCAGTCCAACCCCCTGCCAAGAAGCAGGAATATTGCATTCAAATCACCCCTGACAGATGGCCATCCAGCCTCTGCTTGAAAGCTTCCAAAGAAGGAGCCTCCACCACACTCCGGGGCAGAGAGTTCCACTGCTGAACGGCTCTCACAGTCAGGAAGTTCTTCCTAATGTTCAGATGGAATCTCCTCTCTTGTAGTTTGAAGCCATTGTTCCGCGTCCCAGTCTCCAAGGAAGCAGAAAACAAGCTTGCTCCCTCCTCCCTGTGGCTTCCTCTCACATATTTATACATGGCTATCATATCTCCTCTCAGCCTTCTCTTCTTCAGGCTAAACATGCCCAGCTCCTTAAGCCGCTCCTCATAGGGCTTGTTCTCCAGACCCTTGATCATTTTAGTCGCCCTCCTCTGGACACATTCCAGCTTGTCAATATGTCTCTTGAATTGTGGTGCCCAGAATTGGACACAATATTCCAGATGTGGCCTAACCAAAGCAGAATAGAGGGGTAGCATTACTTCCTTAGATAGACTTCCTGTATAGTTCCACATACTATACAATATTCCAGAATACTTGTAGGGTATAAGGTATCAGATACTCAGACACTATGCTCCTATTGATGCAGGCCAAAATCCCATTGGCTTTTTTTGCTGCCACATCACATTGTTGGCTCATGTTTAACTTGTTGTCCACGAGGACTCCAAGATCTTTTTCACACGTACTGCTCTCGAGCCAGGCGTCACCCATTCTGTATCTTTGCATTTCATTTTTTCTGCCAAAGTTTGAAGCCATTGCTCCGTGTCCTAGTTTCCAGGGAAGCAGAAAACAAGCTTGCTCCCTCCTCCCTGTGGCTTCTCCTCACATACATGGCTATCATGGCTCCTCTCAGACTTCTCTTCTTCAGGCTAAACATGCCCAGCTTTGTCTTCTTCTGAGGCTGAAAAAGTGTGATTTGTCAAAGATCACCCAGTGTGCTTCCATTGCTGAGGAAGATTCAAAGCCTGGTCTCTTGAGTTATAGTCCAGTGTTCAGACTACTACACCGCACTGACTCACAATAATATGGAATCAGTATTAATAAGTTAAGCAAAACAGTCTTACTAAATACTCCTTTCCTTCTGCAGCGTATTTGAAAGGAAAGGAAAATGTCACTGTAAATGATTAATAAAGACAATTTGGGGTTTAAGATAGTATCAGCATCCTTTGATGGAAGACTTTCCATCAGGTTCTCTGACCAAACTAAATGTTGATGATGTTTTTAAAATGAAGGGCTTGTTCTCTGGTTTTATATGCTGAGTGATCAATTCTCTTCCTGTCCTTCAGTGAAGAAGGTAAAGCAACCCATCCAGTCACCGTTCCAGACACCATTACAGAGTGGAATGCCAATGCTTTCTGTGTGGCAGACATTGGCTTTGGACTCTCCCAACAAGACAGACTCATAGTCTTCCAGCCCTTCTTTGTTGAGCTAACATTGCCATATTGTGTGGTTCGTGGAGAGACATTTGTACTAAAGGCTACTGTCTTCAATTACCTCAAGGACTGCATCCAGGTTAGTGTGCATTTTCACACACAAAAATATTTCTCTGACATGTATACTCAGACAGATACTATACAATATTCCAGAATACTTGTAGGGTATAAGGTATCAGATACTCAGACAGATAGGCAAGAAAAACCTCTGTAACTCTCTTTGAATGAGATAAAGATATGAGCCAGGGGACTGGAAAATCAAGCATCCAGTTCTTTCTGTGCTTACACTTTTAAGATGGAATCATCGAATCATTGGGTTGAAAGAGACCTCTTGGGCCATCCAGTCCAACCCCCTGCCAAGAAGCAGGAAAATTGCTTTCTAAGCACCCCGACAGATGGCCATACAGCCTCTGTTTAAAGTTCCACATTTTCCCCAAGGCAAAATATCCAGATTTGACTAGAGCTTGTAAATTTTGCCATGGATGGAGGGGAAGAAATTCAAGGTATTGTCGAAGGCTTTCATAGCCAGAATCACTGGGTTGTTGTAGGTTTTTTCGAGCTATATGGCCATGTTTTTTCGGGCTATATGGCCATGTTCCAGAGGCATTCTCTCCTGACATTTTGCCTACATCTATGGCAAGCATCCTCAGAGGTTGTGAGGTCCTTGCCATAGATGCAGATGAAACGTCAGGAAAGAATGCCTCTGGAACATGGCCATATAGCCCAACAAAACCTACAACAACCCGGATGAAATTCAGTTTCTATGTTAAGTCTGGATTTCTCATATATAGCACGGTGTTGAAAGCCTCAGAGAATCACCTCATTAAATCCCCTGCCAAGGTGTAGAACATCCCTCTGCTTATCCTATTCTTGCTCTGCGTCTATTACTTCACAGGAGCCAAACCAGAATGTGCTACAAGTAGTGGATAGAAGAAGCACACGAAGTGCTCCCAGTGTGACGGGGTTGTGTGTGAAGTTTATATGGGAAAACCAAACAGTCTGCTTGCAAAACAAATTTCCCCAGAGGGTTTCTTGTAGTCAGGTTTTTTTTGGTCATGTCAGGAGTGATTTGAGAAACTGCAAGTCACTTCTGGAGTGAGAGAATTGGCCGTCTGCAAAGACGTTGCCCAGGGGACGCCCAGATGTTTTGATGTTTTTACCATCCTTGTCGGAGGCTCCTGCATGGGGAGCTGGAGCTGATAGAGGGAGCTCATCCGCGCTCTCCCCGGATTCAAACCTGCGACCTGTCAGCACAGTCCTGCCAGCACAGGGGTTTAACCCAGTGCGCCACTGGGAGCTCCTTGTAGTCAGTTGAATCTAAGGAGAACTTCCCAGCTGACTTAAATGGTGGAATGTCTGCCTGGGGAAGACATTCCTGGGAAGAGTCCTGACACACATGTCTGCAAGCTGTCTTTCTCTTGAATGGTTGCTTCTTGCCCAGACTAGCTGTCATGTCCATATCATGTGTATTCCTGCCTTGCCTCATCCAGGTGAGAGTAAGCCTGCTGGAAACACAAGAAGTGGAGGTGGAACCATGCCCAGCCTGCCGGTTTGCCACCTGCCTCTGTGTGGATGAGGCCAAGACCATCTCCTGGAATGTGACAGCTACCCATTTGGGTGAGATTGGAGGGATGAATGGTGAAGGGTACAAGGAATTGGGAAGTTGGGTTGTCCCTTTCCTTTCCAAATATCTTGACATCTTTGAGCCCTCAGATGAATCAGCAGTGGAAATGTTGTTGGCTGTGGTAGTACAGATGAGTTTATTGGCAGCCAAGCTTGCCTCCTTTTCAAACTTCCGGAATTTACACTGCTGGTTTAGAGGTCTGTTTGTATATATTGCAGTCAGTCTGCATCCATTCCAGAAGCACCTCTCCCTCTATGCTCTTTGGTGTCTGTCCCTTAGAGAAGAATAGTGGAGCCCTTCCTTGGGAGTGTGACACACAATGCCAGGAGTGATGTTGGAGGGGATTCTTTATCCTGCCAGACATAGCTACTTACACTCCTGTCAGATCTCTGGTTGAAAGCCTGACATTTGGTGATCTCTATTTTTTCCTTCTTGTAGGGCATGTTAACATCTCCATTACTGCTGAGGCTGAGGAGACCCAAGAGCTTTGTGGCAACAAGATCTCTGTGACACCTTCACAAGGACGATCAGATACAGTGATTAAGTCCCTGCTTGTCAAGGTCAGTAGGACCACCAGCACCTGGATCAAACAATGGAATACAGCAGGGGTCCTCCGCAGTTTGGGAGTCCTCTTGGATTCATCACGCTTGAGGCTCAGGCGTCGGCGGTGTCCGGGAGGGCTTTTGCACAATTGAGACTTGTGCACCAACTGCGACCTTACCTCGTAAAGGCTGATCTGGCTGGGGTGGTCCATTTATTTTATTTATTTATTTACTTTACTTGTATACCACCGTTTCTCAGCCTAACTGGCGACTCAACGCGGTTTACAACAAGATAATCAACAACAATATACAATTTAAACCATAAAAGCACAATATACAATATCAACACAACAATAACAACACAATGCATCTCATAACTAGAGTCGTGATCCAAAATTCGTCGTCCATATTTCAATTCCTGTGATCGTCACATTCATTGCACTGATTAACCAAATGCTTGTTCAAACATCCAGGTTTTTAATCTTTTCCGGAACACCATTAGCGAGGGGGCTGATCTTACCTCCATGGGAAGGGCGTTCCACAGCCGAGGGGCCACCACAGAAAAGGCCCTGTCTCTCGTCCCCGCCAGCCGCACCTGTGAAGCAGGCGGGATAGAGAGCAGGGCCTCCCCAGAAGATCTAAGGGTCCTGGCGGGCTGATAGGCCGAGATACGTTCGGATAGGTAGGTTGGGCCAGAACCGTTTAGGGCTTTAAAGGCCAACGCCAGCACTTTGAATTGAGCCCGGTAGCAAATCGGCAGCCAGTGGAGCTGGTGCAGCAGAGGAGTTGTGTGCTCCCTGCGCTCCGCTCCTGTTAGTATCATGGCTGCCGAACGTTGGACTAATTGGAGCTTCCGAGCCGTCTTCAAAGGCAACCCCACGTAGAGAGCGTTGGTCCATGCCTTGGTCACCTCTAGATTGGACTACTGTAATGCACTCTACGTGGGGCTGCCCTTGAAAACGGTTCGGAAATTTCAGCTAGTCCAACGGGCGGCGGCCAGGATGTTAACCGGAGCCCCGTACAGAGAGAGGTCAACCTCCTGTTCAAGGAGCTCCATTGCTGCCGTTCATTTTCCGGTCCCAATTCAAGGTGCGGGTGCTCACCTACAAAGCCCTAAATGGTTTGGGACTTGCCTACCTGCGTGACCTCATCTCTGTTTATGAACCCGCATGCTCCCTTCGTTCATCTGGAAAGACCCTGCTCACGATTCCACCTGCGTCGCAAGTGCGGTTGGTGGAGACGAGGGACAGGGCCTTCTCTGTGGTAGCCCCCCAACTCTGGAACATCCTCCCCAAGGACATCAGACAAGCCCCTACGTTGGCAGTCTTTAGGAAGAGCTTGAAGACCTGGCTGTTCCAGTGTGCCTTTCCAGAATAGGAAACTGCAGCAATACGTCCCAGAAGCACTTTATTAGAGATTGCCCGCACACTGCACTTACCCAAAAATCCTTATATTTCACTTGTCATACTCAGCAGTTTTTAATCTGTACCTATTACACTTGGCCCGGCCTTAGTATTGTTGTGCTATGGTGTACTGTTTTTACTGTTTACTGTTATTGCTTTAATGTTTTTATTTGTTTTATGGCTTATGTGTATTTGTTATATTGTTGTTTTATCGAGGCCTTGGCCTTTGTAAGCCGCATCGAGTCCTTCGGGAGATGTTAGCGGGGTACAAATAAAGTTAATAATAATAATAATAACTAAGGGTCTGATACGGCCCTCCAAGGTCATTTACCCGGCCCTCGCTCAGGGTCAACCTAAGTCTGAAACGACTTGAAAGCACACAACAACAACAATCCTATCTCATGAGCCAAAAGCAGGTCCACACTTCACATTGAAATACTAATAAGTTTATATTTGTTAAAATTGATTTTAATTATTGTATTGTTTTTAAGTGGTTTTTTTTTTTGCACTACAAATAAGATATGTGCAGTGTGCATAGGAATTCATGTTTTTTTTCAAATGATAATCCATCCCTCCGGCCCTCCAACAGTTTGAGGGACTGTGACCTGGCCCTCTGTGTAAAGACTTTGAGGATCCCTGGATTACAGTGTCAAGCACTAGCAAGTGCTTCCAGGGATAGAATGTAGATCTCCCAGGAAGGGAGCATCTTGGTGCCTGAGGCCTTGAAAGGAGAGTGCCTTGGCATTTCCATGACCCTGTATTTCTGGGGCTCAGGCCTGGTTAGCAAAGGCAGAAAGAGCAAACTCTAGGAGGAGGGCTGAGCATCAGTGGGAAATTCCCCTGCTAGAGTTGTACTGAAAGAACTCATGACTCCCTTTCCCTCTCACAGCCAGAAGGTGTCCCTGAAGAAAAGTCCTACAATTCATTCCTGTGCACAGGTATGGCTGGATGGCATCCCTTTCTCAGGTCAGACATGGGCTGAGTGTGTTCCTTGTTCTGAACAGCTTGGTTTGTTCCAGTTTTTCAAGGAACAAAACTCAGAAAGAATATGATGCATTTCTTGTTGAATTGAAGACATACCTTGCTCAGGCTAGCCATTGTATGTTTGGGTGGAATATATATTGACCACTGCATTTATGCCAGGAAAATATAATTTAGAAAGTACATGGAGTCCTTCTTGTGGGAATATCTGTGAAATGCAAATTGTTGGTTATGACTTATAAAGCCCTATATGATTCATGTCTAGGGACATCATCACTGAGGGATATAATTTATATTAGGACTGGCTACATACTGTATTCAGACAGGATGGATACTCTCCCCATCACACCTGATTATTACAGTTCTTACTAATTCAAAATACTGTGCTTTGACTCGTACCTTGGGAACTCTGACTCAGCCACGGTACTCCACGCTCTGGTTACATCCTGTATAGACTACTGTAACGCTCTCTGCGTGGGGTTGTCTTTGAAGACTGTCTGGAAGCTTCAAATGGTCCAACGCTCGGCAGCCAGGTTATTAACAGGAGCAGCACTCAGGGAGCATACAACTCCTCTGTTGCGCCAGCTCCACTGGCTGTCAGTTTGCTACCGGGCACAATTCAAAGTGCTGGCTTTATTTATTTATTTATTTATTTATTTACTGTGCTTATATGCCGCAATTCTCAGCCCTTTAAGGGCGACTCATTGCGGTGTACAACATGAAAAAACAAGTGCAAATTACAAGACATAGTGCAAAATAATCCACAATTCATCATTATCAGAAAAACATCTTATCAAAACATCAACATTACTACCAAATTTCTACTACATTCCGAATCGTCTCATCGTCAACCCACAATCCGATATCATTTCCGTTGTTCCATTCCTATGGTCAAATTACCAGTCATTGCACTTCTTGGTCAAATGCCTTCTTAAATAGCCAGGTCTTTAACTTCCTGCGGAATATCAACAGGGAGGGGGCTAGCCTGATGTCCACGGGAAGGGTGTTCCACAGCCGAGGAGCCACCACCGAGAAGGCCCTATCTCTCGCCCCCGCCAGCCGTGCCTGTGACGCAGGCGGGATCGAGAGCAGGGCCTCCCCAGAAGATCTCAAAGTCCTCGTGGGCTCATAGGCCGAGAGGCGGTCAGTTAGGTATCTTGGGCCGGAACCGTTTAGGGCTTTATAGGCCAATGCCAGCACCTTGAATTGAGCCCGGTAGCAGATCAGCAGCCAGTGGAGCTGGTACAGCAGGGGAGTTGTATGCTCCCTGCGTCCCGCTCCTGTTAGTATCATGGCTGCCGCACGTTGGACCAGTTGGAGCTTCCGGGCCGTCTTCAAAGGCAACCCCACATAGAGAGCGTTGCAGTAGTCTAAGCGGGATGTAACCAGAGCGTGGACTACCGTGGCCAAGTCAGACTTCCCAAGGTATGGGCGCAGCTGGCGCACGAGCCTAAGCTGTGCAAATGCTCCCCTGGTCACCGCCGAGACCTGGGGCTCCAGGCTCAGCGATGAATCCAGGATCACACCCAAGCTGCGCTTCAAGGGGAGTGCGACCCCATCCAGCACGGGCTGTAACCCTATACCCTGTTCGGCCTTGCGACTGACCAGGAGTACCTCTGTCTTGTCTGGATTCAATTTCAATTTGTTCGCCCTCATCCAGACCGTTACAGCGGCCAGGCACCGGTTCAGGACCTCGACAGCCTCCTTAGTAGCAAGTGGAAAGGAGTGACAGCCTATAAAGCCCTAAACAGTTCTGACCCAACTTATCTCTCTGAACAGATCTCCTCCTATGAACCAGCTAGGATGTTAAGATCGTCTGGGGAGGCCCTGCTCTCAGTCCCGCCTGCATCACAAGTACGGTTGGCGGGGACGAGAGACAGGGCCTTCTCAGTGGTGGCCCCATGGCTGTGGAACACCCTTCCTACAGAAATTAGATCGCCCCCCTCCCTGTTAGCGTTTCAGAGGAAACTGAAGACCTGGTTGTTTGAGCAGGCATTTGAATAGGCAGTGTAACTAATATAGAAATATGGAACAATTACATGATGAGACTGGATCTTGATTTTAACTTTGAGACGATATGAGATGTTCGATGCTTATTGATTGTTATAATGTTATTCTTTTAAATTGTTCTCAACTGTTTTTATCATGTTTTAAGTATTGTATTTGCTGTTGTGAACCGCTCTGAGTCACCCTGAGAGCTGGGAAGAGCAGTATACAAGTATAGTAAATAAATAAATAAAATAAATTGACTCATCACATCATAGAAGTCTAGATCCTCCCAATCTGTTCAAATGGCTCCCTATGTCACTTTTAAAGAAAATCTAATATTGACATAACCTAGGAGTCTCAAGCTACCATTCTCATGAGATTTTAGCTGATTTTTTTTGTTGTGTCAGGAGCAATTTGAGAAACTGCAAGTCACTTCTGGTGTGAGAGAACTGGCCGTCTGCAAGGATGTTGCCCAGGGGACGCCTGGATGATTTGATGCTTTATCATCCTTGTGGGAGGCTTCTCTCATGTACCTGCATGAGGAGCTGGAGCTGACAGAGGGAGCTCCTCCGCCTTTCCCCGTATTCGAACCTGCGACCTGTCGATCTTTGGTCCTGCTGGCACAGGGCATACTGTTAGCTGATGGAATGCATACTGATTTTCTGATCACATGTTAAAACACTTCCTCAAAAATGTATAAGATTGTAGTATGTAAAAGAAACATGATTAGAATCCCACGTGTGATATTTTGCTGCTGAATTTCAACAGATTACTCTCTGCTACCATTTGATGGCATGGGATCACAGTTTTGTCTTCTTTATTGGAGTAACTGATAGATATTAATAGCTTTGAGCACTTAGGTAAAGCTGTCTATAAATGTGTTACTGCCACTTGGTTCAGGATAATATGTAATATTGATTCCTGGGCTTTTATCTTCCTTCTTTGGAAGCTTTTAAACAGAGGCTGGATGGCCATCTGTAAGGGGTGGTTTGAATGCAATATTCTTGCTTCTTGGCAGGGGGTTGGACTGGATGGCCCAGGAGGTCTCTTCCAACTCTTTGATTCTATGATTCTATGATTCTATCTCCTGACAGGTGACCCAATGGCAGAAGTTTCCCTGGAGCTACCTGAAAATGTTGTGAAGGACTCTGGTCGGGCCACCACCTCCGTCATTGGTAAGAAGAAAATGTGCCTCCCTTGGTAAAAAAAAATCAGGCCCAGCGTCCCATTCTTGAGCACATGAGGGATTAATGTCTCTTAGAGGTATTTGTTACAGGTGCAACACATGTGTGTGGAATGGAATAAGTTTTTCCCCAATCAACGTAGATATAAACATCTAATGGCATTCCACAGCATTAAGAATGCTTTACAGTCTTTAACTGTAATAGATGCATATCGATTGGAAGCAGGGGTTGCTATTGCAGGGCTGAGTCCCAGCCCCATTGTTCCCATGTGAACTCCTTGTCACTCACTAGAACCAAAGTAATACCTCTCACATTGTATCAGTTTGGAGTACTGTTGGAAATCTCAGTGATCATCCCTAGACCCACACATCTGTCAAAATAATGCTTTAAAGCTAGAGTTAGGCAAGGCCTCAATGGGGGCTCTGCCAAGCCACTGGGACTCTGGCAGTTAGTGGAGCATGCCATGAGTTGATGCCAGGTCTTCCTAACCCAGTGGTTCTCAACCTTCCTAATGCCGTGACCCCTTAATACAGTCCCTCATGTTGTGTGACCCCCAACCACAACATTACTTTCGTTGTTACTTCATAACAGTCATTTTACTACTGTTAATGTAATGTAAATATCTGATATGCTGGATGCATTTTCATTCACTGGACCAAACTGGGCACAAATACCCAATACACCCAAATGTGAATGCTAGTAGGGTTGGGTGAGGATTGATTTTGTAATTTGGGAGTTGTAGTTGCTGGGATTTTATAGTTCACTTATAATCAAAGAGCATTCTGAACTCCAACAGCGATGGATTTGAACCAAACTTGGCTCCCATGACCAATGGAAAACACTGGAAGGGTTTGATGGGCATTGACCTTGAGTTTGGGAGTTGTAGTTCACCTATATCCAGAGAGCACTGTGGACTCCTGCAATGGTGGATCTGGACAAAACTTGGCACAAATACTCAATATGCCCAAATGTGAATACTGGTGGAGTCTGGGGAAAATAGATCTTGACATCTGGGAGTTGGAGTTGCTGGGATTTATAGTTAATTACAATCAAAGAATATTATGAACTCCACCAACGATACCCCATGACCTACAGAAAATACCGTGTTTTCTTATGGTCTTTGGCGACCCCTCTGACACCGCCTCACGACCCCCTCAGGGGTCCCGACCCCCAGGTTGAGAAACACTGTCCTAAGCAGACTGTACTGTATCCAAATTCAGAAGTGTTCTGACCACCTGACAAAAATGTATGGGGTAGGTTTCCAGGAGTGAGAGAGCTCACTTCTGAATTCTCAGATGTTTGGAAGATGGATTCTAATATTTTAATCTTATATTTAATCTGCATTCAGGAGACATCATGGGTGCTGCGTTAAAAAATATAGACAATCTACTTCAGATGCCTTACGGCTGTGGTGAACAAAATATGGTCAAGTTTGTTCCCAACATCTTTGTGCTCCAATATCTGGAGTCAGTAGGCCAAGCAACTCCTGCAATCAAAGAGAAAGCAACAGAATACATGAAGAGTGGTGAGCATGGCATTTTGATCTCTTTCTCGTGTGTCTTTCTCATTTGAAGAGCAAAGGACTGCTGAGTCAGGTGTGTTTATTGGCATGAACTATACGAATATCAAAGGAACGGAGTAGGATGACTTCCTCTGAGCTGTTGACTTTCTACAGTCAAAACCTAAAGAATGAGATTCAGAATCTGGCATGTTTGTGAAACTTCCTTTCAGGGTTACATCAGAAGCCAGACTCCATTAGAAGCCTGAGCACTGAGGACTCTTCCACACTGCCCATCTATCCCAGGATCTGAACCCAGATTATCTCATATAACTGGATTAGATGAGTCTCCACTGCCAGATAATCTGGGGTGAACATATATTTATTTATTTAAAGCATTTATATTTCGCCCTTCTCACCCCGATGGGGACTCAGGGCGAAGCACAACATATAAACTGCAAACATTCAATGCTGAAACATATTATACCATACACATACAAAAGCATTAAAATCACATATCTCGACGTTAAAATCCACTAGTTAAAACTGTCCCAACAACCATATTGAATTTGGTTGGCATAGAAAGGGTTCCTATCGCTGCCTCATTGCACAGTCCCAAAGGCTCAGTCCCACAGCCACATTTTTATCATTCTTCTAAAGGACAATTATTATTATTATTATTATTATTATTATTATTTTTTTTTTTTTTTTTTTACAGCTTTTATATTCCGCCCTTCTCACCCTGCAGGGGACTCAGGGCGGATTACAGTGTACACATATATGGCAAACATTCAATGTCAATTTTAACATACAACATTTACAGACATACACAGAGGCTATTTAACTTTTTCTGGCTGCCAGGGGAGCTGTCGCTTTCATCGTCCATCTGTGACACTGATGAAGTACTTCCGCATTCCCCGCATGCTTTTGCTGGAGTGCTTTGCTGGAGTCTTTTTTATGGCCTCATAAATTAGTTAATTTAGCCTCCCCACACTAAGGTGGTACCTAATTTTCCTACTTGACAGATGCAACTGTCTTTCGGGTTGCAAAGGTCGACAACAGGCTACACAATTGGTTGGAAACCCACTTCAACCCGGGCTGGCTTCGAACTCATGACCTTTTGGTCAGAGTGATCTTAATGCAGCTGACACTCAGACAAGAGGGAGGGGGCTGACCTGATCTCATTAGGAAGGGAGTTCCATAGCCGAGGGGCAATTACTGAGAAGGCCCTGTCTCTCGTCCCGCCAAACACGCCTGTGATGGTGGTGGGACCGAGAGCAGGGCCTCCCCAGAAGATATTAATCTCCGCAGTGGGGCATGGGGCGGGGGAAACAGATCCTGGGATATACGGGCAGTTTGGAAGGAGTCTCAATTTAAGGATGAGAAAGATCTGGATTCATATCTTTACCCAGACAGCGAAGCTCACTGTTGATTTTGGAGTTGTAACGATTCGTCCTAGCCAGCCTTACAAGGCTTGTTGTCCAACTCAAATTGGGAACTCTGTATATAACAGCCATAGTTTTTGTTCTTCTTTTGAGGAAGAATCAGATACAAATAAGAATATTGCTGAAACTGGACACTTGGAATATACTGATTGGAATAAAGTCACATAAAAAGACTTCAAGGTCAGACAAAAGCCACAAGGACTAAAACTACCCAAATAGCAACCTAAAAATCTCAGACCCTCTTAATAACTCATCATCTCTATGGCATGGAAATTTTGATTTAGCCCTCCTGCCTTGTTCCAACACCCATCTTTCTACCTGTGTCCTCCTTCTTTAATACTTCTTTCATTGAAAAAGTCCTAGTTATGCCTAAATCATTTTGGAAAGAAAAGGCAGTACTTTCGAGGGACGGGAATATTTCCTCTCCTCCTGCTTGCTTGTTTCTGCCACTCCCGCCACTGATTCTCTGCCAGGCTATTGATTTGTTGTCATTTAAAGATTGAAATTACCTTCTCTGAGGCAAACAATTCCCGTAATCTCTGAATCACATAATGTGGGAGCCTCAATTCCTCCAAAAAGTCTCTCAAGGGCTGTTATGTAGGCGGCTGGTGAGATCACTGCACTCATTCTTACTTAAAATTACAATCGCTCTCACATCCCTCTCTTAAGAATGCTCTTTCACACTCGGTGGCACATAGAGAAGCAAAACACAGAGGAAGAAAATATTTCCAAAGGATGCTGTATCTCTCTGGCTTTTCCTCTCCGTGTGTGGGTTTCCAGACTTCTATGTGCACCGTTTTGAATTCTGCTCCTGTCTTCAGGGATAGCCAATACATCAGAAGACAGGAGCAGAATTCAAAATACAGATTAGAGAGATGGGCCAAAACTAACAAAATGAAGTTCAACAGTGACAAATGCAAGATACTCCACTCAGGCAGAAAAAATGAAATGCAAAGATACAGAATGGGGGATGCCTGGCTCGAGAGCAGTACGTGTGAAAAAGATCTTGGAGTCCTCGTGGACAACAAGTTAAACATGAGCCAACAATGTGATGCGGCAGCAAAAAAAGCCAATGGGATTTTGGCCTGCATCAATAGGAGTATAGTGTCTAGATCCAGGGAAGTCATGCTCCCCCTCTATTCTGCCTTGGTTAGACCACACCTGGAATATTGTGTCCAATTCTGGGCACTACAATTGAAGAGAGATATTGACAAGCTGGAATGTGTCCAGAGGAGGGCGACTAAAATGATCAAGGGTCTGGAGAACAAGCCCTATGAGGAGCGGCTTAAAGAGCTGGGCATGTTTAGCCTGCAGAAGAGAAGGCTGAGAGGAGATATGATAGCCATGTATAAATATGTGAGAGGAAGTCATAGGGAGGAGGGAGCAAGCTTGTTTTCTGCTGCCCTATGAGGAGTGGCTTAAAGAGCTGGGCATGTTTAGCCTGCAGAAGAGAAGGCTGAGAGAAATGATAGCCATGTATAAATATGTGAGAGGAAGTCACAGGGAGGAGGGAGCAAGCTTGGTTTCTGCTTCCCTGAAGACTAGGACACGGAACAATGAATTCAAACTACAAGAAAGGCGATCCCATCTGAATATTAGGGAAGAACTTCCTGACTGTGAGAACTGTTCAGCAGTGGAACTCTCTGCCCCTGAGTGTGATGGAGGCTTCTTCTTTGGAGGCTTTTAAGCAGAGGCTAGATGGCCATCTGTCAGGGGTGCTTTGAATGTGATTTCCCTGCTTCTTGGCAGGAGGTTGGACTGGATGGCCCTCTTCCAACTATGTTTCTATGATCTTCCTAGCAAGTCCCTTCCTGTTGGGGTAACTAGCATAGCACAGATTTCTGATGTGAGGAAAAAGAGAAAATGCAGACTTCAGAGATCCAGTTACAAGGTGTCAGTGGTTACAGTTGATATAAAGGTGTGCGTAATGGCAGAACTCTGTTTTGGTTTTGTTTCGAATTTTGGATCCCCCCTTTTAGTTTTGTAAAGATTCAGGAAGAATTGGAGGGGGCAATTTGATTTACAATTCGAAATCCAGTGTTTTGTAATTGTTTCAGTAATATTTGTTCCATTCATGCCAGTGGGGAAACTTGCGAGGCTAGTTTTTCTGTCATTATATGGCTATCACGATGAAATTTGCCACACTTGTACACCATATTTATCATTGTGAGCCTGTCAAGTTTCAGAACATTTCAGTCATCCACTGATTTCACTGTTTTCAGTTTTTCTCAGTTGCGGAAATGAAATGTGCCGTTTCTTAATAAATTTAACATGCTGAATTCAAATATAATAATTAAATGTATTAATTGGGTCTGGATTTTTATGCAACAGCTATTTCAATTTTCTCCACAATAGGTAATTCGTTAATATTATGACAATGCGCCTAACCTTACTGCATGTATATAAACCGTGAATATTTACTAAATTTTAGTCAAATTATATTGCCAATAGTTTATACATGAGAAATATTTATTTAATTAGTCTATTGTTTATGTTTGTGCAGCAAGAAACTATATTAGTAGGCCTAATGCAGTTGAAAAGTCTGAAAGTTTAAATGTCGCTTTAATCGTGACTTTAGTTTATATCCTGTTTGCTTCTCTTGACTTTTCTTTTGTATTCAAGGAAAGGATTGTCTCTTACAATGCTCCAGCAGTAGTCTGACAGCATTGACGGAGTCCATTTACCTTGATATCTTTTTTCCATAGTGCTTTATTTACACACGTGCGAGGCATAACTACAGTAAAAAGAACAATGTAAAACGATGTTTAACGATACTGTCTCAGTCTTCAACTGACTGACCCTCACCGTTCAAAAGTCTGGCCTTATATAGGGCTTTCTGGCTTTTGCACATGGCACTAATACTGCGTCATCAAACTTTCTAGAATATTCTAGAATCTTCCATAGTGTAAGTCGCAACATGCATTTTTTCAACCATACGTGATCACGTGATTGCTTATATCATAAAAACTAGAGCCAATATACATTTTTAAATGTCATTTTCGTTTTCAGCACCCCAAAATCATAAAAGAACAACTATTTTCAGGCCCGCAACTTTTTCTCCATTGAACAGTGTTTCAAGGAATTTTTAAAATATTTACAAATAAAATTTCTTCTTAGAAAAATCAAAAGAGTTATCCCGTTGAATTTCTCCACAGCAACAGAACATGAGTAGAGCATTATTCCGTCAAAGTTTCAGAATATTTTGGTCATGCGCTGATTTTTAGAATTTTTTTAAAGCTTTTAACAATTAAATTTTGTTTAAAAAGAAACAATAAAGGGAGCCTAGTAGTGTTTTAGCAGATTAAAGTAAAATTAAAAATGCTTAAAATGCCATTTAAAACTCACTCCCCACCCCCCCACCCCAAATGCACGCCCAACCACACCTCCCTAGCGAAATTTGGAAAATAAAAGTTGGATAATTTCAACAGAGGAAGAGAATATTGATGAAGGGACACAAAGAAAAAGAATTCTCAAAAAGTTAAGCCAACTAGTAGATAGTGTAGCGCTCCTATACGTTTAAAGAAACAGAAACAGGCAGAAACCGAATCATAGAATCAGAGTTGGAAGAGACCTCATGGGCCATCCAGTCCAACCCCCTGCCTAGAAGCAGGAATATTGCATTCAAAGCACCCCTGACAGATGGCCATCCAGCCTCTGTTTAAATGCTTCCAAAGAAGGAGCCTCCACCACACTCCGGGGCAGAGAGAATTGAGCTTGAGAATTGTTCTCTCTCCAAATGCCACACCACCACAAAAAATGGAGGAGCCACTATATCCAGATGATATACCAGCTTTCCAAAAAGCCACGTGATTGGCTTTCTTCTTCTGATTGGATGACAAGGAAGAAAAACCAGCTTTCCAAAAAGCCACGTGATTGGCTTTCTTCTTCTGATTGGATGACAAGGAAGAAAAACAGCACACAGATGCTTGTCAATCATGTCTACCTGCTACAAAATCGCACACACACACATACGTGTGCACACACCAAGTTGAACTTGTGCAGCCTCTGGATTTAATGTTGTAGCATTGAATTTTTTGCTGTTCTTGTTGTTAACCGCTGTGAGCCGCCTAAGGTCTGAGAACAGCGGTATACAAATAAAGTAAATAAATAAATAAATAAATAAATAAATAAAATTAGTTAATCTCATAATACCCCACTTTACAAAGCCAAAATGTTTATTTCCCCTCATTTCCCGCAGGATACCAGCGCCAGCTGCTATACAAACATGATAATGGTTGCTACAGTGCCTTTGGGAAGGGAGATGCTGAGGGGAATACCTGGTGAGTAAGCTGCCCTTGCGCTATGCTACTCTGCTGCTGTGTATGCATGTCCAGTGTGGAACACATCACACCACGCTAAAACAGTGGATGTGGCTCTTAATGAGACATGCCACATTATCACAGGGTGTCTGCACCCTACACCACTGGAGAAATTACACTGCTTAGCCGGTATTGCACCACCTGACATCCGCCGGGAAGTAGCAGCCAATAGTGAAAGGACCAAGGCAGTGACATCTCCGGCTCACCCCCTGTTTGGGCATCAGCCAGCACACCAATGACTTAAATCAAGAAATAGTTTTGTAAGATCTACAGAGACGCTTGCTGGAACACCTCAGCAAGCGAGAGTCCAAAAGTGGCAGGTTCAAACCAGAACCTCAAGCAATGGCAGGTACCAAATGAGAGATTCCCTCCTATGCATACAGAAAACTGGGCAACTTGGAAGGCGCTGAACAGACTGCACTCTGGCAGCACGAGATGCAGAGCCAACTTTAAGCAATGGGGCTACAAAGTGGGATCCACGACATGCGAGTGTGGAGAAGAGCAAACCACAGACCACCTGCTGCAATGCAACCTGAGCCCTGCCCCATGAACAATGGAGGACCTTCTTGCAGCAACACCAGAAGCACTCCAAGTGGCCAGATACTGTTTTTTTGGGTTTTTTTGTCGTGTCAGGAGCAACTTGAGAAACTGCAAGTCGCTTCTGGTGTGAGAGAATTGGCTGTCTGCAAGGATGTTGCCCAGGGGACGCCCGGATGAGTTGATGTTTTTATCATCTTTGTGGGAGGCTTCTCTCATGTCCCCACATGAGGAGCTGGAGTTGATAGAGGGAGCTCATCTGCCTCTCCCCGGATTCGAACCTGCGACCTTCAGTCCTGCCAGCAAAGGGGTTTAACTGACTGCGCCACCTGGAGCTACTGGTCAAAGGACATTTAATAGAATACCAAATCTGCAAACTTTGTATTTTGTTTGTTTGTTTGTTTTTAATGCAATACAACTGTTTTGGTTCGCTCCTGACACGGAAAAAAAAACAGCTGAGCTAGCAGATATGTGGCATAGCCAGTAAATGCAAAACTGGAACACTTCCTTTTTCTTTTCTTCCCTGATCTGCAGGCTAACAGCTTTTGTGGTGAAGGCCTTTGGTCATGCAAAGTCCTATATCTATATTGATGAAAAGCACATTGAGGAAGCTGTTCACTGGCTAAAGGAGCATCAACTTTCCAATGGCTGTTTTCAAAGTGTTGGAAAGCTCTTCAACAATGCCCTCAAGGTAAGCAGCCTGCAGTTAGTAGTAGTAGCAGCAAATACACTAGTACTTCTAAAAGGACTATGGTTTGTTACTCATAAAAATAGTATTGGCATCAACCTTGAAGGACTCTTGCATAGGAGAGCAAAATAATGAATATGATGTATTGTCGAAGGCTTTCATGGCCGGAATCCATGGGTTGTTGTAGGTTTTTCCGGGCTATATGGCCATGTTCTGGAGGCAATTTTTCTCCTGACGTTTCGCCTGCATCTATGGCAAGCATCCTCAGAGGTAATGAGGTCTGTTGGAACTAGGAAAAATGGGTTTATATATCTGTGGAATGACCAGGGTGAGACAAAGGACTTTTGTCTGCTGGGGCTAGCTGTGAATGTTTCAGCTGATCACCTTGATTAGCATTCAATGGCTTGGCAGTGCCTGGGGGAATCTTTTGTTGAGAGTGATTTTATGTGCCTGTTTGTTTCCCCTCTGTTGTTTTGCTGTTGTAATTTTTGAGTTTTTTAATACTGGTAGCCAGATTTTGTTCATTTTCATGGCATCTTCCTTACATTACCATTCCTCTTGCCCATTAGCAATACTAAGCATATATATTATGCTGACATGTTAGAACAAATGAGCTTATGATAAAAACAGGAATATCGTAACTTCTTAGGATGTCTCATGGGTAAATCACTTGGCTTTTAACTGGCCATAGCTCCCCCCCCCCCCCCCACACACACACATTGTGGCTCTTAACAAGTTAGTAATGAAAGGAGATCTTATATGATTTAAGTGAACGTAAGAAAGTGAACTCATTAGCCCTATCCTCAACATTTAAGGCAGTTCGATATCACTGGATTGTTGTAGGTTTTTTCAGGCTATATGACCATGTTCTAGAGCAGTGGTTCTCAACCTTCCTAATGCCACGACCCCTTAATACGCTTCCTCGTGTTATGGTGACCCCCAACCATAAAATTAGTTTCATTGCTACTTCATATCTGTCATTTTGCTGCTGTTATGAATAGTAATGTAAATATCTGATATGCAGGATGTATTTTCATACACTGGACCAAATTTGGCACAAATACCCAATACACCCAAATTTGAATACTGGTGGGATTGGGGGAGGGTATTGATTTTGTCCTGTGGACAGGGAGGGCTCAAGCCATTACGCAAAGTAAGCATTTGCAGTATAGTTTATTTTGCCAAGGGGCGCTCTTGAGGTGCTCTTGGGGGAAAATAGACCTTGACATATGCGAGTTGTAGTTACTGGGATGTATAGTTCAACTCCAATCAAAGAGCATTCTGAACACCAATGATGGAATTGAACCAAATATGGCAAACAGAACTCCCACGACGAACAGAAAATATACATCAGTGATTGGTTGTGGGGGGGGTCACCAAAATACTGTTTGCTTACTGTTGAAAATTACCTAGGGCTGCCTCTGCCTGTGGGAGTTGTAGTTGCTGGGATTTATAGTTCACCTACAATCAAAGAGCATTCTGAACTCCACCAACGATGGAATTGAATCAAACTTGGCACACAGAACTCCCGTGAGCAACAGAAAATACTGGAAGGGTTTGGTGGGCACTCACCTACATCCAGAGAGCACTGTGGACTCAAACAATGATGGATCTGGACTAAACTTGGCACAAATTCTCAATATGCCCAAATGTAAACACTAGTGGAGTTTGGGGGAAATAGACCTTGACATTTGGGAGTTGTAGTTGCTGGGATTTATCGTTCACCTACAATCAAAGAGCATGCTGAACCCCACCAATGACTGAATTGGGCCAAACTTCTCACACAGAACCTCCATGACCAACGGAAAATACTGTGCTTTCTGGTGGTCTTTGGTGACCCCTCTGACACCCCCTCATTACCCCTCCAGGGGTCCCGACCTCCAGGTTGAGAAACACTGTTCTAGAGGCATTCTCTCCTGACATTTTGCCTGCATCTATGGCAAGCATCCTCAGAGGTCCTCACAACCTCTGAGGATGCTTGCCATAGATGCAGGCAAAACGTCAGGAGAGAATGCCTCTAGAACATGGTCATATAGCCCGAAAAACCTACAACAACCCAGTGATTCCGACCATGAAAGCCTTTGACAATATATAGTTTGATATCACTTTAACTACCAGGTCCAATGGTATTTGTGATGCAATGAGTTAAATCCTTGTGCCGCCAGGACTACTGACCAACAGGCCAGTGGTTTGAATCCAGGGAGAGGGGGTTGAGCACCCCCTGTCAGCTCCAGCTCCCCATGCAGGGACACGAGAGAAGCAGACGGCCAATTCTCTCACACCAGAAGTGACTTGCAGTTTCTCAAGTTGTTCCTGACATGAAAAAAAAATGGTAAGGAACAAATGAAGTTATAGTTTTGCAAAATCTGTGACTTTCTTTGCCAAAGAGTGCTGTTGGCTTGCCAAACTATAGCTCCTATAATTCCTTAGCCTTGAACCATAGCAGTTAAAGTGGTATCAAAGTGCATTAATTCTGTAGCGTAGATGTACCCCTCCTCTGTAGTTGGTTGCTATATGTAGAGTGCAGTGGAGACTCTCTTCAGGTTTCCAGTGAGGAGAGATGCAACCAAGAGCAAGAGTAGCTGCCTCCTCTTTTTAATAATATAGTGAATGGCAGATGAATTTTCAAAATGATATATGCATTGAAACATCTGTTTGTTTTAGAAGGAATTCTCCTGTTTTCCGTTCTGCAAGAAGAGAGCTCTCATTCTAGTATTCTGCCTCCCTCCTGCTTTCTGTCTTGCATTCACCTGACTCTCCAAGTGAGCCATTTCTGATGAGGTGGTCTTTTTGCAATTTCTTGTGAAAATGTCTTTAAGGCAAAGAAATATAGGCTGGTCATTTCTTGACGAACAGTCAAGTGGACGAACAGTCAAGTGGACTCTGCCTGGCAGAAGTCAGCCCTATTCTTGGTCTGAAGTGCTGATAAAACAGTAATAGAAAATGTCCTCGACACTGTGCCGAGCTTGTCTCTCATGATTTTCTGGACGTGCTTTTTTCTTCCTCCTCAGGGTGCCGTGGGTGATGATCTCTCAATGACTGCTTACATCACAGCCTCTTTGCTGGAGATTCATCTGGATAAAGAAGTAAATCTTTCTGTAGCCTTTGGCTTTTTCCTATATTTGTCAGCTGCTGGGATCTTTGTCTAAAGTCTGAATTATGGACTTTCTGGACAGTTGGTAACACTGATCGAGCAAACCACTGAAATCGTTTACTATAAAGTGTTTGATTTGATTTGTTTAACCTAAGCATAGGCTGTATCTACACTGCCATATGATCCAGTTCTAATCCAGATTAACTTCTTTGAACTGGATTGTATGAGTCTATACCTGCATCAAAGCAGATCAACTGGATTCAGAAACTGAATTATATGCAGTATAGGGGCCATGGAAGGCTAGTGTGGTGTATTGATTTGTGAGTTAGGCTGGATCTACGCATAAAATATAGATAAGCAGATAAAATATAGATAAAATGATAAGTTCGAAGCCCGAGTCAGGGTTGAGCGGCCTACTGTTAATACTTTGGGAAGTCTGACTTGGTCACAGTAGTTCACGCTCTGGTTATATCCCGTATAGACTACTGCAACGCTCTCTACGGGGGGTTGCCTTTGAAGACAGTCTGGAAGCTTCAACTAGTCCAACGAACAGCAGCCAGGATGCTAACAGGAGCAGCGCTCAGGGAGCATACAACCCACTTGTTGCGCCAGCTCCACTGGCTGCCGGTTTGCTACCAGGCCCAATTCAAAGTGCTGGCTTTGGCCATAAAGCCCTAAGCGGTTCTGGCCCAACTTACCTGTCCGAACGTATCTTCCCTTATGAACCATCGAGGACTCTAAGATCATCTGGGGAGGCCCTGCTCTCGGTCCCACCTTCGTCACAAGTACGTTTGGTGGGATGAGAGACAGGGCCTTCTCAGTGGTGGCCCCTCAGCTATGGAACACCCTTCCTAAGGAGATCAGATCTGCTCCCTCACTCTTAATGTTTCAAAGGCAAGTTATAACATGGCTGTTCGAGCAAGCGTTTACAAATACAGAGTAGCTAATATAGGAAATCGAATGATTTGACAATGGAACCGGACAATGCTTGATAATAATGAGGCAATAATTATGTTGTTTTTATTGCTTTGTGGTGTTTTATACTGTTTAATGTTTTAATCTGTATTCAGCAATGGAACTCTCTGCCCCGGAGTGTGGTGGAGGCTCCTTCTTTGGAAGCTTTTAAGCAGAGGCTGGATGGCCATCTGTCAGGGGTGATTTGAATGCAATTGTCCTGCTTCTTGGCAGGGGGTTGGACTGGATGGCCCATGAGGTCTCTTCCAACTCTTTGATTCTATGATTCTATGATTCTATGATTGTTCAAATCCCTGTTCAGCTAGGAAAACCCACTGGGTGACCTTGTCACGCACTCTTTTTCTGAGAAGAAGGCAAGTAAACACCCCTCTGAATATATTTTGCCTGTGATATGTTTGAATTGAAAATGAATTGAAAACTTACAACAGCAATGTGTAGGATGAAGCCCATCATGATAAATATTATAAGCAAGATTGACTATATTTGGAGGGTTTTTTGAATGCTATCCTAACTTTAGGTACAAAAGTGTATGTGCCACTTATGGAATGATATCTATTTACAACCTAAGAGGTTGTTTTTGTATTGTAGGTCACCTTAATCGAGAACGCCTTGCTCTGTTTGAAGAGGAACTTAAGTTCTGTGGATGGAACCTATACCAAAGCATTGTTGGCTTATGTCTTCACATTGGCCAAGGATGTAGAAACCCAGCAACAGCTAATGACAGAGTTGGAAGAACAGGCTGAGAGAAAAGGTAGGAGGTCGTATACCTTATAGTACTTACTTTGTTCTCAAGGCTTCTGTTGTATGAACCTGGATTCTAAATTTGCTTTGATTCATTCCAAGTAGTCACACCTTCCACTAAAAATGAGAAACTCCTTAAACGCTTCCCCTAAAATACCTGTGTTAGTTTATGTCATTTTCTTCACTTCGCTTCACTTCACTTCTCTTTATTTCTTAATTAGTCGCTCTCCACCAAGGGGCTCCGAGCGACTTACAATTTAAAATTGCATTTACACAATATAAAAACATTCAACATAATAACATACAACAGTGACTATTTGACAAATTAGATCTGATCACTTTAATTGAATGCACAAAATCCATCTGCAAGATGGAAAAAATAGTTCAGTGCTATGCGAATTATTAAGCTGAACATTTTTCTGATCCAACCATTTTTAAAAAGGGTAAAAAACAAAACAGGCACATCTTGCCCATTCCATGCAAATATTGTGATTGAACAGAGTTATATGAGGCTACACTGCCATATAATCCAGTTCAAAGCAGATAATCTGGGATAAGAAACTGGATTATATGGGAGTGTAGAAGGGTCCAGTGCTTCTCCACTAGACTTCAGTCTGAGCGTTTGTTCAATTAGAGGTTGTCTACACTAACAAAAAACTCTAGATGACCTTGAATGGAAGACTTGTTGTCTTTATGCTTTTTTTGAGAACCCTGGTTTGTTTCGGGTTTTTTTTTTTTTTTTTTTTTGCTTTAAACTGGATTTGTCCCACTCTGGGCAAGTCAATGGATACTCCAGAAGTTTCCTGGAAACTGTAGAGTATCCTGTGGCTTCAGGGTAGTTTGAATGGCTGGATTGGGTTTGATTCGGCCCAAATGACACTGACGCTGATGGGGAGATATTGGAAATATAGATATTTATACATATACTAGCTTTACCCACCACGCGTTGCTGTGGCCAGCCTTCTCTCCCTCTTTCTCTGCTTCTTTCACTCCTTCCTTCATTCCGTTTTCTTCTTTCCTTTCTTCCTTCTCTACCTGTTTACTTCCTTCCTTAGCTGTTTGCTTTCATCCTTCCTTCTCCTTATTTATTTCCTTCCCTGCGTCTTTCTCTCCTTCTTTCTCTTTTTCCTTTGCTGCGTCTTTCCTCCCTTCCCTTTTTTCTTTCCTTCTCTCCTCCTTCCTTCTGTACTCTTTCCTTCCTCCTCCCTTTTTCTTTTCCTTCCTCTTTGTCTCCTTTCTTCCCTCTCTTTCTCTTTCCTTCCTTCCTTCGCTCTGTAGTTCCATTCTTTCCTTCCTTCCCTCCCTTTCTCTTCTTCATTTGCTTTCTTTCCTCCCTTCCCTTTTCTTCTGTCCTTTCTTCCTTCCTTTCCTTTGTTCCTACACCTTCCCTTCCGCTCCTTTCTTCTTCCTTCCTTCCTTTCTCCCTTCTTTCCCATGCTCCTACTCTCTCTTTCTTCTTTCTTTCCTACCTTTCTTCCCTCATATACTTTCCCAACTTCTCCTTCCTTCCTTTTTTCATACACCTTCCCTTCCCCTTCCCTCCTTTTGTTTATTTCCTACCTTTCTTCTCTGATATAACTGCCTTCCTTCTTTCCTTCCTTCCTTCGTTCCTACACCTTCCCTTCCCCTTCCCACTTTTCTTCTTTGTTTCCTTCTTTCCTTCCTTCCTTCCTTCCTTCCTTCCTTCCTTCCTTCCTTCCTTCCTTCCTATTTACACCCCTTCCCCTCATTTCCGTCCTTCCTTCCCTCGCCCGCTTCCTTCCCTCCTTCCCATTCCTCATCGTCCCCGATGGCGGCGTCCTCCCTTCCCTGGAGCCAGATGCCAGTGTGCGGGGGTGGCCTGGGCCGGGTGTGGCGGAGGCCAAAGGGCTGTCCTCGGGAGAGGCGGGTCACGGCCTCTCCCGGGCGGGCCACGAAAGCGCGCAGCGGGGGCCTCCTGGGCAGCCTCCGCGGGTCCAGGCCCGGGAAGGCCACAAGCTGTCCGGGCCCGTGGAAGGTGGACACCCCCTGCGCCGCACATGCACCAGGCCGGCCCCCAGCGCGCACAGGCGGGTGAGCTCCCACTCCCAGGCCGGGGCTTCAGCGTCGGTGCCTAGGCCGCACTCGGTTTGCTATGGGGGAAGGGGCAGGGTGGCGATGGGAGGGGGCGTGGCTTGCGCGGAGGGGGCGTGGTGTGGCCATGTGCGTTCACCGGGCAACTCGCGCCGGGACTCCTCTGCACATGCTCCGTTTGGTTGTGTAATTGTGAGTTTGTTGTTATGTTTTTTTGAGTTGTGATGAGTGTTCTGCATACCTTGTGGTTTGAGGTATGCGTACGCCAAGTTTGGTGATTTTTCGTCTGGGGGTTTTCGCGTTTTGCGGTCCCTAACAACGCCCTTTTATATATATAGATTGTATGTACTTTAGAAGCACTGAAATGTCAGAAAAATCAGTCTCTCTCTGTATTAGGAAGCCAAGCTGACAGGACAAAGGGAAGACGAAGTATCTGTGTCCAAGACATGGGTGAGAGGGGGGTAAACATACCAGGAAGGGGGAGAAAAGCATGGCCTAGCACCAACAGAGATAGGTAAACAGTAAGGTTTCTCTCCCTCCCTCCTGACAGCTCAAAAGTAGGCCCCTGATGGATGTAAGCTTCATTAGAACAAATATAGAGACATGCCTCTTGCATGTTGGAAGAAAGAATTTGATATTTCTATCATGCTAAAGTGATGTAGTGATGATGTTATGTATGTAGAAGCATGTTTCTTTGTTTGCCTGCATTTGAAGATGTATAAAAGGGAATGTCAATGCCTTTATCCTCACTGGTTGATTTGGATGCAACTCCATGCCAGGGTCTCAGCTGGAAATAAATGTACTTTTCTGCCTCCAGAAAGGATCGCTCTTGGTATTACCTCTCCTATCTGCTGCTACAACACCATCTCCTTTTCTCTGTGCTGATGAGTGCAGGGAAAGAAGATAGATCTTGGCTCTGCTCTACCCAGCTATCTGAAAAATGACCCCAGATTTATTATGAAGGTGCTATTTCTGGAATAGCTCCAGGCAGGCATGTAGCCAGGGGGGGCGGGCTTTGGGGGCGTCAGCCCCACCCCCCAAAATTCTCATGGTGGTCTGCGAAAAGGCCTTACTGTTGCATTATTTAAACTGTTATGTTTATTCATATCATGATCTGATCACCATGCTCAATATATCTCATATGCATGGGGGTATTGGGGTAACGATACAAAAGGTTTGCTAGGGTAGACCCTCTTTCACTCAGACTCAGCCCCCCCCCCCCCCGAATCAAACACACCCCCCCCCCTCCCGAATCAAAATCCTGGCTACGGGCCTGGCTCCAGGCCATATTTACATTAGGCTAAACCACCTAATGGCAGTGAGCCCTTAAACAAGCTGGGGGAGTGTAACCTATATTTTATAACATTGTTGTATTTTGTTATATTATTTGGTCTTGCGATAGTGTCAACTTGTTTTCATTTTTAAAATCATAGAATCATAGAAACAAAGAGTTGGAAGAGACCCCATGGGCCATCCAGTCCAACCCCCTGCCAAGAAGCAGGAATATTGCATTCAAAGCACCCCTGACAGATGGCCATCCAGCCTCTGTAAAAGCCTCCAAAGAAGGAGCCTCCACCACACTCCGGAGCAGAGAGTTCCACTGCTGAACAGCTCTCACTGTTAGGAAGTTCTTCCTAATGTTCACATGGAATCTCCTTTCCTGTATGAAGCCATTGTTCCATGTCCTAGTCTCCAGAGCAGCAGAAAACAAGCTTGCTCCCTCCTCCCTGTGACTTCCTCTCACATATTTATACATGGCTATCATATCTCCTCTCAGCCTTCTCTTCTTCGGGCTAAACATGCCCAGCTCCTTAAGCCGCTCCTCATAGGGCTTGTTCTCCAGACCCTTGATCATTTTAGTCGCTCTCCTCTGGACACATTCCAGCTTGTCAATATCTCTCTTGAATTGTGGTGCCCAGAATTGGATACAATATTCCAGGTATGGTCTAACCAAAGCGGAATAGAGGGATAGCATTACTTCCCTAGATCTAGATACTATGCTCCTATTGATGAAGGCCAAAATCCCATTGGCTTTTTTTTGCCGCCGGAACACATTGTTGGCTCATCTTTATCTTGCTGTCCATGAGGACTCCAAGATCTTTTTCACATGTACTGCTCTCGAGCCAGGCGTCCCCCATTCCGTATCTTTGCATTTTGTTTTTTCTGCCTAAGTGGAGTATTTATCTCAGTATCTTTTTCAGAGAGAGGTGTGCCAAAACTTGATTGGAAAAATAACAAGAACAGCAAACCCAGGCACAGTTTTAGTAAACAATGTGCCATTTTAAGAAATAGATCACTGTGCCGGGTGGCAGGGGCCATCCGAAAAAGAAGAAAACACTGTATATTGCTTTTTATGCCATGTTTTGTTATTTTTGGAGAAATGCAAGCATAGAGAATGGAGCTGTCTGTGATGCAGGAGGCTTCGGGAAAACATTGGTAATTCGTGCTCTGGATTCTTATGACAAGAGCTGATGGGGTCCCAGTGGTTGACTTTTTATTGTGCACAAAAAAGCTTTCTATGCCACACTTTCTTTTTCCTTTTATAGCTGGAATCATATCCTTTCCGGAGACTGAGACCATGATCTACGTTCTCTTGACTTACCTTGCTATGCCAGAGGTGCCTTTAGAGAAAGCTTCCCAGATTGTGCGTGCGCTCACCCCACAGCAGAACCCATATGGAGGTTTCTCCTCCACACAGGTAACAGGCTAGATTTGTCATTTGGGAGGGCAGGTTAGGGCTAGCAATCGGGGCCTAGCTATCTTTGTGAGCCTTATATTGGTAACGCTTGCCCTGATGACCAAGAAATACACAATCTAGGAATAAGAGCTTGCCACACTAAATCCTGGGTCTTGGATGCCTTGGCCAACAGAGTGAGGAATAGTGTATTTTTCCCTATATAAATATGGCATTACCATTTGATAGCAAAGGACTATTGTTATAGCTTGCCCACAGTGCTTTGAATATATTTTGCAAAATGTAAGGATGTGCAGATACCTGGATATTGGAAACATTTGGAAGAAAGAATGGGCACTATTGGAAGAAGTAAGGTAAAAATCTAGCAGTTCGAAAACATGCAAATGTGAGTAGATCAATAGGTACCGCTCCGGCGGGAAGGTAACGGCGCTCCATGCAGTCATGCCGGCCACATGACCTTGGAGGTGTCTACGGACAACGCTGGCTCTTCAGCTTAGAAATGGAGATGAGCACCACACCCCAGAGTCAGACATGACTGGACTTAATGTCAGGGGGACTACCTTTACCTTTAAGGTAAAAATCATATATTATGTTACTAGTGCTCTCAAACAATTTCACAGTCCAAGAAAAAGAATCTTGGTGTCTTGGTTTTTAGGCATGTTCCTCGGTTATTTGGGGCACTGATTCAGAAAATTGCATTAAACAGACCACAACAGCTCCAGTTTCTTACATATTATGGTTTTCTATGGGCAAGCTGATGAAGACTGGTAGATGGCATATGGTCTGTATCTCAAAACCTGGTGATATTGGAAAACTGATGCCATTTTTGGAATCAGCAGGTTAGATATACACAAAAACAAGGCTGACATTTGGGGCACCAAAATGTGTGTTAGCCAGTATTGTTAATCATATTGTGAACCAGGTTCTGGACATTTAGATACCAAAGTGTGGTGAAAAAATAAAATAAAGCAAAGTAAATGTCAGAGTCTAACTGAAAGATTGAGAAAAATACCTCAAAGGTATTCTTAAGCAGTACACTTGTACTTAATTGATGTAAGTCATATAAAGCAATCCAAAGGAAAGCATATACAATATATGTATATTTTAACAATTTGATTATGTAAACAAATAGCCTAAAAAGATGCAGCAATATATTTTTCCCCATATCAAGTAATCTGGAATTCTAGTGTTAAAGAGAAATATTGATTTTTTTTAAAAAATATATTTTTTATTTGGCTAGACGTAAGTAATTTGTAAAATTGTCCTAATTGCATGCGCGCAATGATATATTATTATTATTATTTTACCCCATATAACACATTCACAGTTTGACATGTTGTGTCTGTGTGCCAAGTTTGGTCCAGATTCATTGTCAGCTGGGTTTATTGTTCTCAGGATATGGGTGAACTACAACTCCCAGATTCCCAGAGCAATCACTCCCAAACCCTGCCAGTATTCACAGTTGGCTATGTTGGGTCTGTGTGCCAAGTGTGATCTAGGTCAGTCATTAGTTGGGTTCAGTGCTCTCTGGATGCAAGTGAACTACAACTCCCAAAATCAAGGTCTGTTCCCACGAACTCCTGCAGTATGTTCACTTGGTCGTGGGGCTTCTCTGTGCCAAGTTTGGTCCCAGTCCATTGTTGATGGGGGTCAGTTTCTTTGTATGCAGGTGAACTATAATTCCCATAAATCAAGGTCAATGTTAGAACGGATCTGAGTGGCTTTATTTGCAAAGTGCCTTGCAAATTTTTCACAGTGGGCTGTTGAATGGTCAGAATTTTCTCCTTTAGGACCCGCTCTTTGACACTGACTACTCGAAATAGCTCAGCTGGACAGGACCTTGCAGATGCAATGGTGGCAGCAATAAACGGTTTCTCTGCTGCCTCTATTGCTACAAAGTAGGTTTTCAAACATCCTGTAGCCCATGCTTGGTCAGATTCACTTTCAGTTTTCCACCCATGTTGCTCTAATCTCCATGGGGCTGGTTTGGCTCTGCTCCATGAGAGGGGACATTCAGGAGTGATTGTGTCCACTGCCCTGGCCAATTTCCCATTCGATAGGTCAACCAAAACTTTGACAGAGTCACCTTACGAGGTGGCTGGAAAATTCCCAAGAGCTGTCAGGAATCCATCTGGATCCATTTTAATTGGTCCCCCACCCATGTGGAGCTTTGGAGTCCCAGCAAGTCTAAACCTAACCAGATAGTGATAGATTGAATTGTGACAAGTTCCTCCACACCACAATCGTTTGATCCTGCACAGAAAACAAGGTCCAAAGTGTGCCCAACAGCATAATTATATATTTTTAAATTTCTATTTTTCCCTACTTCAAAGGGTTTTACAGCAGCCCATCACACAACACTCCAACTTCACTTGCAGCATGGAGCCTGCTGGCTCCCATCCTATGATATAGATCTACTTCTGGCAGGGCTCCATACCACAAGTGAAGTAGAAGCATTGGCAATCTATGGTGGCAACAACACAGGAGGCTTCCCGTGTTGCATAGGAAACAATGGGGGGAAGCCAGGTGGCAGACACTTCCCCTGTGGGTTGGGATGAAGGAAAGCGCGGGCGATGCAGGTCGCAGGGTGATGGGTTTCCCATGCCGGATTTTCCAAGATGCGTGTAAGTTAATTAAAATAATGTAAATAATAATAATATGGTCTCGTAAAAATAATTTATAATTTCAAACATATTTAAGAATTAATACATTAAAACAAGTTAAAATAATATAAATGGGAAACTGGTATCTCAACTAGACCTCAAAGGCTTTAATGGAAAATATATGTTTTAGATGAAAATATTTGGTGTATCAACACAGTAGGTTTACTACAGCTTGACACCACTAACATTTGTGGCTCAATGATGTGTAATCATGGGGTTGTAGTTTTACAGCATCTTTTATCTTTTTTATCAAAGAGTGCTGGTGCTTCACCAAATTACAAATCCCCGGATTCCATACTTTTGAGCCATAGTTACAGTGATGTCAAACTGCACTGATTCTACAGAGCAGATGCACCCATTGTTCCACCAAATGAGTTTCTAAGTAGGCTTGTCCATAAGCAGGGTTCCAGAAGAGAAATTGAACGCTACATTGCCAAGATCTCTGTGCACTGGATTCCTTTCGCGTGACTTCAAGGAGAGTCATGCACACTTACCATTCCCAATATTTCTATTATTTTTTGCAGGAAACTATTGTTGGCATGCAGGCATTAGCAAAGTACGCTGCCTTAACTTATCGTGAGATAGACGACCTGAAGGTAGTGGTGAAATCAGGTGAGGATTTCCAGCATGAATTCCATATGGACAAGAAGAACCAGCTGGTGCTGCAGCAGGCCTCTCTTCCAGCTGTTCCAGGTCAATACCATTTTGAGGTGTCGGGGAATGGCTGCACATATGTGCAGGTGAGCCATGGAAACAACAATAATCCTATCTCATCACCAAAAGCAGGCCCACACTTCCCAATGAAATACTAATAAGTTTATATTTGTTAAAATTGTTCTTCATTTTAATTATTGTATTGTTCTAAAGTGTTTTTTGCACCACAATTAAGATACGTGCACTGTGCATAAGAATTCATTCATAATTTTTTTTTCAAATTATAATCCAGCCCTCCAATAGTTTGAGGGACTATGACCTGGCCCTCTGTTTAAAAAGTTTGTGGACCCCTGACTTAGATGAACCATGCTGGACCCAATAAGAGGATTCCCTTTAAAAGCATCCACCCATAGTCATATTCCCTAATCACTGTTTTGTAGGCACCATACTGATGGTGTTTCAGGACAAACAAAATGAGTTCAGAAAATCAGCAACCTAAGCCAGTGGTTCTCAAGCTGTGGGTCCCCAGATGTTTTGGCCTACAACTCCCAGAAACCCCAGCCAGTTTACCAGCTGTTAGGATTTCTGGGAGTTGAAGGCCAAAACATCTGGGGACCCACAGGTTGAGAACCAGATAAGCCAACAACATGGTCACTTGTTCAGGCCTCGTTCAATAGGAAATACATACTCTTCAATCCTGTGCCATATTCTGCAGCAAGGGAGGGAAGTTCAGACAATCTTTTGGAGAAGTTTATATCTGTTCTTCCAACAGTTTATGCTCACCAGGAGACATAATCTGGATTAATCAAGGACTGTGCAATTCTTTCTTGCTTAAAAGGCTGGACCGGGGGAGGACTCTTTAGGCAACTCAAGTAATTTCATTTAGTGTGAATGAACTGAATGGCTTAACTTGGAAAGAAGTCTCTGTCAAAATGAAAGAGCTCTATGTTGTCCATTTATTTATTTTATTTACAGCTTTTATATTCCTCCCTTCTCACCCCACAGGGGACTCAGGGCGGATTACAGTGTACACATATGTGGCAAACATTCAATGCCAATTGTTGACATACAAACATATACAGACATAGACAGAGGCTATTTAACTTTTTCTGGACGCCAGGGGAGCTGTTGCTTTCATCGTCCATCTGCGACGCTGATGAAGTACTTCCGCATTGCCCACATGCTTCCCTGCTGGAATGCTCTGCTGGAGTCTTCTTTATGGCCTCATAAATTAGTTAATTTAGCCTCCCCACACTTTAAGGTGGTACCTAATTTTCCTACTTGACTGATGCAACTGTCTTTAGGGGTTGCAAAGGTCGACAACAGGCTACACACAATTGGTTGGAAACCCACTCCAACCCGGGCTGGCTTCGAACTCATGACCTTTTGGTCAGAGTGATCTTAATGCAGCTGACACTCAGCCAGCTGCGCCACAATCCCGGTGTATGTCATCTCACCTCTTGTGAATGTACCACTTCCAGAACTGCACATTTTGCTTTGAATTTGATAGGTTTATTGAAATGACCGTGCATGCAGTACATTGTTTGTTTGATAGCAATATCCATGATGCAGCAAAGTTTTTCTCTTACCTAGACCATCCTTCATTTCAACCACCAACCTGAGAAGCCCAAAGTTTTTGAACTGAATGTTACAACATCCCCAGAGGAATGCAACCAGAATTCCAAGAAAAAATTTGACATCATTCTACAAGTGAGGTATGACATTTTATTTTATTTGGTGCATAAGCTCCAAAAATATTTGTTGGCGAGGCTTTCAGAGGTGTGAAGAATTGTTCTCTCTTCTTGGTTCTCTAAATGGCCACACTTTCTCCAGTATCTTCCTTACTGAGATGTTTTCCCTTCTTCCTGTAGCTATATAGGTGAACGAAAGGCAAGCAACATGGCTCTGATAGAAGTGAACATGGTATCAGGATACATCCCAGTGAAAAAATCTGTGAAAAAGGTGAGGAGGTCTTAGGCTCCAATACTTTATCTAGGAAAAGGCAGCTCCAATACTGTCACATGGCAAACCAGTGCAAGTTGAGATGCAGAGGCACTTGCCAAATTTAAAATAGTAGAATAATTATGACTTTCCTGAAAGTAGTTTGAGGGATTATCACTTTGTCTACTAGAATATGCCAACCAGGTCAGATATTCTGGGCACCACAATTCAAGAGAGATATTGACAAGCTGGAGTGTGTCCAGAGGAGGGTGACTAAAATGATCAAGGGTCTGGAGAACAAGCCCTATGAAGAGCGGCTTAAGGAGCTGGGCATGTTTAGCCTGAAGAAGAGATATGATAGCCATGTATAAATATGTGAGAGGAAGGCCACAGGGAGGAGGGAGAAAGCTTGTTTTCTGCTTCCCTGGAGACTAGGACGCGGAACAATGGCTTCAAACTACAAGGGAGGAGATTCCATCTGAACATGAGGAAGAACTTCCTGACTGTGAGAGCCATTCAGCAGTGGAACTCTCTGCCCCGGAGTGTGGTGGAGGCTCCTTCTTTGGAAGCTTTTAAACAGAGGCTGGATGGCCATCTGTCAGGGGTGATTTGAATGCAATATTCCTGCTTCTTGGCAGGGGGTTGGACTGGATGGCCCATGAGGTCTCTTCCAACTCTTTGATTCTATGATTCTATGATTCTATGATATGGTGAGCAAACCATCCAGAAAAGTCCAGTTAACATGAGAGTCTGGAGCTGTGATGAACTGGAAGCTGGACACAACCCAAAAGTCACTCACAGTTTATTATGCAGATCTCAGTTTTTGCATTTCACAATTATTGGTTTAGTTCATAGCTAATGCCCACAAAATCGTAAGCAGGATTCTCCCTAACTTTGTCTCATTCTGTTTTCTGGCAGCTGAAAAACAACACCCATGTAAAGAAAGTGGAACTTGACCCTGACAAGACCATTATTTACCTGGATGAGGTGAGAACTGGATGAGGAGATGGCTATCAGTTCAGTATGGATCAGCAATCAGGAGGGATGGGCAGGGAGTAGACAGCAATGATAGAAAACAGGCAATCAATGCCGCAAAAAATTCTCTCTTTGCAGCCAACTTTGCGTCTGCAAGGAACCATCCAGCCGAGCTGTTTCGAACAGTCAGAAGGTTGTGAAACCCTTAGTCGCAAGATGAGGTCCCTGACAATTCAGCAGCATGCTGTGAAGCATTTGCTTGGTTCTTTGCCGACAGTTGCTCTGACCCACTCCAACCTGGATTCCATGTTAACGGCAGACTCTGAAGATGTAGCACGAGCACCTGATAGTCCAGTTTTAATGGATTCATTTCAAATTGTGCAGTCCGAGGATGTGGACAAGATCCTTGGAGAAGCAAGGGCGACCACATGCATTCTGGACCCCTGCCCATCCTAGCTGATAGTAGTAATAATAATAATAATAATAATAATAATAATAATAATAATAATATAATAATAATAATAATAATAATAATATAATATTTATATTCCACCCTTCTCACCCCAAGGGGACTCAGGGGCAGATACACAGTATACACATACATGGCAAACATTCAATGCCGCTTTGTATAGACAATACACAGACAGACAGAACAGAAGGAGGTGTCATGGAAGGTTGGGCTCGAGTCCAGGGGGTGCTGTTGCTCTATTCTCTATGACAAAGAGTTGTCAGGACTTCCTCCTTCCTTTGGTCACCAGCATTTTCTGATCTTTCTTTATGGCATCGTAAAACACCTCCCCTGCTTTTAGCAGTACCTAATTTCTCTAATCACAGCAAAAACTGTTTTCGAATTGCTTGGGTAAACAATGAGCTAGGCTGACAGATCTTAATGAGGAAGAACAAATTGAAATTGAATCGAGACAAGACGGAGGTACTCCTGGTGTTGCTGCAAGAAGGTCCTCCATTGTGCATTTAGCAAGGCTCAGGTTGCATTGCAGCAGGTGGTCTGTAGTTTGCTCTTCTCCATATTCGCATGTCGTGGATTCCATTTTATAGCCCCATTTCTTAAGGTTGGCTCTGCATCTCGTGGTCCCAGAGCGCAGTCTATTCAGCGCCTTCCAAGTCGCCCAGCTTTCTGACAAGCTAAGGCACAACTTGACAGAAGCAAATGCTAGATACACCAGTTACAGCTCTGTAAAATCATGGACTCTGGAGACGTCAGGTTACAAGAAAACTCAGTTTACTAAGCACAGAGCAAAAGTACATCCATCTTCAGCGAGCGACACAGGAACACACAGGAAAACTGAAAGTCAAAACAGTTCTTTTGCAGCTGCTTAGCTCTTCTGCTCCAAGTTGTTAACTCCCTAATTTTTCTCAGCAGCAGAGAGCTTATCTTAAGATCACTCAATCACAGCCTCAACATAAACATTTCAGCATAGCATTACACTCCAAGTGGCATCCATATTGGTAATACAAGAATTACATTTAAAACACACAATTATATCTCAATAAATCCTGACACTTTCTGTGTGCCCAGGAGGGAGTCTCTCATTTGGTATCAGCCATTGCTTGAGGTTCTGGGTTTGAGCCTGCCACTTTTGGACTCTTGCTTGCTGAGGTGTTCCAGCAAGTGTCTCTGTAGATCTTAGTTTATTTGATGAGATATGTTTTATGGTTATGTTTTAAACTGCATTGAATCTTGCCGGAGTTGTAAGCCACCTTGAGCCCCCCTGCAGAGGTGATAAAGGTGGGATATAAATGAAGCAAATAAATAATAAACTTGTAGATCACCATGAAAAGGGGGATACAAATAAGAGTACCATATATTCTGGCATATTAGACTACTTTCTAACCCAAGAAAATCTTCTCAAAAGTCAGGGGTTGTCTTAAACGCGGGGGTAGTCTTATATGCGGGAGTAGTCTTATACGCGGGGGGTCGTCTTATACGCTGGAGTAGCCTTATGCATGAGAGTCGTCTTATATGTGGGAGTAGTCTTATACGCTGGGGGTCGTCTTATAGAGCGAGTGCTGAAACTTCCAATCCAGATTGGAGAATCTGTGGTTGCTGCATATTATGGGGGGAGCTCAAAAATGGCAGTGGTCGCGTCCTTGCCGTATGCAGCGACTGTATGAAAGCATTAAGGGCGACGCTGTACAAGTACGGTAGAAGAAAATCCATTCATCAGGATTCATGGACTTAATGCGGTCCCGATGGTGAGGTGAAGGGGAAATCACTGTATTGAAATCAAATCTGATGCTTTTAAAAATTTTATTTGGTGTGTGTTGGAAGAGGGGTAGTCTTATACGGCGAGTATATGCCAAACTCTATATTTTAACTGGAAAAGTTGGGGGTCGTCTTATATGCCCAGTCGTCTTATATGCCGGAATATACGGTACTTTCTTCAGGAATGCATCCTGGGAGAAATCTCATACAGATGCAAAACCTTTTCTTATTCTCTCATTTTCCTTAGCTGGATAAGAATGTTCAAAGCTACCATTTCTCTGTGGAGCAGGAATTTGAAGTGCTTGATCTGAAGCCAGCAATTGTGAAAGTCTATGATTATTATCATCCAGGTAAGTGATTTACTGGCTATCATGGCTTGATATTCAGTTACACTATTCATTGTAAGTCCTACATTTTTGCTCACACAGATCTTTGCCAAGATGCTTCAGGTTATACCTCTTTTAATTTACTCTTATTTGTTCAAAATTGCGTTCAGTGCTAGTGTAAGCCACTCCCTAACAACCTAACAAAACCCAGATTCCTAGTCTAACTCCTACATGTCCCACAATGCCCATCGTGTTGAGTTTCTCTGGGGCATTATGGGGAATTTATTTTTATTTTATTTATTTATTTCGAGTGCTTCTACCCCACCCTTCTCAACCCCCTAGCGGGGACTCAGGGCGGCTTACAAAAGGCACAATTCGATGCCCAATAGTTCACAAAATACATTATATACAAAATACAATATAACAACAACAGTTATAACTAGTTAAAACAGTCAAATTAATACAATAGCAGCAATAAAATCATCTTGTGGTCAACGTTCGCCAATTCATAAATCCATAATCCATCCAGCATTGTCATTGTCCTTTCCTACTCTGGTCGTCATTGTCTTTTATCCATCTGCCAGCTTACCCAAAGGCCTGGTCCCATATCCAGGTTTTTAACTTCCTTCTGAAAGAGAGGAGGGATGTTGATGACCTAATTTCCCCGGGGAGTGAATTCCACAGGTGAGGGGCCACCACCGAGAAGGCCCTGTCCCTCGTCCCCACCAGTCTCACTTGTGATAAAGGTGGGGCCGAGAGCAGGGCCTCCCCAGAGGATCTTAAACTCCGAGGTGGGACGTAGAAGGAGATACGTTCAGACAGGTACGCTGGGCCAGAGCCATATAGTATAATTTAAAGGTTTACCCTCAGTTAAATAACATTCTCTGGAATGTTGCTGCCTATGAATGCAGCCAGGTATACCTAACATGGTACAGGCTGAATATCCCTAATAATAATAATAATAATAATAATAATAATAATAATAACAACAACAACAACAACAACAACAACAACTTCTTTATTTATACCCCGCTACCATCTCCACAAGGGGACTCGGGGCGGCTTACATGAGGCCAAGCCCAACAACACATCAGTAAAACAACAAAGCAATAAGCAAATAAAACAATACAATTAGTATAACTCACATATAGACAATAACACACACAAAAAAAACAACAAAAACCTATGGCCGGGCCATAAGTAATAGTTTAAAAATTTAAAAATAAACACTGGGCGTGAACAGGGTTTTAAAGGAAATGTAGGGAGAGCAACTCAACACTTGTTATGGAATTCGGGGGGGGGGGGGGGTTGTTTTGTTGTTGTTGTTTTAAAAATAGCTGTATTTGCATATATTTATATTATGAGTTCTTTTGGATATGGGATCCCAGTCTAAACATGAAATTCATGTATGCTTCAGATATACCTTATACACATAGAAAAAAGATAATTTTGTACAGAGTGTTTTTAATAATGTTGTGCATGAAACTAAACTGCCTTCCAACTCCAGGTAGACACATACTTCTGTGGCTGATTTCAAACCAGCTTTAGAGCAGCATACAGAGATGAAACTGCAATGACCGTTTTCGTGGATGATCTCCATTCCAATACCAATAAAGTTCCTGTGTCCCTGTTGGTGCTTCTAGACCTCTTAGTGGGTTTCAATATTTTTTACCCTTCTGGAACACCTGGAGGGGTTGGGAATCAGAGGCACTGTGTTGCATTGGTTCCAGTTGTACTTCTCAGGCAGGTTCCAGATGGTTATGCTTGGGGATAGCTGTTCCTCTAAAAAAGGAGCAACTATGTGGCATCCTACAATGTGCCATTATATTCCCACTGCTTTTTAAACATTTACATGAAAGACAGAATCCAGGAGCTTGGGAAGGGTCCTTTCAAACCAAATATATTTCTCCATGCCTTTAATAACAGTTTTAACTAAGAATGGTGTGTCTGAATGAATGCCTGGAGGAGTTAATGGAGAAAAACAAATAGAAACTGAATCCAGATAAATCAGAGACACTTGCCATTAGAGTTGTAACCTAGGGTTGGAGGTGTGTCATCCAGTTCTGAATAGAGTTACATTCCACCTGAAAGATTGTGTTTGCAGCTTGGGAGTGATCCTGGATCAGTCCTTCCAAATATCGACCCAGATATATGCAATATTGCTTATTATAAGCCTCGACTGATACAACACCTGCACCCCTTCCTGGAATCGGAAGATGGCAGTGTAGGCACTGGTAACCTCAAGGTTGGACATCTGTAATGCATTGTACAAGTTTGTGTAAAATACGGCAGTCAGTTTGATTACAGATACATCAAGAAGTGAGGATATCATACCTATACTAAGATCACTCCAACTGGTTGCCACTTAGTTTCTGGGGAAAAGTACAAAGTATTGATTACCACTTTTAAAGCTCTACATGGCACCTGAAGGATTGTCTTCTTTCATATAATCTGCCCTGGACACTTAGGTTATTTGGAGAACATTTACTTTACATTTACTTTAACCATCCAGAACTTTAACTATCCAGAACTTGACTGACACCCTAGCGACATCTAGATTGTGGAATGATCTCCCAGAAGAGATTCAACAGCTAAAGGAACTGTCATAATTTAATATAAAATTAAAGATTTAATTCTTCTAGCAGGCCTACTCAGTCAATTTTAAACTATGCCTTTTAAGGAGGCATTTTATTGCTATGAATGATTTTAATGCGTTTGATCATGTCTTTTAATATATATGATTTAATGGTTTTATGTTTTTATTTATGTATATGTTGTTGTGGTGATTGTTGTGGTTGTTACTATTACACTGAACCACCAGAAAGCAAAAGTGTTACCATCTCAGCCAGTCACATAATAAATAATAATAAAACTTTATTTATACCCCGCTACCATCTCCCCATGGGACTCAGTGCGGCTTACATGAGGCCGAGCCCAAATACAACAATACAAGCAAAAATAACAACAATATAAACAATTAAAATCAAACATAGACAATAAAACAATAACATAAGCATTAACAATAAGACAACACACTATTAAAATCTATGGGAAGGCCAAATGTAAATTGAAATTAAAAATAATGAACAGTTTTGGATTATTTTGTATTTCAGAATTCCAGATAAGGGATGCTCAACCTGTATATCAGATGGCATTTTGCCCAGGGTCTCCTGAAACCTGGAGCCACCCCTGGCTGTACTTGTATGACCTCTAAATGGAGGTTCAGCAAGACACTGCCCTCTTTTCTCAGCCTGTTCTCCACCCTCCTTCCTTTTCATATCTCTTTGCTACAAATACATTTTCAACAAACTGTTCTGTGCATCCAATATAATAATGAGTCAGGTTCCATCTTCGCAAGGGTGAGGGGTGCAGCGCCACAGTGAAAGTGGAAAAATGCAGATATCTCCAGGAGGAGAATGGGGTGTAACCCAGGGGGGAATAACCAGCCCCATGCACCACTTCTCTTACCCTTTCGGATATCGGCTCCTTTTCAACTTCTTCATGCACAAATCTGTCTTCAACCAAGCATAGGAAGGAAGATAGTATGGGGACCGATACCACATGGATAAGGAGGAGGAACCAGCCCTGGCAAATCTAGTAACTCCTCCTCTTGTGTGCTAGGTGTTCATGTTCCTCTATTATTATCTTTGTTTGCCTTGTTGGAACAGAAATTTGTGGGACATAGGTAGAGTTGGATATACAAGGTAAGTGAATTGGTGTGGGGCCAGCTCTTCCTCTTACCTGCATCCTAAAAGTCTCTGTTCACATGGTGGCTCCAACTTCAGGAGATGTTTCAAACTCACAAATAATCAAAACCATGACTGTAAAACCTCTGAAAGTGGAGAGCCAATTGTATTTGAATTCCTTTATGTTAACTGGTGGGGACAAAGAACATTGACATGACTTCAGCTCACTTCTTCTCTTTCACTCAGATGATCATGCAGCTGTTGGATATAATGCTCCCTGCAGCACAGGTAAGGTTGAGGTGACTGCTGGTTTTTCTGTTTCTGTCTCACTTTTTTTCTTTGTTCTGGTTTGTCACTTTCCTTTTTCTGGTCATTAGATTGTCTTAGGCAACATCTTATTGTCATCCTCATATGGCAAGGAGCCAAATGGTTCATGGCCAGGCATGTAGCCGGGGGGGGGGGGGGCGTGAGGGGCTTGCCCCCCCCCCCCGAAATTATCATGGTGGTTCACGAAAAGGCCTTACTGGTGCATTATTTAAACTGTTATGTTTATTCATATCATGATCTGATCACCATACTCAATATATCCCATATGCATGGGGGTATTGGGGTAATGATACAAAAGGTTTGCTAGGCTAGACCCTCTTTCACTCAGACTCAGCCCCACCAAAACTCCTCCCCCAAGCCCCCCCCCCCCAATCGAAATCCTGGTACGGGCCTGCTCATGGCAATGCTTTGGCAACTCTCTACTCTCTACATGGCTCTTTCTTTCCTTCCTTCTTCATATACCTTCTCCCATTCTCCTGTCTTTCCTTCCTTTGATTTTCTCCATATACCTCTCTCTCTCTTCTTTCTTTCTTTCTTTCTTTCTTTCTTTCTTTCTTTCTTTCTTTCTTTCTTGCTCTTCCTTTCTTTCTCTTCCCTTCTTTCTCTCTTCCTTCCCTTTCTCCTCCGCTTCCTTTATCCCTTCCTTTCTCCTCCCTTCTTTCTCTTTCCTTTCCTCTCCCCATTTCCCATTTTCCTTTCTCTTCCCTCCCTCCTCTTTTTTCTCCCTTCTCTCCTTCCTGCCTTCCTTCTTACCTCTTCTACTTTTCCCTTCTTTCCTCCCCTCCCCTTGTACAGATGCCACCTTTCTTTCCCAGTGACATCATAAAGGGTCACTTCACCTAGCAACAGCCAGGCCCGTAGCCAGGATTTTGATTCGGGGCATTCTGAGTTTGATTTGGGGGGGGGGGGGAGTTTGATTCAAAGGAGGGGCTGAGGATCTACCCTAGCAAACCTTTTGTATCGTTATCCCAATACCCCCATGCATATGAGATATATTTAGCATGGTGATCAGATCATGATATGAATAAACATAACAGTTTAAATAATGTACCAGTAAGGCCTTCTTGCGGACCACCCTGAGAATTTCGGGGGGGGGGGGGGGCTGAAGCCCCTCAACCCCCCCCCCCCCCCCGGCTACATGCCTGGCAACAGCCAATCCTTCAAGTAGCAACAATCAATCCAGTGACAGCATAGTGGGCTATTGTGATACATGCCAACAGGCAGATAAACATACGTAGATATATACTTTTTATGAAGAAGGCAGACAGGCAGACAGATGTATAATTTTGAGATTTTGTATGCTATACATAAAATTTCCTCAGCCTGGTGACCTCCAAATTCAGCTCATGTAGGAATAATAGTTGGGTGGGGGATTGTTATCAAATTCATTTTTTTTAATGCCACTTTTTTGTTTCACAGAAATAACAAAAGAAGACAACCATTAAAAATCCTCTATCATCATCATCTGAAACATCTCAACATGAACAATTAAATTTCTGAAAAGGACTTATCTTGTGTCATTCTTTGTGGGGTGCTCCTTTAATACTAAACAGATATATGGGATTAAATTTATAAACAGACTGTTCAAAGCAGCTTTCCATTTCTCTTGTCTACTTTCAATATTGTATGCATAAGGCTCACACTCACCATGTGTAAATCTCCTGAAACTTCTGATGTTTCCCCCTTTGCCACACATCAAAGCCATTGGTCTTTATGGTCGGCTAATGTCACCTTCCCATTTTCTGCCCCGTTTATCCCTCTCCCCCATTTGTCCATATGCTATAAGACTGAACCGGGGATGTCAATTAAATAACATGATTATGACAAATATACTGTACATGCTCATTTATAAATCAAAGGCAGATTTTGGGGAAACAATTATGGATTTTGATTTGACTGATGGATAAGTTGAGGGTCATTCTGCAAACCCTCCAGGGGCCAGCAAACCATGGTTGCCACCATTTTTCCATCTAGGCATTCAAAATGGTGCTAGTTTTAGGTGCTCCTGGGATGGACCAGCTGTCACCTTTTGCTAGTCTACCCAATCCCCTTTTAAGATTTACAATACATTACTTACATTGACCCATGAATCAATATTTTGCTAACAAATATTAGACTTGAACATTTACACTAAGTGTTGGGACTATGTTGCCTTCCAGATATTGTTAAACTGCAGTTTCCAGCCCTTCCCATTACCATAGCCAATGGTGAGAAAGAGTGGAGGTACCGATCAACAGCTACTGCATATATTCTAGCTTTGTATTTAATAGCAACAAGATACCTCAGGAGATGAAGGGCAAAATACAAGAGAAGAGATAAGAGAAGGGCAAACTAACAAGCATTGCCACAGCAAGTGAACAAACAGGTTTGCTTTGTTGAGTCAGTACTTTGGTGCTTTTGTTGAACATACTAGATTGTATGTTGTGAAGTGCTCAATAAATAATATGACTATAAAACCAGCCAGTGGAAAGCTGCCCTCATTTTAAGATCTAAAATTACTTCAGCTTTAAAACTATGTTTGGTACTGAAAAAAAATATTTGGGCAAGGGGGATACCTACCAAAATAGATACGTGAAAGTGCAGATATTTTGATTATATTTGGGATAGAAGCATTATCATAAAATTGCTCTGGAAGATCTGCAGAGACCAAAACGCATTTGGGGAGAAGTGAAACTGTGGATATTGACCATAGAAACTGTACTCTAAAACGCCACTCTGGCTCTCACCGTTGGAGGCGCAACAGAGAAGACTGCTGGGAGCAACAGACTGGCCCACATACGGAGAAATCCTGCCGAAGAAAGAAGGCACTCTTATCTTGAAACCCCAAGACGACATCTCACAAAAATTCCAAAACGTTTCATGGTTTCAGTACATGCAATTGAAGGAATACTTCAGATAAGGAAATAGGATTCTGTGAGAAGGACAGATTCTGGGAAATTATAATCAAAAGAGATAAAAAAATATTACAAAGTCTGTTGTAGTGGGCCACCGAAATGGAAACTATAAAGGAGTGCATGATAAAATGGGCCATAAATGTATGGAGATCTATCAACTATAAAGAGTGGGAACAACTATGGATAAAGAAGATGAAATATGTATATGCGGCAGAATTTAAGGAAAACCTATACAAAATGTTATACAGATGGCACATGACTCCTCAGAAGCTAAGCATGATGTATAAGGAGAGATCAAATAAGTGCTGGAAGTGCGGCACCCAGGTGGGATCGTTTTATCATCTTTGGTGGACCTGCCCAGCAGCTAGAAAGTATTGGAAGGGAATCCAAGAGCTATCTCAGAAAATACTGAAAATTAAAATCGAGATGAAACCGGAGTATTTCCTGCTGGGCATTACCGACAATGACTTAGAACTAGATTATAACCAGGACATTCTGTTCACTTAGTTTATGACAGCCGCCAGAATCGTGTACATGAGGAAATGTAAACAGAAAGACTCAAGCTCGACAGAGGAGTGGCTATTCAAAGTATGGGACGTGAAGGACATGGATAAAATGACTTACTACCTGAAAGATTACACAAGTTCCCCAGTGAAAAGGACAGACTGGAAATAGTTCGAAGACTTTATGAGTACTTATTAAATAAAGAGAAATATAAAGCCCCATTAGAGGGAAAGTAGGACAAAGGGAAGTACACTCATCTCAGTCAACAATATGGGAAAACTGGATACAAAGAGGAGCCGCAAGAAGAAGGAAGATACTAAGAGAAGAGTAAGATAGAACTGCCGGAAAGATGATTGGGAAGCCTCAATACCCTCCCCATCCTCACTACCCCCCACCTCCACTACCCCCGTCTTGTAGTGTGTCTGTCCTGCGGAGGGGAGCAGGTAAGCGAATATGTTAGACATTTATTATTATTTATTATTTATTTATTATTTGCATTTGTTAACCGCCACTCTCAGCCCGAAGGCGACTCGTGGCGGTGTACAGAACATAAAACATAGAGACAACAGTTACAGTAAATTCAAGGACATAGCACACATCATACTAAGACACAACTAATTAAACTAAAAATCCGCTTCGTCTTGTTTGGGTCATAATCAGTCTCGTCGTCCTAGTCCATTCCGGTGGTCATTCCAAAGCCTAGCACTTAATTGAAGGCCTTTTCAAAGAGCCAGGTTTTCAGGCCCTTGCGAAAGGCCATGAGGGAAGGCGCCTGTCTAATTTCAGCGGGGAGGGAGTTCCACAGCCGGGGGGCCACCACCGAGAAGGCCCGCTCTCTAGTCCCCGCCAAACGTGCCTGTGAGGCAGGCGGGACCGAGAGAAGGGCCTCCCCGGATGATCTCAAGGTCCTCGTGGGCTCGTAGGCCGAGATGCGGTACTCAAGGTATTTTGGGCCGGAACCGTTTAGGGCTTTGTAGGTTAACACCAGCACCTTAAATTGGGCCCGGTAGCTGATCGGCAGCCAGTGGAGCTGGGACAGCAGGGGCGTTGTGCGCTCTCTGCGTCCTGCTCCTGTTAATAACATGGCTGCCGCGCGTTGGACTAGCTGAAGCTTCCGGGCCGTCTTCAAGGGCAGCCCCACGTAGAGAGCGTTGCAGTAGTCAAGGCGGGATGTGACCAAAGCATGTACCACCGTGGCCAAGTCCGACTTCCCAAGATACGGGCGCAGCTGGCGCACGAGCCGAAGCTGTGCAAATGCTCCCCTGGTCACCGCTGAAACCTGGGGATCCAGGCTCAGCGATGAATCCAGGGTCACACCCAAGCTGCGAACCTGCGCCTTCAAGGGGAGTGCGACCCCGTCCAGCACAGGCTGTGACCCTATACCCTGTTCGGCCTTGCGACTGACCAGGAGTACCTCTGTCTTGTCTGGATTTAATTTCAGTTTGTTCGCCCTCATCCAGACCGTCACAGCGGCCAGGCACCGGTTCAGGACTTCGACAGCCTCCTTAGTAGCAGGTGGGAAGGAGTGACAGAGTTGGACGTCATCTGCGTACAGGTGACACCGCACCCCGAAACTCCGGATGATCTCACCCAGCGGCTTCATGTAGATGTTAAACAACATGGGGGACAGTATGGAGCCCTGAGGAACGCCACAGGTCAAAGGCTGTGGCGTTGAACAGGAGTCCCCCAATAACACCTTCTGGGTACGACCCTCCAGAAATGATTGGAGCCACCGCAAAGCGGTGCCCCCAAGGCCCATCTCTGCAAGGCGCCCCAGAAGAATACCGTGGTCGACGGTATCGAAGGCCGCTGAGAGGTCCAGAAGCACCAACAGGGACACACTCCCCCTGTCTAGCTCCCGGAGCAGATCATCCACTAAGGCGACCAAGACCGTCTCAGTACCATGCCCCGGTCTGAAACCAGACTGTGCCGGATCCAGAATATCCGTGTCTCTCAAGAATACCTGGAGTTGTGAGGCCACCACGCTTTCCATGACTTTGCCCAAAAAGGGGAGATTGGAAACAGGCCGAAAGTTGTCAAATTTAGTGGGGTCCAGTGATGGTTTCTTCAACAGCGGTTTTATAATAGCTTGTTTTAAGCTCGCTGGAATCTTGCCTTCCCGAAGGGAGGCATTAACCACCACCGTTACCCACTCAGCCAATCCCCCTCTGGCCTCCTTCAGAAGCCAGGATGGGCAGGGGTCTAGGATGGACGTGGTAGGCCTCATTCCTCCAAGTATCTTGTCCACATCCTCGGGTTTCACAAACTGAAAAGAATCCATCAAAATAGGACAAGCAGGTGCTTGTGTCACATCCACAGAGACTGCATTTAAAGTGGCGTCCAGCCCAGAGCGGATCAAAGCGACTTTGTCTGCAAAGAACCGAGCAAATGCTTCACAGCGCGTGGCCGAATTGTCAGGGCTCCCACCTGAGGTAGGGGGAGTTAACAGTCCTCTGACAATTCGAAACAACTCCGCCGGACGGTTTTTTGCAGACGCAATAGTGGCCGCAAAGAAAGTTTTCTTTGCGGCTTTTATTGCCGCGGCATATGCCCTTAGAAAGGACACAAACCGTGCTCGATTTGGCTCGCTTGGGTCCGAGCGCCACACGCTCTCTAGTTCCCTCTTCCTTCGCTTCATCGCTGCCAGCTCCTCAGTAAACCAAGGAGCTGGTTTAGCTCGGCTACTTGAGAGGGGACGTTCCGGAGCGATCCTGTCAATTGCCCTGGCCATCTCCCCATTCCAGAGAGCGACCAAGGCCTCGACATGGTCACCTACCGAGGTGGCGGGAAAATCCCCAAGAGCTGTCAGGAATCCATTCGGATCCATAAGCCTCCTGGGGCGGACCATCTTAATGGGTCCGAAAATGAACAAAATCTGGCTACCAGTATTAAAAAACTCAAAAATTACAGCAGCAAAATAACAGAGGGGAAACAAACAAGCACATGAAATCACCCTCAACAAAAGATTCCCCCCAGGCGCTTCCAAGCCATTGAATGCAAATCAAGGTGATCAGTTGAAACATTCACAGCTAGCCCAGCAAACAAAAGCCCTTTGTCTCACCCTGGTCATTCCACAGATATATAAACCCATTTTTCCTAGTTCCAACAGACCTCATTACCTCTGAGGATGCTTGCCACAGATGCAGGCGAAACGTCAGGAGAAAAATTGCCTCCAGAACATGGCCATATAGCCCGGAAAAACCTACAACAACCCATGGATTCCGGCCATGAAAGCCTTCGACGATTCATTTTTTATCCGGCCCATTGGTGGCAATGGGGGAGGACTTCCCAGGCTCCCTTTCACATTATTTTAGGCATTGTTTGTCCTTACATCCTTCATTAAGACATGGATTAAAAGCATTGGAGTTAAGATACCCCTCTTCCTGCAATCCTTTCCTTTCTGTCTGTATAACAACAACAACACTTTTATTATGGTCCAAAGACCCTTATTGCACTGTAGGCATACAATGTATGCAGGTAATGAGATTAAGAACATCCATTGATTGAACACACAAATGTTCAGTTAAAAACTGTTTAAAATATATGTTGGCTAAAAACATAGGTAAAAGACTACAAGACGTGCCAGCGTGTTTCAGCCTGTGTTTTTTTCAGCCTGGGAATTGTCTGATTCTGGCTGCCTCAGAAAGAAACTTGGCAACTGCTAGGTCACGTGGGGAAGGTTGTCACTAAGAAAGAACTTCAACTAAAATGGAAGAACTCCCCACTACCCCATCACATGGGAGGAAGCCTTTCCTAGGCAGCTCAACCCATCTTTCCCTATGGAAAGACAAGAAACCTCCCGTTGTCTGGTGCTGCCATTTTTTTTATAGTGATGGGAGTTTTCAACTTCAGCCACAGAACCACCCCAGAAGTAGTTCTCTGGGATGTGATAGGAGCCATTGGGCCCCATGGCTGAAATTGTAAACTCTTATCGCTGCCACTGAAAAAAAGGTAAGTATGAAGAGGTCCTAAGTGGGGTTCTATACCATTTATTTTCTGTTGTGTTTCTCTGGTCCTAGTATGTTTAGTTCAAGTTCACTTTATTACGGTCAATGATCAGTTCGAGAGAGGAGACATAGCCCATACATATTATAGTCAAAGGCCAAGAAATCATAGAATCATAGAATTATAGAGTTGGAAGAGACCTCCTTTTATGCCCCTTATCCCCACTTTCCCCGTTTTTATTGTTGTAAAAAATCCACTAATTAAAAAAGGAAGAGACCTCATGGGCCATCCAGTCCAATCCCCTGCCAAGAAGCAGGAAAATTGCATTCAAAACTCCCCATACAGATGGCCATCCAGCCCCTGTTTATAAAAAATTCCAAAGAAGGATGTAGCGTACCTGGATATATCATACCTGGATTTCAGTAAGGCCTTCGATAAGGTCCTCCATGACCTTCTGGCAAACAAACTAGTCCAATGTGGGCTAGGCAAAACTACGGTTAGGTGGATCTGTAATTGCTTAAATGGACCCCAGAGGGTGATTCTCCCCACTTCTTCCTCTTCATCCTGGAAAGAAGTGACGAGCGGAGTGCCACAAGCAGGGTTCCGTCCTGGGCCCGGTCCTGTTCAACATCTTTATTAATGACTTAGATGAAGGGCTAGAAGGCAGGATCATCAAGTTTGCAGAGGACACCAAATTGGGAGGGATAGCCAATACTCCAGAGGACAGGAGCAGGATTCAAAACAATCTTGGCAGGTTAGAGAGATGGGCCAAAACTAATAAAATGAAGTTCAACAGTGACAAATGCAAGATACTCCACTTAGGCAGAAAAAAATGAAATGCAAAGATACAGAATGGAGGACAATGCCTGGCTCGAGAGCAGTACGTGTGAAAAAGATCTTGGAGTCCTCGTGGACAAGAAGTTAAACATGAGCCAACAACGTGATGTGGCGGCAAAAAAACCAATGGGATTTTGGCCTGCCTCAATAGGAGCATAGTGTCTAGATCTAGGGACGTCATGCTACCCCTCTATTCTACCTTGGTTAGACAACACTTGGAATATGGTGTCCAATTCTCGGCACCACAATGAAGCCAACCTGTAAAATACTTCAGGCTTTCTACTATCACTGCCTTGCTCTCTTCACAAAGCTTGTACTAGATCCATGGGTGGTGCCTCCAGAGCATGGTTTTAAGCTAATCAAGGTAGTTCTGAACCCACTGATCTCAGAGCATCTGAGCCTGGTTTGCAATTGTAATGCATTGAAACTGTAGTAACTGAACTCTGGCATCTTGCAGTTTCATGAGTTGTGCCAAGTTTCTGGAGAACAGAAACTGAAGAATAGAAACTGAAAGAACAGGAAGCTCTGTCCAGGGGAAAAACAGTGGGCAAGACAGCACCTTGAATCTACACCGGAGAACAAAGAGAGGTAAAAAAAATTGCAGATAGTTTAAATGATTATTTGTGATTATGTTTTTCTCTCTAGGTCATGAAGGATTGTCTCTCAAATACCCAGATTACTTTTGCCATAAAATGAAACTAAACAAAAGGATCCAGCATTCAGTGAACTCCAATGTGGAGGCGGGTGAATTGGGGTTTTTTTCCAACTTGTTTTCCCTACAGGTCTACTCAGAACTCTATTTAATCCCTTTCCTTTATTAGTCAGTGATTTTAATTTAGTACACATTCAAATGTGTTCCCTCAAATTATGCATTTACCCCTCAAAACGTAGGGATTTCAAGATGCCAAAATGTCTCATATTATTTAAGAAAACCTAAAAATCTGGTGGCTAACTTAAAGTTCAGATTCTCACTTTTGTCCAAGTGGTGTGGATCTCATCCATTCATGTTAGAATTCATGAGTAAATGAAGACAAGTGAATTGAATCTTTCTAGTTGGGATCAAAGACGATTGTGACGGCTGTGTTCCACCTGAACATTAGGAAGAACTTCCTGACTCTGAGAGCTGTTCAGCAGTGGAACTCTCTGCCCCGAAGTGCAGTTGAGGCTCCCTCTTTGGAAGCTTTTAAAGAGAGGCTGGATGGCCATCTGCCAGGGGTGCTTTGGATGCAATTCTCCTGCTTCTTGGCAGGGGGTTGGACTGGATGGCCCATGAGATCTTTTCCAACTCTATGATTCTATGATTTTATGACCAGTTAACATCTAACTGTTGAAAAGTTTAGGAGAACAAGAAAACTTGCTCAGTCTTTGTGGATGTAATGGATGGCCTAGATCAGGGGTAATCAAACTAAGGCCCAGGGGCCGGATACAGCCCTCCAAGGTCATTTACCCGGCCCTCGCTCAGGGTCAAGCTAAGTCTGAAATGACTTGAAAGCACACAACAACAACAACAATCCTATCTCATCAGCCAAAAGCAAGCCCACACTTCCCACTAATAAGTTTATATTTTCTATTGGCGAAGGCTTTCATGGCTGGAATCACTAGGTTCTTGTGGGTTTTTTCGGGCTATAGAGCCATGTTCTACAGGCATTTCTCTTGATGTTTCGCCTGGATCTATGGCAAGCATCCTCAGAGGTAGTGAGGTCTGTTGGAATTAGGACAATGGGTTTATATATCTGTGGGATGGCTGGGGTGGGGCAAAGAGCTTTTCTCTGCTGGAGCTAGGTGTGAATGTTTCAACTGACCACCTTCATCAGCATTTGAAGGCCTGGCTGAGCCTGGGAAAAATCCCATGCTGAGAGGTGTTAAGATGTGCCTGGTTGTTTCCTCTCTGTTGTTTTGCTGTTGTAATTTTAGAGTTTTTTTAATACTGGTAGCCAGATTTTGTTCATTTTCATGGTTTCCTCCTTTCTGTTGAAATTGTCCACATGCTTGTGGATTTCAGTGGCCTCTCTGTGTAGTCTGACATGGTGATTGTTGGAGTGGTCCAGCATTTCTGTGTTCTCAAATAATATGCGGTGTCCAGGCTGGTTCATCAGGTGCTCCGCTATGGCTGACTTCTCTGGTTGAAGTAGTCTGCAGTGCCTTTCATGTTCCTTGATTCGTGTTTGGGCAATGCTGCGTTTGGTGGTCCCTATGTAGACTTGTCCACAGCTGCATGGTATACGGTAGACTCCTGCAGAGGTGAGAGGATCCCTCTTGTCCTTTGCTGAACGTAGCATTTGTTGGATTTTCTTGGTGGGTTTGTAGATTGTTTGTATGTTGCGTTTCCTCATCAACTTCCCTATGCGGTCAGTGGTTCCCTTGATGTATGGCAGGCACACTTTTCCTCTGGAGGAGGAAACCATGAAAATGAACAATATCTGGCTACCAGTATTAAAAAACTCTAAAATTACAACAGCAAAACAACAGAGAGGAAACAACCAGGCACATCTTAACACCTCTCAGCAAGGGATTTTTCCCAGGCTCAGCCAGGCCTTCAAATGCTAATGAAAGTGGTCAGTTGAAACATTCACACCTAGCTCCAGCAGACAAGAGCTCTTTGCCCCACCCCAGCCATTCCACAGATATATAAACCCATTGTCCTAATTCCAACAGACCTCACTACCTCTGAGGATGCTTGCCATAGATGCAGGCGAAACGTCAGGAGAAATGCCTCTAGACCAGGGCCATATAGCCCGAAAAAACCCACAAGAACCTAGTTTATATTTTGTTAAAATTGTTCTTTATTTTAATCATTGTATTGTTTTTAAGTATTTTTTACACTACAAATAAGATATGTGCAGTGTGCATAGGAATTCATTCAGGTTTTTTTTTTCAAATCATAATCTGGCCCTCCAACAGTTTGAGGGACTGTGACCTGGCTCTCTGTTTAAAAAGTTTGAGGACCCCTGGCCTAGATCAAACAACCTCTTTAGCTTTCAGCAAACCATTTCTTTCCTTGGAATAAGTAGAAACATATCTGGTGATTTCAGGAAAATCAAAGTCCAACCTTCTCCTTAAATGCAGAGAAATGAAATGTAATTACACTATAAACAAAGTGGCCAATGAATTTTCTCCTTTTTTAAATGCAAAGAAGTATTGCCATCTTAAAATGGTAGCAGAACGTCCAAAATGGCTGAATAGAGTTCTTTTCTACTTGCAAAGGGTCTACAATGTCAGTGCATCTGAAAAATTATGCAATATATTGTTTTCAGGCAGGAGTATTTGCAGAGAGGAAAAAAGTGGCTGCCTCAATTGTTTTCTGAAAACACATGACATAGGTACAAGTGCATGTGGTTGTGTGTCTTCCAGTAGCTATTTCTTTACATTTGTAGGACTTGATTTTATATGTTGTTGTTGTTCATTCGTTCAGTTGTCTCCGACCCTTCGTGACCTCATGGACCAGCCCACGCCAGAGCTCCCTGTCGGCCGTCACCACCCCCAGCTCCTTCAAGGTCAGTCCAGTCACTTCAAGGATGCCATCCATCTATCTTGCCCTTGGTCGGCCCCTCTTCCTTTTGCCTTCCACTTTCCCCAGCATAATTGTCTTCTCTAAGCTTTGCTGTCTCCTCATGATGTGGCCAAAGTACTTCAACTTTGTCTCTAGTATCCTTCCCTCCAATGAGCAGTCGGGCTTTATTTCCTGGAGGATGGACTGGTTGGATCTTCTCGCAGTCCAAGGCACTCTCAGAACTTTCCTCCAACACCACAGCTCAAAAGCATCGGTCTTCCTTCGCTCAGCCTTCCCTAAGGTCCAGCTCTCACATCCGTAGGTTACTACAGGGAATACCATGGCTTTGACTAGGCGGATCTTTGTTGCCAGTCTGATGTCTCTACTCTTTACTATTTTATCGAGATTGGACATTGCTCTCCTCCCAAGAAGTAAGCGTCTTCTGATTTCCTGGTCACAGTCTGCATCTGCAGTAATCTTTGCACCTAGAAATACAAAGTCTGTCACGGCCTCCACATTTTCTCCCTCTATTTTCCAGTTGTCAATCATTCTTGTTGCCATAATCTTGGTTTTTTTGATGTTTAGCTGCAACCCGGCTTTTGCGCTTTCTTCTTTGACCTTGATTAGAAGGCTCCTCAGCTCCTCCTCGCTTTCGGCCATCAGAGTGGTGTCATCTGCATATCTGATTTTATATAGGGTATGCCAAAAGCTGCAAGTGCCTATTCATATTAAATCACAGACTAACAATCAGAGATTTGGGGAATGAAGTCCAAAACATCTCATGTCCAGAATATAGGGACCACTGTTCTATATTGAATTCTAATTGTGTTTATTGTGTTTTCTATTTTAAGATGAGTGTGTATTAATGTAACTCATCCTATGATATATCTTTCTTTCTTTCTTTCTTTCTTTCTTTCTTTCTTTCTTTCTTTCTTTCTTTCTTTCTTTCTTTCTTTCTTTCTTTCTTTCTTTCTTTCTTTCTTTCTTTCTTGTAACCAGGAGCTCCTGCCTTACATTGGTTAGCTTTGTGATTTAATTCCAGCAGTCAACATGCATGGGTAAGAATGGTTGCACTTATGAATTATACTCCCTGTAAAATGTACAAAGCTATTCCTATTGAAAATGTCCAATTGTCTCTAGAACCTTTGTTCCAGATTGTTTGAGGATAGTAGCCTTGTGTCTTTTCATGGATCAAACTACATACAGTATGCTGGTGTCCCAGTCTTAAATACAGGACTTCATCAGATGGTTTCCGGGCTCCAATTCCATGCACTCCAGAAAAGGAGAACCATGGAGGCCAGGCCACCACATGATGCAAGGTCACTTCCAGTGGGACTCTATGGCTCTCCATTCACTAAGCTCATGGGAACAGAGCCTAAAGGCAGTCTTCGGGGATTGAGTGTTACTTGACTCCAAACTGGCGAAATCAGGAGGAAGACAGGGAAAGGCGCAGAAACGGCATGGAATGACTGGCCATCCCAGAAGACAGGGAAAGATGGGAGAGAACAGTATAAGATGTTTTCCCCACCTGTCACCAGAGAAGTGCAGGAACTTCCTCATCAGCTGGGCTAATAGATCGGAATGATGATAATCCATCAGCTAGCAGTGGATCATCCAAGGACATAATGAAACATCCCACACATTGTGTTCCAGAAGCCCATCACTGCAGCCCCGCTCCCCATTGTTCCATCAAGGGGACTAGGAAATCTCATCACTCAAGGGCCATTTCCCCCCCTAATAGCATTCCTGTCCCCATTGTCAACACAGAAAGCCCCCTCCAGCAGAAAGGAATAAACTCAAACATGGCATCAGATTCAGATTTCCTCCAATGCAGTTTTATTAAAATTCCCACCACACACAATCCGCCAATCACAGCTTGAAACAAACCAATTAGACGATTCATGATTTGCATCAATCAGAGCAATGTCTATTATTTTGAATGCCTATAAAAACTCTAATGTCTAAATGGAAGGCATTCTCCCTGCATCTTTCTTTGATCAATGACACATTGATAGCAACCTCTGACTCTGCCTTCATCTCTGCATGTCTTCACTGGGACCCATTGGACCCCGAAATTTGGGACATCAGGCCAGGTGTAGTAATCTATTTGAAAACTCTATTCTAACACCTTTTATGCATACAATTTATTGGGCAAGTCTATTACTGTCCTAGTTTTGCCCCTTCCCCCTCACAATTTTTGCAGCGTGTTAGTGATAACAAACGTATTGTCGAAGGCTTTCATGGCCGGAATCACTGGGTTGTAGGTTTTTTTGGGCTATATGGCCATGTTCTAGAGGCATTCTCTCCTGACATTTCGCCTGTATCTATGGCACGCATCCTCAGAGGTAGTGAGGTTCACTACCTCTGAGGATGCTTGCCATAGATGCAGGCGAAACGTCAGGACAGAATGCCTCTAGAACATGGCCATATAGCCCAAAAAAACCTACAACAACCCATAAATACAAACACCATCCACGTAAAATGGTGGAAAATAAGTTTGAGTTCCCTATACATTTATTGGATGTTTTTCCCAGGGAGGAGTTCCAAATTTGCCTTTTTTTTCCTTACAAAAATATATACTTAGAAGTGAACATTCTTTTGTGGTTATTCAGGGTGGAAATAAGGTAATGATGTAGAGCAGTGGTTCTCAACCTTCCAAATTCCACGACCCCTTAATACGCTTCCTCATGTTATGGTGACCCTCAACCATAAAATTAGTTTCATTGCTACTTCATAATTGTCGTTTTTCTTCTGTTATGAATAGTAATGTAAATATCTGATATGCAGGATGTATTTTCATTCACTGGACTAAATTTGGCACAAAGACCCAATACACCCAAATTTAAATACTGGTGGGATTGGGATTTGTCATTTGGGAGTTGTAGTTGCTGGGATTTATAGTTAACCTACAATCAAAGAGTATTCAGAATTCCACCAACGATGGAATTGAATCAAACTTGGCACACAGAACTCCCATGACCAAGAGAAAATACTGGAAGGGTTTGGTGGGCATTGACCTTGAGTTTTGGGAGTTGTAGTTTCCCTACATCCAGAGAGCACTGTGGACTCAAACAATGATGGATCTGGACCAAACCTGGCATGAATTCTCAATATGCCCAAGTGTAAACACTAGTGGGGTTTGGGAAAAATAAACCTTGACATTTGGAAGTTGTAGATCCTGGGATTTATAGTTCACCTACAATCAAAGAGCATTCTGAATCCTGCCAATGATTGAATTGGGCCAAACTTCCCACACAGAAACTCCATGACCAACAGAAAATACTGTGTTTTCTTGTGGTCTTTGGTGACCCCTCTGATAACCCCCTCGCGACCCCCCCAGGTTGAGAAACACTGATGTAGAGCATGAAGATGCTTCGGTATGACAGGCTGAATCATTTCTCCTTAAGGTGGAAACTGGAAGCCAATGAATTTTTGAGCAACTTCAGACCCTCAGGACGCCCAGAAGTCACTTATCTCCTATATGAAATTCAGTGGGGAAGAAGTCGCAGAATATGGAGGAACTGGTGTAGAAACAGCCACCCCAAACATGCTGAAATCGTCTTTTTGGAAGATGAGGAGATACACGACCGACCAGACATCACATGCAATATCACTTGGTTTCTGCCTTGGACACCCTGTGGTGCATGTGCCTATCGTATCATTGAATTCTTGGAGGAAAGTCCCAATGTGAACCTGGAAATACTAGCTGCGGAGGTGTACAGGCCTTATGACCCACGCAATCAGGAAGGCCTCAGAGACTTAGCTGATGTTGAAGTCGAGATATCTATAATGAAGTTCTCTGGTAAGTTAAGAGCACTTAGTTAAATCCATGAATGGGTAGTGGAAAAGAAACTCGGCAGTTGATACGATAATAATGCTTGGATTTTTAAGGCAGTGGTTTAAATTATTGGCCCTCCAGATATTGCTGAACTGCAAGTCCAGCACTCCTTGCTACCATAGTATAGTGAGGAATGGTGATAGTTTCAGTCCAACAACATTTGGACCAAAGAAAATAGATAAAATACAGAGAGTGTTGCCTCATTGCTGTTTCCCCCATCAGATGGGGGGGGGGGGAGACCAAAACTCAAAATAATTTTTGAGAGTTCTTGGAGAACGGTTTGTACCATGGTTTGCAAGGAAGCTTCTTATAGTGCTTGCTCGCGACTTCAGCCATCAATGGGACGGAGCCACGGCTTATGTCATGTAATGGGGTTCATCTGGATCGGTCCCTGAAGAGGAGCCCCAGCGCAAGGGACCAAAAACCCTTCGTGTGATGAGGTGGTAAGATCATATTGCAAACATACATTGGATTCTGGACCACACCAGATTTTTTCAAAAGAAAATAAGCCTGGGTTTGGCTCTAAACATAATGAAAAACAACGCCTTTTTAAAAAATGGGTGTGCCACAATATTTAATCATCAGGGTGTGTAACATGTATAGAAGACAAGACAATTGTTAGGACAGAATATGGATAAACAGAATGGTTAGCAAGGTAATTAGGCAAGGCTTCAGCTTATCACCTTATGAGTTTAACTCGTATGCTGAAAATATAGGCAAAACAAAATTAAATTTGGAGGAAGGAGGCATGAAAATTGGAGGAAGGACCACCAACAGTTTAAAATATGCAGATGACACCATGCTACTAATGGAAAACAGCCAAGATTTTAATTAATTAATTAATTAATTAATTATTATTACTAACTTTATTTGTACCCCACTAGCATCTCCCGATGCTAGGGCCCCTGGTGGCACAGTGGGTTAAAGCACTGAGCTGCTGAGCTTGTTGATCGAAAGGTCGCAGGTTCGATTCCGGGGAGCGGCGTGAGCTTCCGCTGTCAGCCCTAGCTTCTGCCAACCTAGCAGTTCGAAAACATGCAAATGTGAGTAGATCAATAGGTACCGCTCCTGCGGGAAGGTAACGGCGCTCCATGCAGTCATGGCGGCCACATGACCTTGGAGGTGTCTACGGACAACGCTGGCTCTTCGGCTTAGAAATGGAGATGAGCACCACACCCCAGAGTCAGACATGACTGGACTTAATGTCAGGGGACTACCTTTTACCTTTTTACTAGCATCTCCCGAAGGACTCGATGCGGCTTACAAAGGCCAAGGCCTCAAAACACAACATAACAATACAAAACCTAAAGCAAATTAAAAACAATTAAAGCAATATTAAACAACAAGCAATAAACAATACACCAAGACACAATAAAACTGGGCCGGGCCAGAGTAATGGGTACAGAATTAAAAGTGCTGATGTGACAGGTGATATGTAAGGATTATAGGGTAAGTGCAGTGTGCAGCAATCTTAATTCTAATAAAGTGCTTCTGGGACTTGGTATTGGAGATTTCCTATTCTGGGAAGGCACATCGGAACAGCCAGGTCTTCAAGTTCTTTCTAAAGACTGCCAATGTAGGGGCCTGTCTAAGATCTTTGGGGAGGGTGTTCCAGAGTCGGGGGGCCACCACAGAAAAGGCCCTGTCTCGCGTCCCCACCAAACGCGCCTGCGATGCAGGCGGAATCACGAGCAGGGCCTCTCCGGATGAACGAAGTGTGCGTGTGGGTTCATAAACGGAGATGCAGTCACGCAGGTAGGATGGTCCCAAACCCTTTAGGGCTTTGTAGGTAAGCACCTGCACCTTAAATTGGGCTCGGAAAATAAACGGCAGCCAGTGGAGCTCCTTAAACAGGAGAATTGAAAGTCAAGGCTGAAAGTGCAAAGGAAGATTTCCAGCTGTACATGAAAAAACTAAATGACAACTAATAAATTAGAACCAACTTTCCCACATCTGCATATTCAGTTTTTACCAATTTCATTATTGATTGATTTGATAAATATGTTCACTCTAGCAATCTTTAGGCAGTCCAGTATGACTCCATGGTCAGCTTCCACCACAGGTTTGCCATAGAGTCATGGTGGAAGACTTAAAGATTCACAGAAAGCATACATACCTAGGTGTGTTTAGGTCTTCCAGTGTGTCTTGGGTCAACATACAGTGAAGTTGATCGTAGAGCCAAACTGGAGGACCTATAGATACCGAGATAGATGTTTTCTCAGATTAAAAAAATAGTTTTGCTGATATCAACATGAGGTTGACCGGATGGTAATTGTTTGGGTTGTCCTTTTTTCCCTTCTTGAAGATAGGGACCACATTTGCACTCATCCAATCAGCTGGGACTTGTCCCATTCTCCAAGAACTCTCAAAGATGATTGCCAGTTGTGTGGAAGTTATTTCAGAACCACTGGCAATCATCTTAGAGCATTCTTGGAGAACGGGAGAAGTCCCAGCAGATTGTAGGAGGGCAAATGTGGTCCCAATCTTCAAGTAGAGAAAAAAGGATGACCCAAATAATTACCGTCTGGTCAGCCTTACGTCAATAGCAGGCAAGATTCTGGAAAATATCGTTAAGGAAGTGTTCTGCAAACACTTAGAAATGAATGCGGTCATGGATTTATCAAAAACAAGTCATCCCAGACTCATCTACTCCCCCCCCCTTCTCTCTCTCTCTCTCCCTGGATAGAGTTACAAGCTGGGTAGATGCAGGGAATGCTGTGGATATAGCATGTCTGGATTTGAGTAAGGTCTTTGACAAGGTCTCTCATGACCTTCTGGCAAACAAACAAGTCAATTGTGGGCTAGGCAAAACTATGGTTAGGTGGATCTGTAATTGGTTAAGTGAACGAACCCAGAAGGTGCTCCCCAATGCTTCCTCTTCATCCTGGAAAGAAGTGACGAGTGGAGTGCCGCAAGTAGGGTTCCGTCCTGGTCCTGGTCCTGTTCAACACCTTTATTAATGACTTAGATAAAAAGTTAGAAGGCATGATCAAAAAGCTTGCAGATGACACCAAATTGGGAGGGATGGCCAATACCCCAGAAGACAGGAGCAGAATTCAAAATGATCCTAACAGATTAGAGAGATGGACCAAAACTTACAAAATTAAGTTCAACAGTTATCATAGTGAATACTAGGGAATCAGAAGAAGATGAAGCCTTCAGTGTGCAATTTCCCATTTGTATGTATGGGCATGAAAGAAAGCTGATGTGAGGGAAACCAAATCACCTGAAACATGTTGCCAATGAAAAATTCTGCAGATACAGTGGACTGTTAAAAGGGGAAGTAATTGTGTCCTAAAGCAAATCAGTCTGAACTCTCCCTAGAAACCAAGATGACTAAACTAAGATTGTTGTGCTTTGGGTGTGTCATTCTGAACACTTGACTCACTAGTTAAAAGAAAGTAAAACTGAGTAAAAACTAAAGATTACCAATCACTATGAAAAAAAATTATAGTTGGCCCTCTGTATCCATGGATTCTTTGTAAGGTAGAAGGCAACAGGGGGGGGGGGGAAGGAAAACCACATTACAGGTGAATAGATTCAAAGAGAGAAGCTACTGCCCCTAATCTGCAGGATATGAGCAGCACTTTTGGGGATAGGGTGACTTGAAGGTCTCTCATTCTTAGGATTGAAACAACTACATCAAGCTGTCTCTGTTGTGATAGAAGCCAATCACAAATTTATCAGCCATGTATCCTAAGCTCACACTCGGACTGATGGAATTTGTTTTATACAGATTACCAATATTGTTGGGAGAAATTTGTGGATCACCAGGGGATGAATTTCAGAGCAAGGAGGGGTTTCTCAAATCAGAGATGGCTCGATTCCCAGCAGCTTCACTCAATCCTCAAGTAAGTAAGGAATGAGTTTGAAAGAAGAGCTAACTCCAAAATGACCATTGTTATTTTAGTGGTAAGATGTATGTGATCTTTCCTGGTAACACAATGGAATGGTATTAGGGAAGCTCACTACCATTCAGGACTCATCTTTTTCATCTCTGATGATAATTGAGAGGGTTATATGGCTACCTAGATCTATTTATTTATTTTTTATTATTTATTTATTTTATTTGCTTTATTTCTATACCGCGTTTTTCAGCCTAATTAGGCGACTCAATGCGGTTTACACAATGCAGGTTATCACAACAATAAACAGTTAAAAACACATCATACACAATAGCAAAATCCACAATTATTATCAATTCATGACGCCTCGATAACAGAGCAAAATCCATTCTCATTTTCCCAACAGAGCTCTCAATCCCCAGGATTGGAACATTTCCTACTCGAGAAATGCTTCTCTACTTTTTTTTTAATTGGAAGTAAAGGCTGTCTGGGACAGCAAGCAGGTCCCGCTACTACCAGAGGATAGAATGTTATTTTCTAATTTTAGTTTATTCCATGAGCTGTTACCAATTTAATTTGGTAACAGCACAATTTAAGGTGCTGGCTTTAGCCTATAAAGCCCTACACGGTTCCGGCCCCACTTACCTCTCCGAACGCATCTCCTCCTACGAACCGGGAAGAGCGTTAAGATCTTCCGGGGAGGCCCTGCTCTCGGTTCCGCCGGCGTCACAAGTGCGGCTGGCGGGCACGAGAGACAGGGCCTTCTCGGTGGTGGCCCCTTGGCTATGGAATGCGTTACCGGTGGACATCAGGCAGGCCCCTTCGTTACTGGTGTTTCGGAGGAGGGTGAAGACGTGGCTCTACGAGCAGGCTTTCGGCAACTAATTCAATAATGACGGCATCGGACAAGGAATGGAAAAAGGATCTTGAGATCGGAATCTGATTCTAAGTGTGGCGTTGATGATTATGTGTTTGTCTGTATTGTGTGTCTCATACATTGTTTAGTGTTGCTTTTTATTGTAAACCGCATTGAGTCGCCGCCTCAGGCTGATATATGCGGTATACAAATAGAGTAAATAAATAAATAAATAAATAAATTACCCATTGCAATGTTGTTGATGCTTGCTTACTATTGTTATGCTGTTTTATGCTATTGTCGCAACCCAGATCAGGAAACGAGTCCATAAGATTAATCCACCACACTTGACTGTGGGAAAAAACAATCCTTTTTAATTGATGAAAAATGGTTACAAAATAGAGGAAAATACAAAGTCAAAAAGCCACAGTAAAACTCAGCAGTCAGGAATATCTCAGAACTAGATCAAAATTCCAAAAGCAATACTATAAAAACCTGGAACCTGTTACCATTTCACTAACCGTACTTGGAAACTAGATGCCTCTGGGAATGCAGGCCATGGGACACAGGAAATCTACCAAGGTATTGCCTCAGTCTAAACGATGCTTGATCTAACGAGACGGCCCGGGGAGAGACACTTAAACTAAAGAAACTGTTTCGGGATACGCCTCCAGACTTTGAAGCCTGTGCCTCCCCTTCCTTTAATCTGCTTGACCTTCGCAGACTGCAATTCACTCCTGTTTTTCCAAATCTGTCCTTTTCTATCCTCATTAAAAAAGGCAGGTGCTAGCTAATAAATTGTGGCAAGTTCTTGGTGGGATGGGCATACCAAGCCACCTTGTCTCTCTCCTGAGGAATCTGTACAAGGACCAAGTAGCAACAGTCAGAACTGACCATGGAACAACAGACTGGTTCAAGATTGGGAAAGTCGTACGGCAAGGCTGCATACTCTCACCCAACCTTTTTAACTTGTATGCAGAACACATCATGCGATGTGCGGGGCTTGATGAATGCAAAGCTGGGGTGAAAATTGCGGGAAGAAACATTAACAACCTCAGATATGCAGATGACACCACTCTGATGGCCGAAAGCGAGGAGGAGCTGAGGAGCCTTCTAATCAAGGTGAAAGAAGAAAGCGCAAAAGCTGGGTTGCAGCTAAACAAAAAAAAAAAACACCAAGATTATGGCAACAAGAATGATTGACAACTGGAAAATAGAGGGAGAAAATGTGGAGGCGTGACAGACTTTGTATTTCTAGGTGCAAAGATTACTGCAGATGCAGACTGTGGCCAGGAAATCAGAAGACGCTTACTTCTTGGGAGGAGAGCAATGTCCAATCTCGATAAAATCATAAAGAGTAGAGACATCACACTGGCAACAAAGATCCGCCTAGTCAAAGCCATGGTATTCCCTGTAGTAACCTACGGATGTGAGAGCTGGACCTTAGGGAAGGCTGAGCAAGGAAGATAGATGCTTTTGAACTGTGGTGTTGGAGGAAAGTTCTGAGAGTGCCTTGGACTGCGAGAAGATCCAACCAGTCCATCCTCCAGGAAATAAGCCCGGCTGCTCATTGGAGGGAAGGATACTAGAGACAAAGTTGAAGTACTTTGGCCACATCATGAGGAGACAGGAAAGCCTAGAGAAGACAATTATGCTGGGGAAAGTGGAAGGCAAAAGGAAGAGGGGCCGACCAAGGGCAAGATGGCTGGATGGCATCCTTGAAGTGACTGGACTGACCTTGAAGGAGCTGGGGGTGGTGATGGCCGACAGGGAGCTCTGGCGTGGGCTGGTCCATGAGGTCACGAAGAGTCGGAGACGACTGAACGAATGAACAACAACAACAAGCTCCTCTGGAGAGCTATCACCGCCTGAATCTGAAACATTTTCATCAGGCTGTGCAGTTTCACTTTCCAAGCCACTGACCTCAGAATCAACAGTTTCCAAACCATCAGGGAAAACTACATGTTCAGTAGCCTGTTCAGTTGCATCAGGAAATACAATCAGAGAATCAGGTTCAGGTTCACACGCAGGCTGAACCCCAACAGCTATTTTAATTTGTAATTTGTTATTCCTTTGCTTTTAAATTGTATGTTGCCTGGGCTTGGCCCCGTGTAAGCCACCCCGAGTCCCTTCGGGGAGATGGAGGCAGGGTAGAAAAATTAAGTTGTTGTTATTGTTGTTGTTGTTGCTCTTCTTCTTCTTCTTCTTCTTGAAAAAGTAACTTGCTACTTTGTTTGATGCACATCTTTTTATTGTGTTGTGCTTTGTAATTTTTAAAGGTGGGAACCCTAAGATGGAGGAAAATGGCATAAAACTTAGATTCCCAACAAAAGGCCTATCGAAATGCCCTTGAAAGAAACAATTCAAAGTAATTAGAAACAATGTATTGTCGAAGGCTTTCATGGCCGGAATCACTGGGTTGTTGTAGGTTTTTTTGGGCTAAATGGCCATGTTCTAGAGGCATTCTCTCCTGACGTTTCGCCTGCATCTATGGCAAGCATCCTCACCTCACTACCTCTGAGGATGCTTGCCATAGATGCAGGTGAAATGTCAGGAGAGAATGCCTCTAGAACATGGCCATATAGCCCAAAAAAAAACTTACAACAGCCCAGTAATTAGAAACAGTTGCTTGTTATACCATGTTTCATAGAATCATAGAATCAAAGAGATGGAAGAGACCTCATGGGCCATCCAGTCCAACCCCTGCCAAGAAGCAGGAATATTGCATTCAAATCACCCCTGACAGATGGCCATCCAGCCTCTGTTTAAAAGCTTCCAAAGAAGGAGCCTCCACCACACTCTGGGGCAGAGAGTTCCACTGCTGAACGGCTCACACAGTCAGGAAGTTCTTCCTCATGTTCAGATGGAATCTCCTTCTTGTAGTTTGAAGCCATTGTTCCACGTCCTAGTCTCCAGTAAGCAGAAAACAAGCTTGCTCCCTCCTCCCTGTGGCTTCCTCTCACATATTTATACATGGCTATCATATCTCCTCTCAGCCTTCTCTTCTTCAGGCTAAACATGCCCAGCTCCTTAAGCCGCTCCTCATAGGGCTTGTTCTCCAGACCCTTGATCATTTTAGTCGCCCTCCTCTGGACACATTCCAGCTTGTCAATATCTCTCTTGAATTGTGTTGCCCAGAATTGGACACAATATTCCAGGTGTGGTCTAACCAAAGCGGAATAGAGGGGTAGCATGACTTCCCTAGATCTAGACACTATGCTCCTATTGATGCAGGCCAAAATCCCATTGGCTTTTTTTGCCGCCGCATCACATTGTTGGCTCATGTTTAACTTGTTCACGAGGACTCCAAGATCTTTTTCACACGTTTGAGCCAGGCGTCCCCCATTCTGTATCTTTGCATTTCATTTTTTCTGCCAAAGTGGAGTATCTTGCATTTGTCACTGTTGAACTTCATTTTGTTAGCTTTGGCCCATCCTTGAGAATCATCGCCCATTGCATGGACTATTCACTACAAACTTATGGGGCAAGGGGACATTCTTCTGTTTATGTTTTGCCTAATGGCTACACTGACCACTGATATTGAATGCAATATTCCTGCTTCTTGGCAGGGGGTTGGACTGGATGGCCCATGAGGTCTCTTCCAACTCTTTGATTCTATGATTCTATGATTCTATGACCATTTAATGTAGTTTTAAATCAATATAGAAGAAATTGGCTTTGTGATGCAGTTGATTACATAAGAAATCTTGGAACAAGTTTGAGACCTGAATGGAACTACACAAACCACAGAGCACTGATACACATCAATCGCTTTCGTTTGTGCAGTTTTGTGGGGATTTGTTGTCTGGCCACACCAACTTTGGGAATTAGCACCCACCGCTTTCTGTTGCAGTTTTGCCATCCCATGATGCAAAAGCAGCCAATAGCATGGAATGCCTGCAGTTATTCCTTACCATTTGCTGCTTCATTTCCCCATAATGATTCTCTTAAAAACATCTTGTTCATCGCTCTCTCCCTCTCTCTCTCTCCACAGTCCATTCTGAATTGTCCCGGGTTGCCAAGAACATCCACAGCATTTCACTGTGATTTCCTTTTACAAGCAGAATCTGCTGTTTCCTATCTTGATGCAATGGAGAAATCCCTACACAGATATATGCTTTGTGGTTGCAAATATAACTGCTTCTTAAAAATTATACTGCACTGTTTATCATTAAACCAACACAGCTGTTTGCATTAATTTTTCAAAAAAACTCAATTTGTTCCTTTGGTCTCTTAATTTTTTCACACACATTAGTAAAGGTAAAGGTTTTCCCTGACATTAAGTCTAAGCGTGTCCAACTCTGTCTTGTGTGTCTCTCTCTGTCACTGGAAATATGCAGAAATATCACATATTTCCATACCACATAACTATAACCACTCTCACCACGCCTCAAAACCATACTGCCAAGTACTCCTAGACATTAAACAAGATTTATGTACTCAGGGTGGATTCCAGCAGACACAACACAAGGCAAACATTCAATGCCTAGAAACTCATATAAGGTAAAGGCTTCCCCTTCTGCTCTTGAGAGCTGGTGCTCATCTCCAGCAATGAGGGTGGTACTTATCTCCATTTCTAAGCCGAAGAGTTGGCGTTGTCCGTAGACACCTCCTAGGTCACATGGCCAGCATGACTGCATGAAGTGCCGTTACCTTCCCACAGAAGTGGTACCTATTGATCTCACATTTGCTAGGTTGGCATAAGCTGGGACTAAAAATGGGAGCTCACCGCGCTCCCCGGATTCAAACCACCAACCTTTCAGTCAGCAAGTTCAGCAGCTCAGCGGTTTAACCCTCTGCGGCACCAGGAGGTTTGACATTTTCAGTTAGTCTCTCCAAATGAGAGTAGTTAGAGGTAGGAATCATCCCATGTGATGGTCCTGTGCATGTGCTGCTATCGGTGTTGCTCATACTTCCCCCTCAAATTGTTATGATATTGTGTAGCGTCAATGATAATTTGATGTAGAGGGGAGCTCCAAGCTGTATGATGCCTGACTAGCCTAATGTAATTTTTCTGATCTTGAATAAATCAGAGTTTTTCCTCTGTTTCTTTATTAAATGTCATTGGTACTTTGACATCTCAAAGTACAGATTCAAAAACCAGAGGAGCCAGAACATCAGGAGGAGGAGAAAGCAAAGGAAGAATATGGGTAGGAACTGGAAACTTCTGGTTGGCTAGAATTCCTTCTTTTGTCTAGAGCAGTGGTTCATAACCACTGATCTTTCAGATTTTTTGGATTTGACCTCCCAGAAATCATGACAGTTGGCCAAGGTGGCTGGAACTTTTTGATCTCGAAATCCAAAACACCTGGAGAATGAAAGTTTAGGAACCATTGGCCTAGATGTTCCTCCAGTCCGAGAAACAAAAGGATATAGCTTTTCGCTGTCATAGCTATTGAGGAACCCGCTTTCACATTCCATCCTGGACAGGGGAAGCCCACGACTTTTCTGCTGGAGCCCTAAGGAAATATGTGCATGGGTGAACAATTGGCCAGCTTTCTTATTTTGCCTTCTAGAAACCAAGTAGTGACCTCAGCCACATCCCAAAGGGGTAATTCCCAAATAAAGATTAACTTGAGCAGAGGGAAGCAGTACCTTCTGTCCAAGAAACTAAGGAAAAGAAGCAGAGAGAGAAAACTGGCCCAAAACCATTTCAGCAAGGTGTATACAACTGCCAAGAGTACAAAAGAGAAGTTTGTACAAACTTATGCGATGATCGAAAGCGAGGAGGCCTTGGCCTACCAAACATCCAGCTGTATTATGATGCAGCAGCATTAGCATGGGTTAAGGACTGGGCAGCACTAGATAACAAGAGAATATTAGCACTGGAAGGAGAAGACCTACGAAGAGGTTGGCACAGCTACTGTCGGTTCACGGCAGTTGTTCCCAATGAAGACACAGGACTGTACTCTGGTATCAAAGAGAATCTTTACTGCTGGAAACATGGACATGTGAAAAGCCGAGATTGACCAGCAGCCGCTGGTCACTCCTTATATACACACCCCCTCAATTGAAAGTACAATTCCCGCCAAGTCAAAATCCCGCGCAATATTCCCGCCACACTGTAAGCCATTGTCTTCCAAGGTTGACAGCTGCAAAGTCCTTATCAATGTCCTACGTCAGGGCCCCAGTTTTCAGCGCCAAGACTGAGGGCCTGGAAACTGGATCCTGACAGCTACCTCTGGAAAGATAAAATTAAAGTGGAGAAAATTTTTAACGACCGTATTCTAAGAGTGGCACCATATTCTAAGAGTGACCTTCCTGGCTCTAAATACTATACTCTAAATAGTATACCCCTATTAATGCAGGCCAAAATGCCATTGGCTTTTTTTGCCACTGCATGACATTGCTGGCTCACACTTGTTGTCCATGAGGACTCCAATATCTTTTTCACACGTACTGCTTTCGAGCCATGCGTCCCCCATTCTGTATCTTTCCATTTCATTTTTTCTGCCTAAGTGGAGTATCTTGCATTTGTCACTGTTGTCATTTTGTTAGTTTTGGCCCATCTCTCCAATTTCTTAAAATTGTTTTGAATTCTGTTCCGGTCTTCTAGGGTATTAGCTATCCCTCCCAATTTGGTATCATCTGCAAACTTGGTGATCATGCCTCCTAACCCTTCATCTAAGTCAGGGGTCCTCAAACTAAGGCCCTCCAAGGTCATTTACCCAGCCCTCACTGAGGGTCAACCTAAGTCTGGAACGACTTGAAAGCACACAACAACAACAACAACAACAGCAATCTTATCTCATCAGTCAAAAACAGGTCTACAATTTCCATTGAAATACGTATTCCATGCAGCTGTGGACAAGTCTACATAGGGACCACCAAACGCAGCATTGCCCAAACACGAATCAAGGAACATGAAAGGCACTGCAGACTACTTCAACCAGAGAAGTCAGCCATAGCAGAGCACCTGATGAACCAACCTGGACACAGCATATTATTTGAGAACACAGAAATGCTGGACCACTCTCACAACCACCATGTCAGACTACACAAAGAAGCCATTGAAATCCACAAGCATGTGGACAATTTCAACAGAAAGGAGGAAACCATGAAAATGAACAAAATCTGGCTACCAGTATTAAAAAAACTCTAAAATTACAACAGCAAAACAACAGAGAGTAAACAATCAGGCACTTCAAATCACTCTCAACAAAAGATTCCCCCCAGGCACTTCCAAGTCTTTAAATGCTAATCAAGGTGGTCAGTTGAAACATTCACACCTAGCTCCAGCAGACAAAAGTCCTTTGTCTCACCTTGGTCATTCCACAGATATATAAACCCATTTTCCTACTTCCAACAGACCTCACTACCTCTGAGGATGCTTGCCATAGATGCAGGCGAGACACATCAGGAGAGAATGCCTCTAGACCATGGCCATATAGCCCGGAAAAACCTATAACAACCCAGTGATTCTGGCCATGAAAGCCTTCGACAATACGTTGAAATACTAATAAGTTCATATTTGTTCAAACTGTTCTTCATTTTAATTATTGCATTGTTTTTAAGTGTTTTTTGTACTACAAATAAGATATGTTCAGTGTGTATAGGAATTCATTCATTTTTTTCCAAATTATAATCCATCCCTCCAACAGTTTGAGGGACTGTGACCTGGCCCTCTGTTTAAAAAGTTTGAGGACCCCTGATCTAAGTCATTCATAATGATCCTGAACAGGACCGGGCTTAGGACAGTACACTGCGGCACTCCACTCGTCACTTCTTTCCAGGATGAAGAGGAAGCATTGGTGAGCACCATTTGGGTTCATTCACTTAACCAATTACAGATTTATTTATTTATTTATTTATTTCGAGTACTTCTACCCCGCCCTTCTCAACCCCCGGAGGAGGACTCAGGGCGGCTTACAAAAGGCACAATTCGATGCCTACACAATAATACAAATAACATTTAAAACAGCAATTAAAACAGTTATAACAGTTAATCAATCGATATATAACATAATCATAAAACTAATCTCATGCTCAGCGTTTTCCATTCAGAGTCCATAACTTCATTCCACTTTACCCCTTCTTATCAGTCATCGTAGTCTTTTATTTATCTGCCAGATTGTCCAAACGCCTGGTCCCAAATCCATGTCTTTAATTTCCTCCTAAAGGAAAGGAGGGAAGTCGCTGATCTAATTTCCCTGGGGAGTGAATTCCACAGGTGGGGGGCCACCACCGAGAAGCACAATTCAAAGTGCTGGTTTTGACCTACAAAACCCTATACGGTTCCGGCCCAGTGTATCTGTCCGAACGGATCTCCCTCTACGTCCCACCTCAGAGTTTAATATCTTCTGGGGAGGCCCTGCTCTCGGCTCTGCCTCTATCACAAGTGAGATTGGCGGGGACGAGGAGCAGAATGGGACTTCTCCCATTCTCCAAGAACTCTCAAAGATGATTGCCAATGGTTCTGAAACCATTTCTGCTAGTTCTGGAACTTGAATTCGTTTAGAGTGGCCAGGTATTCCTGGATGACTTGCTTCCCTATTTGGGGTCTGATTTCCTCTAATCCTTTGTCCACTCCATGCTACTGAGGTTGAGGATAGCTTTCTTTTTGTGAGAAGACCGAGGCAAAGAAGGCATTGAGTAGTTCTGCCTTTTCCGTATCTCCTGTCAGCATTCCCCCATCTTTTCCTCGCAGAGACCCTATTGCCTCCTTCTTCTTTCTTTTTCTGCTGACATAAGCAAAGAATCCCTTTTTATTGTTTTTAATGTTCCTGGCAAGCCTGAGCTTGTTTAGCTCTTTGCAAACCTTTTCCCTACAGGAATTGGTTATTCGGTTAATTCTTCTTTGGTGATCTCTCCCCTTTTCCAATCTTTGTGCATGTCTCTTTTGAGTCGTAGCTCAATTAGAAGTTCTTTGGACATCCATTCTGGCTTCTTTGCACTTGTCTTATTTTTTCTCTTTGTTGACACTGTTTGAAATTGCGTCTTGAGTATTTCACTCATCCGTAACTTCTTTGTCTTTTAGTATTGTCTTGGCGTCCATGGAATGCCACTCAGTATTTCCTTCATTATTTGGAAGTCCAGAATGCAGGTTTGACTTGTCTTCGTTTTGGCTTTCCTTCGTATCACAAAGTGCAGAGCACATGGTCACTTGCTCCTAAGGATCCAATTACTTTTACTGCATTGATCAGAACTTGATGTCTCATATATCCACCTGAGGAAGACTCTAGTAGAAACCGGTCGCGGATGTTGATATCCGAAAATTTTCTAAAGCAAGGGATCCTATGCCCTGAAGAGAAGTTGGTTTTACACCAAGAAAGACTCT